CATAAAATGAGTACAAAAGGTACTTTTGAGAGCTGTTTTTCAAGTCCTGTCATGCCTGTTTCGACCCGAACGTGCAATTTGTGTAAAAGTCGTCGCTGCGGGCAGCAAACAAAACACAGTAAATCATGACGTAATAAACAGGACTCCCGATGCAGAGTAGCATACACGAGTCCTGTTTATTACGTCACGATTTACTGTGTTTTGTTTGCTGCCCGCAACAACGACTTTTACACAAATTGCACGTTCGGGTCGAAACAGGACCTGAAAAACAGCTCTCAAAAGTACCCTTTGTACTCATTTTATGACAGAAACAATAGTCGTTTTTATTTCATCACACCTTAGGCTACATATACCCAAAAAATGACGGAAATGTCTTCGAGCATTCCACAACCTCTTTAAACCTTTGTTTTGCATGGGAGGAACATCACTTTTTCATTGACCGTCTATCTTTTTGACAAAGTTAGAATCAGACAGGATGTTGTATTTTCGTTGAAACTTCTAATTTATTTAATGTTGACAATGTGAGTGAATTTCTTTTCTTATTAAATCAGGTAAAATCACAAAGAATCAAATTTGATTAAACTGATACGAGTCTTTTCATTTAAATTCAACAATAAGGGAATAAATGTGTGTTCCGGAGGTATTATAACACTCTGTTTAAAACCAGTACGAGTCTGGATAGGTGATAATGGACCGATCCAGTAAGCCCCTCTCACTGCGCACGTGAGCAAATTAACATGTGCTCCTCTCCAATGCCACACTGCATTTTCCTGCCGCGCGCATCGTAGCGCGTGCATGAATGTCGGACTTTTGTGCACGCATGTCGGACATAAATCACGGCTGTGATTGGTCAGAATACCATGGGGCGGTGCTTGCTGGATCGGTCCATTACCTAAGGCGAAGCCGAGGGTAATTATCATATCACCCATCCAGACTCACACCGGTTTTAAACAGAGTGTTAAACACCGACGGAACACATATTTATTCCCATTCATAAATACCTTTTTGGTCAAAAAACCAAATCTTTTCGGTCCAAAAATCAAAACAAGTCAAAAACTAGAGTTGTTAACCATTTTGTTCAACAATTTTACTTCATGTTTTACGAAACACCCCTCTGACTCTAATATGGAATGCCCCTCCACAATTGCGTGCGCGTCGCGCATTCCACCTCCATGGTCGCGCGTACTGCGCTATCAATTATATACAATATTCAGTGTTTTCAATTTGTCATGATTTGTTTTGCATCAGCACTCCAGAGGCTCCAGAGGCACGAGATTGTGACGAGTATTGCCGAGTATTTTTATTGAGTTTAATCACTACTTGGTACCTCATCAAAGCTTAGAAATATACAAAATGTAGTTGAGTCTAAGGATTACCGGTACGAGAAAAAAAATGTAGGACAAGACACATTGATCATAAGTACAATTAAACCACAGACACTGACAGTCTTTATAACATCCGTGACATTTCATTGACATTTGAAACAACTACGACTTCATTTTATTCAACACCTGAACACCAGAAGGAGCAATAACCTTCTGAAACATTTTGTCAAAAAATGTTTCCCATGGAGATAAACCTGTCATTCTACATTTAAACGTACTGCAATTTCCCCACAGTCACAACTGTGGTAACGGCATGACAGAGATGCACATGGCATCACAGGCAAGTAAGAATCAGTCTTCCACAAGCCAATGTCAACAATATGTGTTTTCTCGCCATGAAGTTTGGCTTAAAGTGTTGAAGAATGACCATTCAAATGATCAAACTCTAAACTCTCCCTTGTATCCCTCCCATGCAGTCCCGTCGCCAGCCCTGAGCTAGTACCAATTAGGGGGGCCCACTACCAAAAAAATACAGAAGTACATGTACACATTTATGGCTTTTGCCGTGGGGGGGGGGGGGGGCAATTGCTCACCAAGGCCCCCCCCCCCCCCTTGGCGACGGGCATGCTCCCATACCCAATCCATCCCTCATGTGAATGTAAGTGCTCTATGCACTATAATCACACTTTGTACAAACTACATAATTGTGAGTCTCAAACCTTTCTTTCAAGTACAAGGGGCGATGGTGGTGCTCCTAAACAAGTACATGTATTCAGGCATAAGTGGCAAGCAAGAACTATCATCCATCGTCAGCCAGCAGACTAATGACGATGAATGAAGAGGTCAGTCTTTTCAAACAGTTGGACCATTGGTGGACATGAAAATGTACCAGTCTACATTGTAGTCCTGAGCATCATTTTGAAATCACTTGATTTTCATTGCCCCATAGATGAAACACCAAGGGCTTTGTTGACTACTAAAACAACAACTACCTAAGTACAAAAATGTACATCAGAATGCAGTCTTTTGCCAGAAATCCACTGCACAGTTTGTGCAAAAAATAATGAAAAAATTTGCAAAAAGTGATGAAAAAAATATGTGTTCTGTACTGAGCAACATCGAGAAGTTACACGTTTATAAAGATCGCTTGCGATTGACTTGTGCACGTGCGTGCATGGGTGGGACTTGACAGGCCAATCACAGTTAGTATGGTTCCCTGACCTCATTGTCCTTCGGACTTCAAAAATGGGGAAACAGTCTAAATCACCATGCGCTCTACAAGGGCACCATAAAAGGCGCCCAATCAAGAAGCATTGTGATATGCCTGTCTGATGCTGCTAGCCATGCTCGCACGGGCACAAGTCTTCATGAACATGTACCGGTAACTTCTCCATGTTGCTCAGTACAGAATGCGGATTTTTTTTCATCATTTTTTGCATATATCGGGACCGAATCCACCCGTTATTTGTTGGTGCAATGTGATTTTGTCAAGAAATACCATACGGACTGGGCAAACTGTGGCACAATTGCAGAATACCCCGCCACTGACCTATCCCACCTCGTATCCGAATACGCGGATACGGAGTCACGCTTGGATGCTCAACCAAAACCACACGCGTGCACGTCCGCTAAAGTCCACCCCGTATCTCCGTATTTGCGTATCCACTTCCCGGCACCTACTTTGGACTTGGACATTTTTACCCTGCTCCCCATTCAACTCACGTTGTCTCTGCCTTCGTTATTTTCCAACATTGATATGGATGCCTCGTTCTCAAAAATATTTTTCTCCGCTAAAAATAAAGTCCACCCCGTATCCGCGTATTCACTTCCTGGCACCTACTTTGGACTTAGATTTATTTAACCCCTGCTCCCCATTCAATTCACGTTGTCCCTACTAGCCGCATTTCTTATTACAGGGAAATAGCGCCCTCTTTAGACCCTCCAGCGCTCAACTCCACCCCGTATATTGTATCTGCGTATCCACTTCCCGACATCTACATGTACATGTACTTTGGACATTTCTGCAACATTTTCCGACTGCGTAGCCAGTTATTTTTAGGGGGTAATTTTCGCGTGGCGGGGTATTCTGCAATGACTCCCAAACTGTGCAGCGATGTTTTGGCGATGGCTGCATTTTGGTACATTTTGTACATGTTGTGCTTAAAGTTGTTGTTTAACAAAGCCGTTGGTGATTCATCTATGGGGCTCCGCTATGGGGAGCATCACTTTCTACAGACAAAATTCCATACTGGGCCACACCCCCCCCCCCCCCCCCCTCCCAGGCGTGCTCCGAGCGAACCGAAAATCATCAATCGATCATAATCTCTGCGTGCATGTTTCAAGTGTCAGGTTGGCTCAGTGTGGAAAGGGCATATTATTCATCATTTTGGCTTAAAAACTGACAGAATCCAGCGATGTTTGTTAAGGCGCAACTAACATGAGTACATGTATGTCATGAGGTATTGTACGGAGTTTAAGGGCAAACTGTGCAGCGGTTCTGTGGGAAATGTCTGTGTTTTGATGGACGTTTTTGTACTTAGTTGGTGCATGGAGAAATTTTTCCATGGTTGGTGTTTCATGCTGCAAACAATTTTGCGGGGTTCTGTGTCTCCTGTGGCTTCTATGATGCTCCGCGGAGCATCATAGTTCTAGGAGTATGAGAGTAGAGGAGAGAAAGTGGAGGGAATAACCATAAAGCAAAGGATGCAACTTTTGGTGCTTGAAAATTAATTGGAAAAAAGTGGTGATCCAGTTTGGAATTTTTTCCAAAAAGACATTTTTCCTAATTTTTTTTCGCATTGCCGAGGCTTCCTGGATTCCTCTCATTTCTCAAGGGTGAAATTACAAGGTGAGGTGAAAATTAATGTGTTTGGCGGCAGGTAAGTGGTGATCCAGTAGTATGGAAATTTTTCTGTTGGCCTGATTTCGTTTCGCATTTTTTTTCAGCACTCGACATGCTCGAGACGAGAGTCGAGTCGAGGTCCCAGTCTGCATGCATCCTGACCATGCGCATATGCATTATGCACAAATGCACACGGTCCTACTAAACTGCGTCAACAAACGTCAACAAGCGTCAACGGTCGTCAACAAGCATCAACAAATTTTGTTGATGCTTTTGAACATTAAAAGTAGCTTTATATGGTAGAAAAAGCAATAAAGAACATCTTCTGCATACATGGCATATCAATTAAAGTTAAAATTATTTTAAAACTTGTTTTTTTGAACGCGAAATGTATGACGAATTTGTCGATTAGTGTTGGCCGCCATTTTGTTTACATGAAGCTAGCCGTACTACGCATGCGTGAAGTGTACAGAGCCATACTAGCATGCGTGAAGCGCCATCCAAACAAGATGGCGGCCAACACTACAAATTCGTCGTAAATTTCGCGTTCTAAAAAAAACAAGTTTTAAAATAATTTTAACTTTAAATAGTTTAATTGATATGCAGAAGATGTTCTTTATTGCTTTTTTTTACCATATAAAGCTACTTTTAATGTTCAAAAGCATATACAAAATTTGTTGATGCTTGTTGACGACCGTTGACGCTTGTACTTTGTAGACGCAGTTTAATATAATAATACTAGGACCCAATGCACACGCTTCACTTGTACTTGATCAGCTTGACTCCAACGCAACGACGAACGACAATGCGAGTTTCGTCACTGCTATACTCACCCAAGTTCATGTTCTCAGTGAGCTTCAACGGTGCTCGAAAGAAGTAGATGAGAAACACAACCAAGAAGAACCAAATGGCCCACAAGTAGGTCCAGATCCAATTCAAAACACCCTTCAACTTCTCCGATCGCGAGGCGGTTGCAGAACTTCCTTCACCCGCCATGTTATGTTTGCCTCTTACGCGCTGGTACCTTACCCCTCCCCATGGTACTTCAATGGCGGTTTCGATTCTTTATGTTGGGTACCAGTTGCAGTTTTAACTACATGTAGTTCCGCTTCGTGAGGCGCGCGCTGCATGAATGGTCATCAACAGAGGGCGCTACTATCGAAACAAAACTGCCACGTGCTTGATTGATCCTCATGAGGGCAAAAATCGTCACCGACACCACGAACTGACACCCGGTGGTCAGCGTTGCAGAAATACAAATCGGAGAAAAACGCTTTTAAAGGTTTGACACGAATTTACTCAGTAAAATATTTCATTTATCTTAGAGGTTTTAGTATCACTCAACGTAAAAATGCTTTCACTACTCAATTATAAATGTTATATTGTAAAAATCTGCTTAGTTAATTAGCAATTAAATGATTAAGATGGGTGTCAGTTCGTGAAAACCAAAATGTACGTGTTTTCGGAGAGTGCGCGCATGCAATAGCGTTAGTGAGTGTCAGTTCGTGAAAACCAAAATTGACCAGTTTTGAGAGAGTGCGCGCACACACTGCGCATGCGTGCGCGCACTCTCCCCAAACGCGTCAATTTTGGTTTTCACGAACTGACACTCACTAACGCTATTGCATGCGCGCACTCTCCGAAAACACGTAAATTTTGGTTTTCACGAACTGACACCCTGTGCAGTGTCACTTCGTGGTAACCAAAAATACCAGAATTGACAAATTTCTGGAAAATTCATTAGTAAAATTCGCTTATTTTAGATGATTCCAGCAATTTTAACCTCGTCATGTCAAACTTCATGATACAAACTGCTAATATGTGCAAAAAAAGAAAATTTGAATTTTTAATTTTTTTTGTACACATGTGATGCAGAGGGTGTCAGTTCGTGGTGTCGGTGACGAAATGTATGAGGCGGGCAAGAAGAATATTTAATAGATAGCTGATGGCATTGGCGCAAGCTATTACGAAAACCTCAAGCACGAAAAAAAAAATGTAGCTCAAGTTGGATTACTGCAGCCAAGAAGACTGTGTTGTCGCGATCGGGCGGGAATACTTGCTTTTGTGCATTTTTGTTTTATAAGAAGGGTGTATGAACTTGTTAAATTTTCAGCTCCGTGGATAGGCCTTGATACACTTTGAGAAAACAGGGAAAACACATGCACAATGTGGGGTCCACTCGTCACTGAGGATTCCATTGTTAACGCACGTACAAAGCTGTGACCGCGGGCACACTTTCTTTACCACCTTCAATGATTGTTTCGCCAATTTTTGCGGAATTAGTTTCAAAGGGCATTCAATAGTACCAGACGTAACCTATCTTCACTTTTAGTAAGGATTTCTTCCTTTATCGCCTATTCAAACTAGCGCCCGAGAGTAAGTTTTCGGACTGCAATTTCGCCAAACTTTGGAACACAGTCCATCCAGCTCCAATGCCAATTCGCTTCGCATATGACATGCATTATACGGTTACAGTCTAAATTCTTGTCAATACGTGCCTTTGATGACTACTTAATTCTACAAAGCGGGCTGAGAGAAAAAGCGATGGCGAATTCGAATTTAAAGTGACGCCGGGATGCATTTTCACGTTGCGAATGGCACACATTATACTCCAGCAAATTTCAAAGCAAAATGTTTCGTGGCGTCAAATAGTCACTTCGTTGTATTGGCATTCGCGTGTAGGTGTAAATGAGGCCTTATAGAATATGGAAGACTGAGATTTTGCGGTTTGTACATAAAATTCTGGCCCGCACACGGGCCTGCATTAGGAGTTTAAGTCCTTCATATCGTGTCGCTTATTATAGTCAGTCAGTGGTACAATAACTTGGTGATGTCCTATTGGCATAGTATCTTTATGGGCGACGGAGGGGTTTCACAATGGCCCAGCGACGCTCTTTGCGACCCGAACTGTGCTTGATCTTATCAATTATGATTGTCGTCAGTTCATAGGTTACGTTGTATCAACAATGAGTAAGTTATTAGGCATACTTGTTCACTATTGACTGGTAGTATTTTAATCATTGTGGTGCACCTTTCGCTAACGAAGCAACTTCAATTTCCCGTGTGATACAGTTCGCACATACACATTCTGACAACTTCAGTGGTTCTAGCCTACGTCGTGCTGACATAGGTAAGCAGTCATGCAGTAATGGTCATGGCAGTATTGTTTTAAAATAATAGGAAAGAGACTTAAGTGGCACTGAAGTGACAATGCCTATCTCAAAAATGTTGACGTCTGTGACCTGATTTGCGAGGTTGTATAAAATTACCAAACCAAAATGGCAAAAGTTAGATTCTAACGTCCCTTTGTTCAGAGCCATCACGGTTCTCTTTGGAAGGCGTACTCTGCCAAGACTGGCCAAGAGGGTATTGAAACACCGTGCGCCCTCATTGACGACATAATACACCCCGCATGAACATCGCCTAAACGTATTTTCATCAGTGCTGCCTTATCCTTGGCATACGGTGGCAAGATAGACCGTGTGCCAAACCACAAAGTCCTTGAGGAGGCAAACATGCATCCCCAGCATGCATACGCCCTCCTGAGTCAGCGACGCCAGCGATGGCTCAGTTACAATGCACCACAATGGATGATCAGGATATCCAAAGACGTTCTCTACAGAAAGCTTGCCATTGAGGCCCATGGTCGCCCTGAGCTCTCCGCTTCAAAGATGTCTGCAGTACAGGCGCGACATGACAGTGCGACATTGAACTGGAGCCTTCCATCACCAACGACCGTCAGGCATGGAGGGTTGTAGTACGTGAAGGACTCATGGACAGTGAGGACAAATTGCTTCAGCTTCAGCCTACACCTCCATTCAGCCAAAACACTTAAAAAATAATGCCTGCTAAACTTCCTCTTAGCAGCCACCCCCCCCCCCCACCCCACCCCCTTGATCCATGCCTAGATCTGCCCCTCTATAAATGGGGATAGTTCATTCTTGCACACCGCTGCCAAACTACTATGGAACAATTTTCCAATTGAATAATCATACGCTGACAGCAAGTTCTTAAAACAAAAATATGTCCCCTCAATTTTTCAGTTTCGTTCAGGAGATTCAACAGTCTGTTTTTTAATGTAGAATGCGCCATGAGAATCTTGGCGGACACCGACGCTGCATAATTTTTTTTATTCAGCCTATTATCAAACTAGACTATTTTCCATTCCACTCAGAGCGCTACCCATTGCACTGTAAAGGCATCATGGCAGTAGCTGGATTCGTCGTGAGCGTGGCACTGGTGGTCATATTGGTATATGTAGCCTACTTTCTTGTCAGTACGGTAAGCTCGATTCGGAAGCAGAGAGCAGTGCTTCTGCAATGGCCAGGCCTCCCCGTCCACTGGCTCTATGGAAACCTTCATCAGGTAAGGACATTTAATTTCTTGGCAACAGCCTAACGTAAAATGAAAATTGTTTCCCCAGTTTTATTCATTTTGTTCACAGCAGTATATTGGGATTAATGTCAGTGGTGTTTCTTTGTCAATCGGGCCTATGTCTCATTCAACGATAGTCATGGATACGTCCACTATTGAAGTTGCTGATCTGAGGATCTAACCGGTTTTCTCTACGTCCATAATGCTCTGAAGACCATTTTCAAATCAGCTGGATCAAATCAGCTATTGAACGACCGGCACGTCATAGACGTGGGACTATTTCTCTGTACCCGCATACTATGCTTACATGGCATCTTACTGAAATCTTTACGCATCCCAATTGCCTTCCGTCGCAATTTAATCCATCAAAACGGATGCTTCAAAATTCGGTCTGATTAAGATCTGCGTTATAGATTTCATTGGTCTGATTTACCGACTCCCAGCACCCGATGGGAAATCCGAAAACCCGGACCGAGTCACCGGAGGAAGGCTTCATATTCAACTGTAAAATGACAGAAAAGTTCCCCAGGGGATTCTACTTACTTTTTGGCCCGACGAGAGGAGAACTTGTGGCAAACCACCCAGGCATCTTTAGACCTGTGTTGAAAGGACGCGGTAAGCTCCGAGTATAAAAAACGGATGTGTCCACTTTGTTCAAGTGTTATACCTAATTTTGAATTTTGTTTGTATTTTTTTTAACTTGTCGGGTTTCTTTTTAATTCTGCTTCACCCAAACATTACCTTAAGAACAAGTTACCTTAAGAACAAGTTAAATCTTGTCATTTTTAGACACCATGTTAAAACTTGTCAACATGACCAGTTTTTTTTTCAACGAACCCTGAAAAGTTTGAGAGGTTAAATATCATATTATTTTAGGCTTTTGACTTGAGGAGAAAGGGTTGACTTTGCAGATCCATGAGCAAGCACAGATGTCTTCAAACTTTTTTACAGAAAGAATAGTGTCGTGAGATTTGCTTTTTAAAAATGTCTAACTGTGCCATAGGTCCTAGTTTTGTGTCGCATACCTTGTTTGGAGGTTCACAAAGCAATGCATGTTCTATTTCCCCCACGTCAAGGCTTGTCGCGATCGTATATTTCCAGATCCCAAGCCACTGATGCAGGGCCAGCCTTCCTACAATTTCTTGCGGCCCTGGCTGGGTGACGGTCTGCTCCTAGCCAAGGGCGATACCTGGCTCCGTAATCGTCGCCTCCTCACCCCGGCTTTCCACTTCGATGTCCTCAAGCCTTACGTACCGGTCTACAACGAGGCTGTGGATGTATTCATGGTTCGTTCTACCAAATGAAATATAAGCTAATTCAAGAGGGGGGGGGGGTGACTCATGATCAGAGGGTCAGGGTTTCGAATCCAGCGTTTTGCCATATCCTTGGACAAGCCACTTCATCCCCACTTACCTCTCTCCACCCATGAGTATAGATGGGTACAGGCATTAGCTGGAGAGTAACCTGTGATAAATCTCATCCAGTGGGGAATAGAAATATTTCACAGTCGTTTGTTTGACCTTTCATCTCAATCTAGACAAAGCTAGAGAAGTGTGCTACCGATGGAGTTAGTTTTGAAGTCACCAAGAACATCAGCCTCTTAACCCTCGACGTCCTCCTTCGATGTGCCTTCTCGTACGAATCAGACTGCCAAATCAAAGGGTACGTATACTTCACTAGTACTTTGCCAATATGAAGGGCAGTTGTGTTTAAGACTGCGAGTCCTGCGATTGTATTTGTCTAGATCTTTTCAGGCAGGTAAAAACTATTTGGTGAACAAAATTGGGACGAGTATTAATTACAATTCGTTGCAGAACTTGATAGCACAATCACTGGCTGTCTGTGCATTGATGATGGCAAAGCTATCAACACATTCTACCACGGCAGTTTATTCGCCGGCGCACATTTTAAAGCGCTCAACGTTGAGGTGGGAAATGGAGGATTCTCTGCAGACATGGGCGTCGCGAGGGGGCGCTTGCCCCCCCCCCCCACTCCCGGAAAAGCCCCCCCCCCCCCCCAAAAAAAAGGAAGAGAAAAAAGAGAAAAAAGAAAAGAAGAAGAGGCGCGAAGTCATAGTGGTGTAAATTTAATGGGTGGGGGGGGTGCAAAATGACCCTCCCCTCTCTAAAACTGATAAATCGAGAATATGTTGAGAAATACAACATTTTTGGGGGAAAATATTATGTTTTGCCCCCCTCTAGAAAAAAATACTGGCGACGCCCATGTCTGCAGAATGTTGTAACCAAGATTGCTTCTATAATTTTCACAGGATTGTAGCCACTAATAAATCAATCCTAACACCAAAAATAGCCAACTTGTTTCATTTTCTTGCAGTGATAAGCACCCTTATGTGAAGGCCACGTCCCAGTTATCGACCATCATCGTAGACAGAATGTTGTAAGTACATGGCAGTGTCGACAAAAGAGAGATTTGACATTTAAACTTTTGCATTGCAATAGCGTGAAGCTTCTGCCACCAGGCTTGTGCCGTGGTGCTATCTCGCATCCGGTTTGCTACATAATTTAGTTTCGGTATATCGATGTTTTTTATTTTCCCCACAGTTCGATGCTTCTTTACTTCGATTTGCCGTTCAAGCTGTCTTCAATGGGACGCAGGTTTATGAAGAGTTGCGACTTTGTTCATAATGTTTCAGATGAGGTCATAAAACGGCGTCGGTCACAACTGGTAATGTTACAAACATTATGATAAACTTTAAAGGAGATACCTGCCCAGGTTATTTTTCATTTCAAATTTCAATAGTGGGTATTGGTTTTCAATTGCAGTACCTTCTCCCCTGTGCCCAAACAGAGGCAAATAATTTCTCCCTTGTTTGACCCTTGTTAAGTTTATGTGGTACAAAATGTGTACATAAAAATGTACTTCCTTTCATCAGGAGGTAAAGAAACAAAATCCTGATGCTGGGTCTGAACGCAAGTACCTGGACTTCTTGGACATCTTGCTGTCCGCTAGAGATGAAGACGGCAAGGGACTGACGGATCTGGAGGTCCGTAACGAGGTGGACACTTTTCTCTTCGAGGGTCACGACACCACAGCCAGCGGCCTGACCTGGATGCTGTATGCCATGGCAACCAATCCTGATCATCAGAGGAAAGTCCAGGAGGAAATTGATGAGGTGATGGCGGGCAGAGAGTCGGAGGAAGTCCTGTGGTAAGGGCGAACCGTTGAGATTCACGTTTTACCAGTTATAATAGGTCATAGTCGTTCGTATGATTTTGCAGTAGCTAAATCACTAAGGAATGTCACATTCTTGCAGCCACTTTTAATTGGTTGTATCTCCATCAAGCTCGATCAGACCGGGGGGTCCGTGAGGGGGCTTGAAGATTGGGCTTGCAGGAATAGTTAATATTATCTGGTATATTGTTTGGGGAGACCCACAAGAGCAGGTATCATCGTCAAAAGCAAGGATGCGGTAGAGGAAGGGGCGGGTATTTCCCCGCCCCGTGAGGAGGCGATTTAGCCTTATCCTAAGGCGTACACTCAAGGTGGAGCCCTCTTGGATGAATGCTCCTCGCTGAACTCATGCGGTGTAATTAGCCCTCTCCCATGCATCTGTCCATCTCTCTGTCACCCACGACGAGGATAGTGGGATCTGCTGCCGAGTTGTTTTAGCACAGATAGCGTCATTATAGCCGGTTGAGGTCTTGAACTCTATATTTTTTAAAGGAAAAACCGAGATGGTGAAGTCCGAGATTTTCCAAGGAATTGTTTGGACTTTGAAGCCCGATAATTTTTTAGGGATTTAGTTTAATTTAATAGCTAGAGGATTGATCTCAATCTAGCCTATGCAGTTAAACTATAGGCTCTGAGCAATAAACCAAGATTCTTCGATATTTATTGAAGAAAAGAGAGTTTGAGGTTGATCGAGTAACATGTAAATTGTTATAGGATGGAGGGGATCATCTTAACCAGCCCCTCAAGCCGCCCTGGCCTGTTACATTCAGCTTGCTAACATTTTTATCAAACGTCTGCGTCCGATTTGAGGTGATCACTGTCTGTGTGCATGTTGATGTTTTATTCACAGTTTTGCTATACTCTATACAGAAGCTCATTTGACATGACACAAAAGAACGAATTGTCATCATAATAATTCGTGGACCCCGTGTCTTGTTTGTCAGGGAGGATCTTGGTAAGTTCAAGTACCTGGTGCAGTGTCTCAAGGAGACGATGAGAATGTACCCTCCGGTGCCGTTCATTATGAGGGTTCTTGAGAGGGATGTTGAAATTGACGGCAAGGTCCTCCCGGCTGGAACGACCGTAGATTTGGGCATCTACTGCCTTCACCATAACCCTCTCATCTGGCCTGATCATATGGTAATTGCTCAATATTTTATCTTATAAAATTATAGCAACCAAATGCTCACTATATGTAGTCTAATATAATTAATTCACCTGTTGATGGTGAGATTAATGTCCCAGAATGGCATACAGAGAATTTTACTCAGTAGAGTTGGTGCGAAGTAAAACTCAGCTGGGACGCAAACAATTTGCATTGCATGACATTTTCTGTTGCTTTGGAGCTCCAAGAAATCAGTCTCCCTTATATGTAAAACACAGGCTGCCGTGCGTCATTATAAGAACAAAGCGCCTCGCTACCTCTATTATTTTGTACCTGTTAGTAAAGAAGAATGAAGTGCATGCAGATAGATCTCAAAATAACCTGTCTCTCCAAATATCAACATATGAATGTTTTAATGAGAAGTAAGTAACGTGTATTATTTTGGGAGGCTGGTTGTTGGTTGAGACATTATTTTTTGCTGTGAAGTTAAAGAACTTCTGGCTATAAAAAAAACACACACACCAAAATGCACAATTTGTTTCGGATTGCTCTTCATTTTTTGGCTTCGCTGTTTAATTCAACAGACATTCGATCCTGACCGATTCTCCTCTGAGAATATCCAGAAAATGGACCCCTTCTCTTATCTACCATTCGCAGCAGGTCCAAGGTAAAATAAAGAGAACTTTCATGGCATCTTTATCATGCTTAAACCAGGCTTCTTCTCAGTATTTTGGCAATGAATATGCAGCTGGAGACAAACCAAGGTCAAGGTTTCCGACACTGCATCCATTGTTGAAAATAGGAAGATCTATTGAAAATGAACATGCTGGTGGCATTACCCTGGTTCGCAGATCATTTGATTCAGCATGCATTCAAAACCTATGGTTTCGCCATGGGCAGACAGCGTTTGCATAATGTACAAATAGTACCAACCCCCGTACCCAAAAAAATTAAAAGTCTCGGGTCAGTTTTGACCCGGAATCCAGGTCAGTTTTGACCCGGAATCTGGGTCATAATCCGGGTCAAAATGACACTTTTCTGGGTCGGAATGAAACTTCCTTGGATTATATTGCGGGTTTTTTTACCAGGAGTGGCAAAATTGTCAAGAGTATAGAATTGGATCAAGGATTAAAATAAACCAAGCACTTTAATAACTTATATCAGAGACCAATGATTTAACACACACACACACACCCATTTTGAAAATTCTGTGTTTTTTCCCTTCAGGAATTGTATCGGGCAGAATTTTGCCATGAACGAGGAGAAGGTGATCCTGGTTCGTCTGTTGAGGAGGTTCCACCTGGAGTTGGACCCCAACCACCCGGTCAAGTTCTCTGGAGAATTGATCCTGAAAGCTCAGAATGATGTCAAGATCTTTCTGAAACCGCGCGTGTGATTTCATTTCATCCAAAGGCCTTTGAATAACACTGATTATACGGTGTTTATAATACGTCGGGGAAGCGCAAAATCCAATCATTATAAAAAGACCAAAATGTTGTTCAGGAATTAATAGTCCGAAAATTCTATTTGCAGGATTTTAAAGAATTGTAAAGTATCATACTAAGACACTGTTGATAACAAATGTGTACATTGTCCACATTGTTTAAAAATTAATATTGCATTGAAGTGATAACTGCAAGTGCGTTTCAAATGTGGTACCTGCAATATTTTGCAAATGTATCTGTACTTTTGAAGCCTAACACAATCAACATAAATCGGAGATGAAGGATTCAAATGATTAAAGGGAATATACAACATTTGCAAACATCGAAAAATAAAACTACCAAGTTTTTGCGAAATACCTTAATAGGATGTTGGTAATTGACCGTCTAAAGCAACCTGTAAAATTATGGCACCTGGTATACTGTCATTTTCAAGAAAAGTGGTATTTTTGTATCAATTTCCAACGCTGATCGGCCGATCAGCGTTGGAAACAACTGTCTTTTTTTCAAATACTGGCCCCAATTGACCATTGCACTTGTTTGCAATCGATTACAAACCTATGAACGGGTACGAGCCAGCTAGACTGGTTCCCTGACCTTACAATTCCCCAATTTATGTAAACTGCTCTGTTTCTTCTTATATGGAGTCAGGGAACCAGACTACAGGAAAATGATCGTTTTTCTTGGTTTTTATAGCATTTTCGAACCCAAAACCTCCAAAAAGTCAGTGTAACTATATTTGCTTTATATTTTCAACCCCCCAATTCCATCCATTTCTGAAAATTACAGCAAAAGCAAATGATGTATATTCCCTTTAAGTTTTCCTATTCAACACCAAGGTAATCAGCATAAATGAATCTTTATGCTTAGTTTATCACGTAAACAATGCATATGCTTTTTGAAAACTAATATTGCGAAGTAGAGTGAGTATTTTTATCGATAGTTATTCGTGACCAGAGAAATATGTATTAAATGGATTTTTTTTGGGGGGGGGGAATTGGGTTATAGGCCTGTAATTATGAGTACATGTACATTGGTTTATATTTTGTAATCAGTCATTTGATTTCTGAAATGTACTTTTTTAACGTGTTGCAATGTGTCGTATTTTGTTTATTAGTAAATGACCATATAACCACTTTCGTAAAAAAAAAACACTTCATGTGTTTTGACTGTTTGAACAACAAAGACAAAATGACACACAATATCTTTTTTCAACAACTGTCAACATCTCCAGTACACAATTTTATTAACAACCCTGCTTATAGGTGATCAATATGAGTTATACAATCCACTTTTATTAAAAGACGGGCCTTCAAAAGGACTGTTGGATACGTTAACATTTTAAAGTGAGCTTTTATCGCTGGTGATGTTTGAAGACAATATTGTGACGACGATTCTTGAAATCGCATTTTTGGACAAAAGAGGTTTTAGGGTCATATTGTATTTAAATTGTGATATTCTTTGAACGGATTGAGCAATTTCAGTATTTTTTTTCTTCTAAAAGTAGCTTATGAAATTGGCTTTCCAGTCACCATTATGTTTGGTGCTTCATTTTTTTTTTTAAATATGAAATATATTTTTTTGGGGAGGGGGTGGTTGGGTTCCGCATTTTTGGACTCACCCTGTAGTTGACGCGACTGGAGTGTCGTAATCGACTCGAAACGTTGTGACTTATGGTTTTTCCAAAGCTTGAGATTCGTCTCAGCCATCCAGCCCGATCCTGGGCAGCACGAACAGCCTGATTGTGTTTAAGGCCGATGGCGTTTAGGCACTCTGCCAGAGGCATAGGTACGACGCACTGCAAGCCTCCTCCCTGACGGAAGGGCTTTGATAGTTGGTTTGGGGGGTTCAGGAAGACAGCAAGAGGCACCTCAGGTCTCCTTAGTGCGTGACCAACTAAGCGAAGGCGACTTCTCAGCATAGGAGAGCGCGGTGGGTAGCACCAAGATTCGTGGCCAGGGTTTCAGTGATCGCTATAGGGCATTACAACTGCATATAATAGTTGCACTGTTTCAATGGATTTAAACAGCTGCATTTTGGCGCTATCGCTGCTTACTCCCTCCCACAGAGTCCCAGTCATGCTCGAAAAAGCAAAGGGCACATCGGTAATACCTTTGTGGAGGTCAGCGCCGCTTTGGCATAAAGTTCATGGAGGTCAACAATTTCAGACATTTGTCAAAAATGTCCAAGAATTCGGTGCAGAAGTAACAGAAAGAGAAAGAGGAAACAATGGAATTTTCGGTAAAAGAGGAAGCAATTTGAAGATGATCGCACTCAGGATAACCGTAGAATCGTAGATCTATACGAATTCAGTTTTAATTAAAATTTGAATTTACAGCAACGTAATGGAAGAAAGGAAGCATTAAAGGAAAGTGAGATATACGAAGAACTCAATCGACGCAAAGGAGAGCTTATGTCGAATGCTTTGTAATTACATATACAGTAATTTGAATACAATACATGTATGTGACAGTGTTGGAGCAAAGGCTTTGACCCTCAAGGCCAAGGCCAAGGCCAAGGCTTTGACCCTCAAGGCCAAGGCCAAGGCCAAGGCTTTGACCCTCAAGCCTCGAGGCCAAGGCCAAGGCTTAACCCTCAAGGCAAAGGCCAAGGCCAAGGCCCTGTTTTATGAAATGACCACTGATATAGAACTAATTATAGTCACATGAGTGACACATCATCACGCAAGGGCGGATCCAGAACACAATTTGGGGGGGGCAAAGAAATTTTGGTCCCCCCCAAAAAAGTGGGTAAAAAAAATGACAGCTTGGGCTTCGGGGCCCGCTTAAGGGCCCCGAAAAAAATTTGGATTCGAGATGCTCTGTGGTGCGATTTGAGGCAATTTCTGACCATTTTAACCGATGTTTTTTGAGGAAAAGATGGTGGTGTACTCATTGCCTGACTTTATTACGACGTCACATAAAAAAAAAAATGGTTTCGTTTGGGGGGGGGGGGGCATGGCCCCTTTTGGCCCCCCTGGATCCGCCCTTATCATCACGAATTGCTCGTTACGAAGAACAACATTTCTTTAATTGCAATCAACATGCTCGCATAGGCCTGCACCATTTTATGACTGCACTGTATCTATTTAAGTATAAGTTCAGGACTTCAATATGGTTTAACTAAACAAAATAATGATTTACTTCTATATTGACACACAATTCTCCCAAGTGTAACAAAAGGGGGATCCAAGAAACTGATTTGGGATTTTTTTATTTGCTGGCCCAACATGGTCAGAAATATCAGCATTATCTAAAACAGATACATGCAAATATTTAGCACTTTAAGGAGACATATACAACCAATCAAATCTATTCTATAGTTATATGCAATTAAAGTGATCATCTCATTAGCCCCACAAGTGTACGGAATATTTTTGCAGCAAATCTACTACAATGGTAACAAAATGTGATGCTACAAAAGTGGAAGTGTGCCCAACACACAAATCTACAGGGTGCTTCCCTCCTCCATGGTACATGTAATACAAAATGGTAACAGCAAAATTTCGAACAGATTTATCTGGAAAATGCAAAAATCTATGGGCCTTGAAGAGCCTTGACTCAAAATTGCAAGGCCCTGAACCCTCAAGGCCAGGGCCAAGGCCAAGGCTTTTGCCCTCAAGCCTCGAGGCCAAGGCCAAGGCCCTAAAATCCAGCCTTAAGGCAGCCTTAAGGCCAAGGCCCAGCATCAAGGCACTACATCACTGGTATGTGATTTTCAACCGCAATACTTTGAAAACAAATCAGCCAATATTTACAAAACAAAAGAAAGGTCAATAAGGAAATGCACTTTTGCACACAACAATTCATGTACTGTACTAACCGTGCAGCATGTATTCCAAAATGCGTGAGACACTTTCACAAAAACAAACTTCATTTCTGTAACTGACAAAATTACAATTTCTCCGGGTCTTTGCGCAGATTAATAAATGTCCTTCTTTCGAAACGTCTCTCACCGAGAACCTGTGTGACACGACGCATGACCCCAACCACTACACATCACGATCTGGAGGTGTGGGTTTGTGTAGGATCGACGTCTCTGTAGTTCGAAGCCATTGCTCTATACGTTCCATTGGTATAAACGTCCCATTGGTCCGACATCCCATTGGTCCGACGGCCCATTGGTCTATACGTTCCATTGGTATAGGCCTAAACGTCTCATTGGTCTGAAGTCCCATTGGTCCGAAGTCCCATTGGTCCGAAGTCCCATTGGTCCGACATCCCATTGGTCCGAAGTCCCATTGGTCCGAAGTCCCATTGGTTACCGAAGTCCCATTGGTCACTGAAGTCCCATTGGTCCGACATCCCATTGGTCCGACGTCCCATTGGTTCGAAGTCCCATTGGTCCGGAGTATGCATTGGTCCGAAGACCCATTGGTCCGACGCCCCATATAGGATTAAGGTTAGCGTTTATAAGGGTCAGTCAACCTGAACCAGTGGAACTCGTCGGACCAATGTTTCGTCGGACCAATGGGGCGTCGGACTATCGAGACGTAACCGCATGATGCAGACAGTGTGCATTGTGTTCATGGATATTACATACGGATGTTTCACATTGTGTGTCCTCGATTTACACCATAAACATAATGCGCCCATCACCCATACAAGCCGCGACGAAGCCACGAATTCTCACACAGTGCGTCTGTCGGGGTAACGCGTCGGATCACACGGGTTCTCTGAGAGACGTTTTAAGATTCTAATCAGCGGCTGTTGCCAAATCACCCATCTGAACACCATACGCTCGCGCAAGTCTCCTCTATGCACGTGCATCCAGGCAACGAACCTTTAACTTGTTATACAAAACTAAGATGGGCAAGCATTGGACAAACATTAAATTACACAATAAAAGCCGAAATTACTCGGACAGAATATAGGCTAAAGAAGTAAATTCTCGTGTTGACGAACACAACTATAGCCGTTCTCGAGCGGGAAGCACAAAGGTGACCAAACAATGTATTATTCACCCAAATACGTGTACAATACAAACTGGCTACGTCACTTTTGCATAATGCATAAATTGAATAACAGACTCAGATCGCCCGTACTCAGGTAGAAGAAAACGAACTACATGACAATTCAAAAAGATAAGTAAAACAAAAAAAAAGGCTTTTACACTTTCAACTCTAAATTTCGCTAAGGCGCAATCCCTTTTCTAAAAAAAACAACTGCAAGTGAAACTTACGCGATCTCCCCTGGCATGCTGGCAGTTTATATACAGTCATTTAGTACGGACACTTGTCAGTGTACCTAACCAAATTGGAAGATTTCTATTGTTTTAGCAAAAATGTCCTTGACCTGTGACCCGTCGGGCCCAAAAGCAACAGGCTTTTTAAGACTTCTTAAGACGTACCTCTGGTTCTTTTCAGAACCATTCTCTTAGTTGAGGAATTATTCGCACGTGGTGTTTCGCAAACCTTTCATTATTAAGTATCTGCACCATGCAAAGCCTCAAATCTTACTTAAGACTGCAAGAGCAACCCACAAACAAAATTTCAAGTAATTTGCAGTAATCGCGCTCAGAAAATATCTATTGTTTTGACAATAGTGACCTTGACCTTTGACCCGTCGGCCAAAAAGCAATAGGCTTCTTAAGATTACCAAGAGCAACCCACAAACAAAATTTCAGGTAAAGTAAAGTATTTCCCAAGTTATCGCGCTGAAACAGTTCAGAAATCAAATGACTCGATCATTGTAAATCTAAACAAATGTACATGTGTTGTTAACTGCAGGCCTATTATATAACCCGTTTATAATGGCAAAGCTCCATCAATGGATTTTCCCTGGTCACGAATACATTTCTATAAAACTATCAAGGTATTAAGTGCATTTCTTTTAGATAGATTTTCCCGGCTATTTTAAAAGATTTTTCATTCAAATTCACCAACTCCATCCTTCAATTTCGTCCACGATAAATTTCACACGCTTTTAACAAAATAAACTTTTAGTCGTGTACCATTGAATTTTACAGTTCAGTCACCCTCTTTAGTCACCGGGTCGAGAATATTTGTCATTACATATCAAATTCGTCTAAGCTGTTGACACAAGGCAGCATTCAAGGATCGAATTCGTCTTATATATATCAATTAGACGAATTTGATTTCTTGAAATAACACGACTCGAAGTAGACGAAATCGAATAATCCGGGTCGAAAACATTCACTTTGCTCATTGTTTGAATTTGTTTAGACTTACTTTGAAATTGTCTGGCAAAAGACGAAATTAACCATTGGAAGTGCACTAAATCGATGTTGCATGCTAGACGAATTTGAATAAAAGAATCAGTGAATTCGTACGAAAAATGTTTAAAAATAGCCGGGAAACCAATACTAAAAAACCTTACTCTTCTTTTCAGTCTTACTTTTCGGTCTTCGAACAGCATTGGTTTCATGATAAACTCCGCCTGAAGATTCCTTTATGCATATTACTTTGGTATTTAATAAGAACTTTTCAATCCTTCCTCTCTGTTTGATCTTGAGTTGATTTAAGTCTTCAAAACCAGACATCATTTTGAACATGCATTTCTCGGGTGCCACATTCAAAACGTAATTGCATATATCATGTCACATCTATGCAATTTTAATTTGCACAGAATCTTAGACAATGTACAAAATTGTTATTAAAATATGATTGAACGAACCGTTATCTCAGTATGATACTCAACATTGTTAAAAAATAATCCTGTCAAATAGAGCTATCGGAGAACATGTATTAATTTTCGAAACACGTTTTGGTCACGTCAGACGATCCATATCACAAAATGAAATTACACGCGTGGCTTGAGATAGATCTTGATATCATTCTGAGCTTTCAGGATCATTTCTCCGGAGAACTTGACCGGGTGGTTGGGGTCCAACTCCAGGTGGAACCTCCTCAACAGACGAACCAGGATCACTTTCTCCTCGTTCATGGCAAAATTCTGCCCGATACAGTTCCTGAAGAAAAAAATCAAAAAAGTATACTATAGTTTGCAAAAAAGGAGATTGTTTTTAATCATTGGAGTTGTGATATCGTTTATAACAATGTCTCTACACTGTAAAATAGTTGGTAAATAATTCGTTGGGCAAAATACAAACAACGCAATATTAGGTGCAGGCAATTTTGCCCAATAGTTGAATGTGTTAACTATTCGCCCATCGTTGTTCGAATAATCACCCATTTTGCCCAACATTTTTAGAGTGTATTTATCTAGGCCAAGCGCCAACTTAATGTGACGCATTTGCCAAGGTTTCTGCGTCAAAATGGCCAGGAAAATGATCCAGAGAAGAGTCGTTTTGACTCGAAAAGTATCACTTTGACCCTAAAAGAAACAGGTCAAGCATGATCCAGTCAAGTATATTATCTGTGTGTATACTCCAAACAAAATGGGGAAAAAGTGCCGGATTACTTAAACTCGTTCCAAATTGACAATGGTATTATCAGGAGAACTTCCGAAGTCCATTATCTTGGCCTTATTATTGATGATAAACTGAGTTGGGATACCCACATTAATACTCTGTGTCTTAAACCTATAGGCAATTTCGGAGAGTAATTTAATACAGCTCTATGTGAGTACACAACTTAACGTATTTGCACAAAACAGTCAGTGTCTGCTCAATGAAGGAATCGTTCTTGCAGTTCTTTCAAGATAAATTAAGACAATTTTGCGAACCAGAGAATTGCCATCTATAATGTTCAACATTTGTTTTGCATGCGACTCTCATTTTCAAGAATGAACAGCTTATAATCATATGGGCTTTTTCTAAAACTTTGACTTCGGTTGGCCTCAGGCTCTAGATCCATTGCCAAAACTGCATGCCTTAAAGATATAGTCCATCATTTGTAATTTGTGCATTTTGTTCATTTGAAGCAACAAACTTGTTCAAAATCTAATGAAGGATACTGAACAACTAACCTGATGAAGTTTCAGCTCAGCTTCAGCTGTATATTCCGAGAAAAACAGCATTCTAGGATCTCAATTTCAAATCAAAGGTTGCTGAATCATGTTTGAATTGTTCTGAATTGCAGCTATACGCGATGTCGCGCACTGCTCCGACGAATTATAGCAACCGCGCGCTGCGCCGAATAACAAATGAACTACTAATTTAAATTTTCTTAAGACGCACCGTTGGAAAGGCCTTCTTTCGTTGATTACTTCGAAATGACAGCTTGCCAGAAAGATTAATTGTACAGGGAGTTTAGTCCACCTACTATCTTTCAACCAAGTATGTTTTGCAACAATAATACGCCAGTTACTTTTTTCGGATGGCTGCAAATGATGGACTATAGCTTAAAGCCGCTAGCTACGGGGACAAATCCGGGTCTGAGAAACGGCCAACAATCACATTTGGTTCATATAATCTGTGCATCATGATGTAAATTGAGATTGAAAAACAGCGATTGTCTTTTAATGAAGAATTTAATGCACAATACTAACTGTTGTTCTTTTTACCTGGGACCTGCAGCAAATGGTAGATAAGAGAAGGGGTCCATTTTCTGGATATTCTCAGAAGAGAATCGGTCAGGATCGAAAGTCTGTTGAATTGAACAGCGATATAAAGCGAAAATAATGAAATGCATTCCCAAATAAATTGTCCACTGTAGGATTATAGCCAGTAGGTCTTTAAATATACACACAACAAAAATAAGGTGGTCACTCATCAACCAACTTCCCCAAAATATATGTCACTAAATTCTCAAATTGATACGTTATGACAGGCTATTTTGAGTTCTATCTGAACAGATGTGTCCACCAAATGTCCAATGCATTCTTCTTACTAGTGGGATGCCGCGCTTCGCAAGGCACCCACCAGCTGGACTGGGTCATATACATTATACTAATGTATTACTTTGACCCAATTTGCATGTTCAAACCAAGTGGGTGTGGTCAGCTTTGGTGAAGCAATTTCGCCACATTTTTCATCATTAACGTTATGTTTTGCGTAATAGCGATATTCCTTTTGAAGAGATGCCATAGAAATAATGGTGTAATATTTGACTATTGAAAGTCCGAAAGAAGTGCATTTGCCAAAAAAGCAAAACAAATCGAAGAAATCATTTTTGTACGGGCCAACTGTGACTTCAGAGGACAGTGAAATCATAGCAGAGGACCTGAATACACTGAACATAATTATTTCCATTAACCGTTGCATTTTGTGCACATAGGCCTTTTGCAAAACGAAACGTGACAGTACAGAAAAAGTACATACAGACACCATGCATGCAAGCGAGACATACACACACAATGGGATCTTTATAGGAAGTACAGGTACAAAGCAGAGAAAGAGAGGCGATTTGTTTTTATGTTGAGGCACGGAACACACATCTCAGCCTGTATTACATGTATAAAGAAGACAGATATCCTGAAGCTCCGAAGCAACATAAAAGAGCATACACAGGTGCGCTAATTGTATACGAGCGTTTGGTTTCTGTATATATTAATGTTGATCAATTACCATATGATCAGGCCAGATGAGAGGGTTATGGTGAAGGCAGTAGATGGCTAATTGTATGGTTGTTCCAGCTAGGAGGGCCTTGCCATCAATTTCAACATCCCTCTCCAGAACCCTCATGATGTACGGCACCGGAGGGTACATCCTCATCGTCTCCTTGAGACACTGCACCAGGTACTTGAACTTCCCAAGATCCTCCCTGTAAAACAAAAGTGCAGAAGTGGTCCATACCTTGGTATAGGTTTTCCCGGCTAATTTAAAAGATTGTTCGTTCGAATTTAGCGATTCTTGTATTCAATTTCGTCCAGCAACATCGATTTAGTGCACTTTCAAAGTTTCATTTCGTCTCTTGTCCGACAATTTCAATTTAGTCCAAATAATAAATTCAAATAAATAAATTCAAACAATGAGCACACGTTTTCGACCCGGTGTATTTGATTTCATCTCGTCCACGCCGAATCGTGTTATTCAGAAATCAAATTCGTCTAATTTATATAAGACGACGTTGATCTGTAGATGCTGCCAGTCGGCAACAGCTTAGGCGAATTTGATCTGTTATGACGAATATTATCAACATCTGTTTTCCCCTTAGAGTTCAATACCTCAGCCACCCCCTGATCAATCCTGAATCTGATCTCCCTTACCACAGGACTTCCTCCGACTCTCTGCCCGCCATCACCTCGTCGATTTCCTCCTGGACTTTCCTCTGATGTTCAGGATTGGTTGCCATGGCATACAGCATCCAGGCAATAATAATTATCGCTATCTGTGCCAAAACAACTCAACAGCAGATCCACCATCCTCGTCGTGGTTGACATGGACGGATGAATGGGAGAGGGCTAATTACACCGCATGAGTTCATCGAGGAGCATTCAATCACGAGGGCTCCACCTTGAGTGTACGCCTTAGGGTAAGGCTAAATCGCCTCCTCACGGGGCGGGGAAATACCCGCCCCTTCCTCTACCGCATCCTTGCTTTTGACGATGATACCTGCTCTAGTGGGTCTCCCCAAACAATATATTCCCCAGAAAATATTAACTATTCCTGCAAGCGTGCCCAATCTTCAAGCCCCCTCACGGACCCCCGGTCTGATCGAGCTTGATGGAGATATAACCAATTAAAAGTGGCTGCAAGAATGTGACATTCCTTAGTGATTTAGCTACTAAAAAATCATACGAACGAAGATGACCTATTATAACTGGATAAACGTAAATCTTAACGGTTCGCCCTTACCACAAGACTTCCTCCGACTCTCTGCCCGCCATCACCTCATCAATTTCCTCCTGGACTTTCCTCTGATGATCAGGATTGGTTGCCATGGCATACAGCATCCAGGTCAGGCCGCTGGCCGTGGTGTCGTGACCCTCGAAAAGAAAAGTGTCCACCTCGTTACGGATCTCCAGATCCGTCAATCCCTTGTTGTCTTCATCTCTGGCGGACAGCAAGATGTCCAAGAAGTCCAGGTACTTGCGTTCAGACCCAGCGTCTGGATGTTGCTTCTTTGCCTCCTAAGAGGAAGTAAATACTCCAGTGACAAATTCGTTCTACATACTCACCAAGAGACAAATTGTCTGCTCCTGCTTGGGCGCAGGGGACGCAGGTTAGATATATTGAAAAAAAATTGCCATGATTACACATTTAAAAAAACACCCATAAACTGAGCAGTTATTTGCTTTCATGTTCATCGTATATTATGTGTGCAACATACCAGTTCTGATCGACGCCGTTTTATGACCTCATCAGACACGTTATGAACAAAGTCGCAACTCTTCATAAACCTGCGTCCCATTGAAGACAGCTTGAACGGCAAATTGAAGTAAAGAAGCATCGAACTGTTAAAAAAGTAAAAACATTTTTTACCAAATCTAAATTATAGCAAACCAGTTGCGAGAAAATACCACAGCATGCAACAGTCTGATGAAGCTTAATGTTAAGGAAATACAATAATTTCAATGTCAAATCACCTTTACGTCAATACATGAAGGCCTATACTTACAACATTCTGTCTATGACGATGGTCGATAACTGGGACGTGGCCTTCACATAAGGATGCTTATCACTGCAAGAATGGGGTATAGTTTGATTTAAGTTGTTACAATACTGTGAAAGTTATCTGAAACAAATCTTGGTTTCAACATTCTGCAGAGAATTCTCCATTTCCCGCATCGACGTGCGTTGAATATACTGCCGTGGTAGAATTTGTTGATAGTTTTACCATCATCAATGCACAAACAGCCAGTATCTGTGCCATCGGATTATGCATAGAATTTTAATTAATACACATCCCATTTTTTTCACCAAATGTTTTGACCTGCCTGAAAAAATCTAGACAAATATAGTCGCAGGACTCGCAGCCTCACACACGACTGCCCTTCATATTGGCACAGTACTAGTGGGGATATACGTACCCTCTGATTTGGCAGTCTGATTCGTACGAGAAGGCACATCGAAGGAGGACGTCGAGGGTTAAGAGGCTGATGTTCTTGGTGACTTCAAAACTAACTCCATCGGTAGCACACTTGTCCAGCTTGGTCTAGATTGAGATGAAAGGTCAAACAAATGACTCTATTCCCTCACTGGATGAAAGTATATGACGGGTACTTTCCAGCTAATGGCTGTACCCATGTATGCGGAGAGGGGTAAATGGGAATGAAGTGGCTTGCCCAAGGACACAACATACATGTAAGGCCAGCAGCTTGATTCGTAACCAGGCCTGACATTGTGATCATGAGCCACGATCCCTAATATAGGCCACACTCCCCCTCTTGAATTAAGTTATTATTACTTCAAAAGTTTGGTGGAACGAACCATGAATACATCCACCGCCTCGTTGTAGACTGGTACGTAAGGCTTGAGGACATCAAAGTGGAAAGCCGGGGTGAGGAGGCGACGATTACGGAGCCAGGTATCGCCCTTGGCAAGGAGCAGACCGTCACCCAGCCAGGGCCGCAAGAAATTGTAGGAAGGCTGGCCCTGCATCAGTGGCTTGGGATCTGGAAATATACGATTATAATGTAGGGCGTTGGTGTAATACGCCTAGCAGACGCATTGCTTCGTGAACCTCCAAACAAGGATCAGGAACTCATGCCACACAGATCTAGGATATCTCTGCGAATACAATCCTTTCTCCTCAAGCATAAACCCTGAAATATGATGTTTAACCTCTCAATCTTTTTAGCCTCTTTAAAGGTGTTATAACACAGAAACAAAATTGACGTTTTGACAAGATTAACATGGTATTTAAAAATGACAAAAATGTACTCGTCGTTCAAAAGAGGCAATATTCGAGGTCGACAAGGCAGCACAGAAACGGTGACAAGTAAGCACGTTATTTTGTAAACAAAATATTCTTGTCAGGATAAAACTTTGTTTTAATTTGAAGCAGAATCTGAAAAATAATAAGGCCTACCTTACAATGGGGAAAACGTGCATGACAAAAGTAGACTCTTGTATATTTCAATCGAGCTTACCGCGTCCTTTCATCACAGGTCTACAGATGTCCGGGTGGTTTGCCAAAAGAAAACCTCCCGTCGGGCCAAAAAGTAAGTAGAATCCTCTGGGGAACTTGTCTGTCAGTTTACAGTTGAATATGAAGCCTTCCTCTGGTGACTCGGTGCGTGTTTTCAGATTTGCCATCGGATGCTGGGGAGTTGGTAAATCAGACCAATGACATGCTAACGAAGATCTGAATCAGACTGCATTTTGAAGCATCCGTTTTAACGGTTGTAATTGTGAGAAGGTAATTGGGCTGCACAGCTATTCAAGATTTCAGGAGGCCTAAGTTTCATAACTATAATGAGAGTGCCGAGAAAAGTCCCACTTCTATGACGTTCCGGTCTTGCAACAACTGTTTTGAATCAGCCGATTTCAAGGCATATCGACGTATAGAAAACTGACGAAGAGATAATCATCGAATTAGATCCATCGGCAACCTAGTAACTGGAAGTCTTAGGTCAAGTGATGAGCTGTCCAAATGACATCCATTCGTCATTGCTCACCGTCACTTCACTTGCGACCGGGTTGGACTCGTTGTGTTATGAATTGCGATTGACTGTCATTGACTTGTGATGACTCGATTGAAACGGTTGACCATAATATTGAGAACATGACACTCAAACTGGGGAAATCGTGCATTTAAAGTTATAGGGTGTCAACAAGAGCAGTAAGAAATGTCCTTACCTGATGAAGGTTTCCATAGAGCCAGTGGACGGGGAGGCCTGGCCATTGCAGAAGCACTGCTCTCTGCTTCCGAATCGAGCTTACCGTACTGACAAGAAAGTAGGCTACATATACCAATATGACCACCAGTGCCACGCTCACGACGATTCCGGCTACTGCCATGATGCCTTTTCAGTACAACAGGTAACGTAGCTGAGCTGTAGTCAACAATTGCTGGCAAAGGAAATTATGCCCTTTCAGTCCAATATAGCTAGCTTTGAGTAAAAGGAAAAGAGCCTAATTTAATACAGGGGCGTCAATCGCTTCTCAAAAGGGGGGGGGGGGGGGGGGGCATACCTAGATCAGCCAGAACTATAATGCGAGTGCGAAGCGCGAAGCCTTATGGCGTAGGGGTTTGGGGCACGTGGAGTTCGGTCACAATTATTTCTGACCACTTTAACCAATATTTTCTTAGCAAAAGATAATAATTTAAACATCATTAGTGAGGTTGGAGTAATTGAATCAGTTATTATGAGCTATATAGGCGTACATCCAACACGACTAACTTTTAAAACGCTCATCATGTTTTGAAATGAAGGGCAGAAACACTCTGTATTAATACAGAATTATCAGCAAACAAACCAACCAACACCGCTGAAAACATAACCTCCTCGGCGGTAATAAGAGCATTGTCGTTGAACCATGCACCAACCGATAACGGCAGTGGCGTAGCCACGGGGGGGGGGGGGGGGGACAGCCCCCCCATGAAACCTTGTCGCCCCCCAGTCGCCCCACCCCCCCCCCCCCCCCCCTCACTGAGATTTTGAGTTTCTAAAAAATTATCATTAATCTACATGACGCCCCCCCCCCATGAAATGTTCCAGCCCCCCCAGCGCCCCCCCCCCCCAGCGCCCCCCCCCCTCCCCCCACTGAAAAATTCCTGGCTACGCCACTGGATAACCGTACAACGCACTCGTTGACACGATCGTATACTGTATACATATACAGTCCAGAACATAGAGCTATATTAAATTACAGCGCTATGGTCCAGAATGACTATTGACATAGGTTTTACCGGCTATTTTAAAACTTTATCATTCAAATTCACCGTTTCTTTTATTCAAATTCGTCCATCAGCATCAGTTTAGTGCAGTGTTTAATTTCGTCTTCGGACAATTTCAAATTCAGTTCCAGCAAATTCAAACCATGAGCACACGTTTCAGTCCCAGAGTATATTCGATCGTCTCTTCTATATAAACCAAACCTAAAGGCGAATATTCTCGACCCGGTGACTACAGAGGGTGATCACTGCCTTTGAACTTGAATGGTAAATAACTAAATTGGGTTTGTTAAAAGCGTGTAGCCTAAAAATTTTCTCGGACGAAGTTGGATCTTACAGTTGGTGAATTTGAATGACAAATATTTTGAAATAAGTAGCCGGCCGGAAAATCTATACATTAACGTCAGACTCACCTTATAGCTCACCTGTTCCTAATAATGTGGTTTCGAGGCATGCACTGATATTCCTGGATCTATAATAAATGCCACAGTGTAGAGTCTATATAACAATAATGGACGAATTATTAACATAACCTTCCTGCAACACAAAGCCTTATCATTCAAGCAATGCAACGTCACACTAACCCCCGACGATATGCGATCTGACACAAACCCGAACTTTGACCGAGAGTCGCAATCATGACCTTTGACAATACACACGACGGCAACATTTTGCTCTTATTTTCATTTCACAATGGATCAACGAACCTCTTTGAAAGTGCCGCACAGCTTTCGATGTTCAACATATAGATACGCAGCAGGGGGTTGTGAGCAGTGTTGAAAACCACTATTTGTTTTAAAGACGTATCCCATCAGGAGAAAATTCCAATCGAGTCCCATTAACTTGAAAGTCCCCGTCGGTTCCATTTTCCATTCAGGTTGACTTTATAATGGGATCTGACTGATCCAATGGGATTTTAGTGAATTCCCATTGAATATGTCCCAAATTCCATGTTGAGTGGAACACAATATGGAAAACATTGGAAACTAGACGGCACTCAGAGAGTGCAAACCTCCACCCCATGAAACCTTGTCGCCCCCCCCCCCCCATTGAGATTTTGAGTTTCTAAAAAATTATCATTGATCTACACGAGGCCCCCCCCCATGAAATGTTCCAGCCCCCCCCCCAGCGCCCCCCCCCCCCCCCCCCCCCCCCCCCCCCCCCCCCCCCCCACTGAAAAATTCCTGGCTACGCCACTGTAAACAGATGACATTCAATGGAAGTAATGAAACGGTGTTTTTTTTACCAACAAAATACATATTCGTTTAATGAAAGTAACAGGTGCGACTGCACGGTAAGAGCCGTCTTTCATGAAAGTCTTAATGCATGAAATCAGGGGCGTCAATCGCTTCTCAAAAGTGGGGGAGGGGACATGTACCTTGATCAGAACTAATGCGAGCAAGAAGCGCGAAGCCCTTATTACGGCGTTGGGTTCGGGGCCCGCTTAAAGGGAATATACATCATTTGCTTTTGCTGTAATTTTCAGAAATGGATGGAATTGGGGGGTTGGAAATATAAAGCAAATATAGTTACACTGACTTTTTGGAGGTTTTGGGTTCGAAAATGCTATAAAAACCAAGAAAAACGATCATTTTCCTGTAGTCTGGTTCCCTGACTCCATATAAGAAGAAACAGAGCAGTTTACATACATTGGGGAATTGTAAGGTCAGGGAACCAGTCTAGCTGGTTCGTACCCGTTCATAGGTTTGTAATCGATTGCAAACAAGTGCAATGGTCAATTGGGGCCAGTATTTGAAAAAAAGCTAGTTGTTTCCAACGCTGATCGGCCGATCAGCGTTGGAAATTGATACAAAATACCACTTTTCTTGAAAATGACAGTATACCAGGTTCCATAATTTTACAGGATGCTTTAGACTGTCATTTACCAACATCCTATTAAGGTATTTCGCAAAAACTTGGTAGTTTTATTTTTCGATGTTTGCAAATGTTGTATATTCCCTTTAAAGGCCCCGGAAAAAAATTGAGTATTGACGCCCATGCATGAAATTATACAATTATTACTCACTTCAATAAGAATTTCCAATTTTGTTGAAAGTCAAAATGCAAAATAATAGTGACCTTCATAAGGAAAATGTATCCTCACTCCCATGCCTTGAGACTCCTAAAAATGACACAGGGCCAGAGGTAGGGGTGATGTAGTCACAAGTCACGGAAACCCCCGAACTTCCTAAGTTCATAGAGGACAAAAAAAAAATCACGTGACTGTCACATTACCACACATTTTCTTGCCTATATTAAAACAATTTCATAAACAATGTCACGAATTGTTACAAACGATTTTTGTCAAGTATTTAATGTATTTTGTTTGGGTGGGTTTTTTTTGGACAGTTACAATTTGGTAGTTGTATGGGTGAGCTAATTAGGGGTTCGTTTTGGTCAATTTTTTTTGGGGGGGGACCGACTGCAGGACCGACCGACCGATACCCGAGTGACTTGTAGAAGCTCTAGTTGCCCGAGCTTAAAAAAGCCCAGCCAGTCGCCTTCTGTCTGCCTATCCATTGCATCGTGGGGGTTGGCCCCAAAATAAAAAAGCCGTTGGCAAGACCAAAGCCAGGGGCGTAAATCTCGAGGATGGGGGGGGGGTATATATTCCCCCACTTTTAGACCAGGGGGTGGGTTATTGAATCATCCCCCACACTTTTTCGTGATAGGAAAAACAAAACGCGGACTTTGAGGTATTTTTCGAGCATCTCAAAAACCCAAATGTATTTAATAGCATTGAAAAGTGGAGAAACAAAGTACAAAAAAGCTTTTAAAATGCGCTGTTTTCGATGAAGCACGAATATATATACATGTTGATATACATCTAAATCCTGAAGAGCGCCCCCTAGTGCAATGTGGTGTCCAGGGTGGAGTAGGGCCTACGGAACACATGGTGCCAAATTATAGGGCCTATACGAAACACTTAACCCGGGCCGCGGCGCCTGGGCTGGCTCATGAACCAATGACTACAATGTAGAAAGAGCCCGAATGTGGAGTATAAGTATCTTGGCACTGTAGTCATGGGCGTCGCCAGGATTTTTTTCCGGGGGGGGGGCAGCGTGAGCATTTGCCCTACCCCCCCCCCCCCCCATCAAATTTACAGCAATATGGCTTCGTACCTCTTTTTCCCTTTTTTTCCCCTCTTTTTTTTTCGTTTTCGTGGGGGGGGGGGGAAGCGCCCCCTTGCTCCCCCCCCCCCTCGAGACGCCCATGACTGTAGTGGATGATAAACTCAACTGAAAAAGGAAAACTGACATGATGCAGCAAAGCTAACCAACGCATGTACTTTTTAAGGAAACTTAAGCAAGGCATGTGTACCGCCGGACTATTCTGCGTTTATTTTACCAGTCCTTGATACAGAGTGTTCTGACTTTTATGCACATTCGGTTCCTTTATACACAGCAGAACAGGAAGAAACTCAAACGGGTAAGGACAATTTCTCAGCGTGTCATACTACAGGTTTAGCCTTGCCCTCGTTGGATACAAGTTTTGAAACACAAACCGGGTCTCTAAATTAAGCACAATAATGAAGGACCCGACTCATCCATTTTTGTTAATCGTTCAGGCCGATCAGACTTGAGTCCGTCCCCGGCCCCCACAGAAAAACTCACTCCATTTTCGACAATCTTTTGCCCCAAATTCAATCCATCTCTTCAATCACTCAACCAAGCGGCAAACTTTGCCAATGATTTTAAACGTAATACATGAGTGTTTTATTCACATTGTACTGCAGCTTTGATTATTACACGTGTATAATAGATATATTTTAAGTAGTAAATCGTAAGTGAAAATTGTAAAATTTAAGTTGTAAATTGTAAAAATTCATTTTCATCTTATTTTCCTTCTTTAGTAGTTAGATGTATGTTGTATTTTGATTTTTGTAGCAGGTTTTTGATGCACTGTTAGTGTTAGTTATTGTGTTACCAATGGAATATGATTATCCGTATTTCTAAAATGCGGACAATAAAGAATCATTATCATTATCACAATTGTGCCATCGGCGTCGCATTTTGCGCCAGAGCTTATTGTGCAGTTGCACTTGTTCATAAACACTTTTCCGCGAAATACTGGCCACATCATATTAACAGAAAAAGAGCACTTCCGACCAGTTACCATGGGCGTCGCCAGGATTTTTGTCTGAGAGGGGCATTCGCAAAGCACCCCCGAAATTCCTGTACTTTTCCATCACTAGTTCTTGTTTTATCATTTTTCGAGGGTGGGCAGGGACATTTGCCCTCCCCCAACCCATCATAAATTAACAACAATACGACTTCGCGCCTCTTTTTGTTTTTGTTTTTTCTCCTTTTGTTTTTGTTTGTGTGTGCGTGTGTGTGTGTGTTTTTGCTTTTCCGGGGGGGGGGGGGTGCCCCCTTGCTCCCCCCCCCTTCGCGACGCCCATGCCAGTTACGAAGCCTTTGTTAAAAATGAATATTAGTGACATCGAACACGGGATAACTTTACATTTTCTTCAGTAATTATTTCAATTGGAATGGCGCTTTCTTTTAATTATAATTAAAAAAATGGAGATAGACATTTATTTTAACTTACAGGCACTCACATCTACATTTTGTCTCCGTAAAATTGTAAGCACGGAATATTTTCAATTAGAATGCAGCGCAATAATTTGCAATTTCAAAAATGTTGAAGGTGTAAAAAACATCAGTCATGATTAACACGGATGATATTTAAGAAGTCACAAACGGTCACAAATATTTTTTTTCCCACTCCCCCTAACATACTTGTAACAAACCAACGGGGGTCCCCAATATTGTCTTATTGACCCCAGGCGCGCGGTTCTAGAGCATGATATTTTGGGGGCTAGCAGGGTGGATCCAGAATTTTTTTCAGGGAGGCGTGCTGAAATGTAGACCGGTTATTTTCTCCGGACTCGCCTCCGAAAATAAATAGGTGGGGGTGGTGGTGGTGGTGGGTCGGTGGCTCGTGCCATATTTTCAATGGGGAGCGCTGATATTGATAACATCCTACAATCAGGCACACTATATTAGCTAAAAGTGTACAAATGCACCCTTCTCACGACTATTTATTTAGGGGGAGAACTAGCCCGACTGCGTCTGGCCGTACAGTACTATCGCAAGCTCTGTAGTACGGCCAGACGCCCGATGCTTCCACAGAGACTGAATTTTGTTGGCCGCCGATGTAGCGATTTTGCTACATCTTTCGATCGCGATTATCTTTTTATCCAGGACACAAATTTCCAAAGTTAAGGTTCGTAGTCGTAGAGCAACTCATACCTTTTCGAAAAAACGTTGTTTGGTCTCAATATTTTCATCCATCTGGCCACAAGACGAATTTCAGTCATCAGATTCCACAAATATCGTCCCCCATGCGATCCCTCATGCGATTTCAAAATGGCAGCCGCGCTGTAATGTATGCAATATGCAGGCACGCCCGCACAAACTCATGAATATGCATAAACAGTCTGTGACGTATGACCTCGTGTTTTTGGACGTGCGTGCGGCGCGCGGTGGGGCCCGTACGTCCAAAAACACGAAGTCATACGTCACAGACTGTTTATGCATATTCATGAGTTTGTGCGGGCGTGCCTGCATATTGCATACATTACAGCGCGGCCGCCATTTTGAAATCGCATGGGGGATCGCATGGGGGACGATATTTGTGGAATCTGATGACTGAAATTCGTCTTGTGGCCAGATGGATGAAAATATTGAGACCAAACAACGTTTTTTCGAAAAGGTATGAGTTGCTCTACGACTACGAACCTTAACTTTGGAAATTTGTGTCCTGGATGAAAAGATAATCGCGATCGAAAGATGTAGCAAAATCGCTACATCGGCGGCCAACAAAATTCAGTCTCTGTGGAAGCATCGGGCGTCTGGCCGTACTACAGAGCTTGCGATAGTACTGTACGGCCAGACGCAGTCGGGCTAGGGGAGAACGCGATTCGCATTCTTTTGGCAGTAGTGCAATTTTCTTTTTTTTATGGAATTTGTTTTTTTGGGGAGGGCTAGACCCCCCCCCCCCCCATCCCGCCACCCCCCTCCCCCCATAGAACCGCCACAGATTGACCCAAGTAATAACATGGCTCAGAATGCATGTTTTCATAGATGGAACTATTTACAAAAGATGAATTATTTTAACCGAGTCCACCCCAATTTCCCGCGACTCAGTTTGTGCGAAGCCGAACGAGCACGAGGTTTGTTTTAATTCACCCAACGTGTCTGGAAACCAGACGTCTAGGAACGCTACTGCAAGCTAATTACGGTACGTGACCATACGGATCCAAGATGGCCGCATAGAAAACATGAAATCACATGCAAGAGGCGTGCGAAGTTTGCCACGTATTGCGTCAGAACCGTCTTGGATATAAATTATTGGTATGTGTTTGACTTCACATTTTCCAACTTTATTCTAAAACGACACTTGTCATGCTCGTGTAAAATACAGCCTAAAGCTGGGTGGATCGATGGCTTTACTCTTATAAAAACTTGCAGCCATAAGGTAGGTTGTAATTTCCCACATGTCATCGTACATGTCGTATTGTACAGTCAGTACAGCAGTAGGCCTACTACTGAGACATCTACATGTTGTATGCAAATGCCATGTGTTGCTTTGCCAAGACATACTATTACAACTTGATGTACATTTGCATTGTGTACGTGGAGTTTTAGACTGCTTCTATATTAAATACGAAAATATTCACTTTTATGTTGTTGAATTCAGTTTATAAAAAGATACATGTAGTGGATATTTTGCCGGAGGTAATGACGGCAAACTAACGTTTACTAAAGGTTTGCCGGCGGCAATCCATATCAACAGAGGGCGCTGTACTCTTTAAGATAGGGCTGAATTATAAGATGTATTAAATTACCACCAAAAGTTGTGAAGCACGTTTGGTGTAGCGGTTAATGGTTAAGCAAAAGCTCTAGTGAGCGGGATGACTCGGGTTCGATTCCGACCCCCGCCACATTTTAAAGGTTTTTTTTCCCATCCCCAAATAAATAAGAATATTCTTCTTTTATTATTTTAACATGTCTCAAACATTTTATTGCAGAGTAGGGCCTATTACATTTTCTTTTTGAGATTTGTGGCTCTGGAGGATTTTTTTTAAAGGGAAATAAAGTCCGAAATTATAAAATGGTCTGAATCCCATCTTGTGAATACGAGGTTACAACGATAATATTGGCATGGAGCCAGACTAAAATTTGTTACCAGAAAATGTTTTGAGTACAAAAAAACAGTAACTGCGCATGTTCAGTGCATATCCGGCAAACTAACGTTTACTAAAGGTTTGCCGTCTCCGGCAAAATATCCACTGCCTTATAAAAATGGTTGTAAAATGCAGAATAGCGGCGATCGTGTATAGTACAGTGTAGGGCCCCTGTTTTATTATTGTTTAATTTCGATGAAATTTAAGTCAAGGGTGATTACTCAAAATGAGTTTCAACCTAAAGCAGACTTCTCTCATTCTCAATATAATGACACCTTTTTTTGTAATTTTTGAACAGTTTCTTGGGGTACAAACAGACAAATTACGATTTTCCTATGTTGTTTACGGTTGGTGCCATGCGATTCAGCGCGCCTTGGGGGTTCAAGGTACATTATTTGATTATGTACATGTAGGGGCCTACATCGCGCGGTGATCACCATCTTTGTTTTCGTGTTGCAGTTTGTCTTGACTTTAACAAGTCAGCAAGGCACCTGTCATGCCTGTGTGCCTTTTACGCTAGCAAGCATGTCTAATATTTTTGGGGGGTCCTGTAACGCTAGGTGAATTTTATATCTTGCGTTGATAGATTTACTTTCTCACACAAAAAAAACTCTGCAAAAAAAAGGAGTCCTATTGGCATGACTGACTATCCACCAGTCCTCCATAAATAAGGTAACAATGCGATGGTTTTTAGAACCTTTCATGCCTTGCCTGGCTCTATGCTCGGACCGACAATATTTTGGAGAAATCAGAGATTCTACTCGCCTACATCGGATTTTTGACTCGATGAACGTTGCACCCGTAAAGTGACAGTTATACCTGTAGTATTCATAGCCATTCAGTTTGTGTCAAAGGCATTCCATTACATGCAAGATCACTTGTGTTATTCTGTGGTACTAGGCGCTCCATAGATAAGGTCACTGGAAAGGTCAAATAAAGCATGCTTGCATTGCACCACAATCGTACAGTTGTCTATCTCGATCAGTCCAACAAAACCTGTAAGTTATACACTTGAAATATCACAATACCCAGTACATGCACACTGATGTACATACGTTTGGCGCGATTGCTGGATCTGCACTAGGCCCAATCACTCAATACGTCAGATATGCACTTGCGCGATCGGTCGATCCTGTAGGAAATCTTTACTTCCCTTTTTCAAAACAATCCTCCAGATTCATGAATTCGAAAGAAAAGGTGATCGACTGATAGTGACGCGATCGTCCGACGGCAGCACTATCGATAAATCGCACAGATCCATGGATCACGCCCAATAACATTCATGCAAAACCGTTGCTGCCTGTACTGCCTGTACATATGTTTGCAGTGCTGTTATTTCATGGGTCGGTTTGACTGTTTTCTAAAGAGGGGAGATTATAAATCTTCCTTTCAGGCAGCATATATGCAATGGTGATATTGATATGGTTGGCACACGCTGAACAGAAGAGGGCACCGTGGAAAGAATCCTTTGCTTTTTGTACATGTACCCGGTAGAAGGCAGGATCTAAAGGGTGGTTGAGGTGGGCCAACAACTGTTGCTGTTGCCCCCCCCCCCCCCCCCCCCCACTGACCAATGTTTCTTACATGTCGTGTTCCCTTGGGTACATATACAGCACACACACACAATTCTGCTTCCGGTTACCCAACAATGTACCTAACCCTATTTTGACAGCCCTTACCCTAATTTTTTGGGGGGAAAATTAGGAAAAAAATCCACATACATGTACCATCAACTACTGCATGTACAAATGTACATTACCTTTTACCCTTGACTATGCAGACACCTCCATATGAACGTACACAAAACAAAACTGCTCCCACCCCCCCCCCCCCCTCCAAATGCTATTTTAATTTCAAATGATATGTAATCAGAAGCAGAAGTATTTATTTTTGGTGGCATAATGCAAACAAATCCTGATGCAGTTAAGTAAGTTCCGTAAATGACATCATCACTCAGTATTGATAATACAATTGATTCATTGCTTGACTACAACCCCTCATTCACCCCTTTCCCCTTCTCACCCCTCCCCCTCCTTCTTCCCCCACTCCCCCCCCCCCTCCTCATCACCCCCTCCCCCAGCCACCCTCCTCCCTCCCAAAACCAAACAAACATGGACTTCCACACCACAGTCATTTCTGTTTAGTCCTGGATCCGCCACTGTGTTCGTGTCACATACATGTACGTACATGTACATGTGTTTTTGGCAAGACCAGATGTACATTGTGCATGACTGTGTCAATCTTCTTTTGGATCCGTCCCCCAAAGAACAGGAAATCAAATTTGCCAGCTGAAAAGCCGCCTTATTTTCTCTTGATCAATGACTTCCTGAGAGATTTCCTGCTGGCAATCCTCTGGAAGCGGCGGAAAGCTGAAATCTCGGACGCGTGTGAAAAAGCGACAGGTAGGATTTGGCTGCCCCAAGTTCACGGTCTGAAAAGGGCGGTGTCATCGGAGCCGTGGCAATGATACATGAATCCAGGCTTAGCGCAGCCACGTTCAAAGAGTTCCTCCCAGTGGTCTCCCCAGATTCTTTCTTTGTTTTTATTCTGTTTAGGGATCATGTACGTGCACGGTACCTGTGCACGGAGCCTGGAGATGTCCTCCACAAGTAAGCTCAATCCTGCACGGGCATAGCTTTTTCCTCTTTTCGGCCAGTTAACCCTAAAAGGGCCGGGGGATTCCGCCCCCCCCCCCCCCCCTTCAACTTTTTCCGCGATAGCATTGAATTTTTTTTTCGCGACCCGAGCTGTTATGACTTTTTAGCCTCGAGCCTTGTGCATCTTTTTGATACCAAAAACATAAAAAAATCAGACCATGGGTTACCGCGCGCAGCAAAAAATTTCCGGCGCTATGTGCCATGAAAACTGAACTTTCCCATACGGTACGTCGTGTACACAGAGCAGAATGACCATTCGTACATACTACATGTGAATAATTAATTAGCCATAATTCCCAAACCCTTTGACCTTTATGTATGTACAAAATTTCTTGGGTATGTTCATGATGAGTTGCTCTATACATGTACTGAGTTTCAAAATTTTTCGTAACTCGATGAGCGAGATCTGGGGGGGGGGGGGGGTGGAACCCCCCCCCTAATTTTTTTTGGGGGGTACCTTGGTCCTGCAGGCCTGGTTTGACTAATATTGATGGAGTATGATGGACTTGGTCCAGGAGGCCTGAAGCAAAGCATGCTTTGGAAGCAGTGTGATTGATGGATTTTGGCGGACTTGGACAGTACTTGGTAAAAGACAGTAGGGAGTTTGGGTTAATGCACATGCATGAATGCATGTACTTCATGTACAAAATGTACGTAAAATGTACAATAATCTATACAAAATCATACAACATATATAATATACAAAGGAGCCATAACGTCATTCATTTTATACTTGTAGATTAATACCTTTACAGACTGCAAAGTTAGCTTCCGTTGCTATCAGTGGCCATGCACCTTTATAAATTATTAATTGTGTTTTCCCTTTTTTTCCATAATGAATATTAATTGAACCAAAGATATGTACGTACAATGTAAGTACATGAAATTCAACAATTTTAACCTCCTGTATGAAGAAAGAAAATAACTTGCAGATTTTTAAAAGAAGATAACCCCACCCATTTCTCTGATTAATGATCCGGCAATTTGATGAGTGATGTGTGTTTTTTTTTTAACCCAATCTTTCATTTTTCGTTGGTCTGTTGAACAGATGTTATGACAGTGAGCGGCACACCGGTGAGGCTGGACACAGGCTGTTATGGATGAGCAAGCCTTACAAGGACTGGGGCCTATGGCCGACTCGGCCAGTCATGCCAGGGTAAGATTGATGACGAAGGCGGGTGGGCATGAAGCAGCTTAGGATTACTCCACTTGTGACTACATGTACAATGTATATTAGCAGTAGAGTAACCTACATGTACCTGCACATGCATCCTTGGAGTCATTTGGGAGCAAGTGGGAGGATAGACCATTTTTTTATCATGTTGCGGCCATCTTGATTTTTTTTCCCATTCAAATCAACGTAACCAAAGCGAGGCTAGAAGGAAAAATAGTCTGGTTGCTGTTTGCACAAAAACCCATTGTCATTCAGTACTGTTATTGGATACAGGGAACATGACTAAAATGGTGGCAGCACGATAATGGTCTGTTAGGGGCGGGGGGGGGGGGGGGGTGTTTCACGGGGGGGGGGGGGGGGAGGGGAGGTCGGAGTACATGTACCAGCTTACTTGTACATGTAGCTCCACCGATGACTGGCACAGTGAGCAGGTAACCCATTTGCGTCATGCACAACTACCCCACAACATTAAGAAAGGAAAACTGGGAGAAACATTCAAACGCATTACCAATGACGTCTGACGCTCACGCGAAGACGCTATGATTTTGTGCAAATTCAGAATACAGTAAACTTGTCATGCGTACATGTACTTTACGCTACATGTGCGCGCGAACCTGTATGAGTACACGGTGTGTCCCACCCACTGGGATCTGATTCCACCCCCACCCCCCTAAGATCTCGGCCATTGAGTGACAAATAATTATGAAGCTTGGTGCATGCATTGAACAACTTAATACGAACACACCCAAGACATTTCATGACTATAGGTTAAAGGGTTTTGGAATTATCAGCTAATTAATTATATGCAATTGTAATTCTGCTTTGTGCACAATACATATGGGGAAATTCAGTCAAGATTCGGTTTGGATCCTCCCCCCCCTCAACCTTTTGTGTGGCACTGCATGTGAACAATGGACAGAATGGAAAAACTGAAGGATAATCGATCATGCAGGTTTTCGGGTTAACTGCACAGTTCGAAAGTTGCAGCTTGAGACAAATGCTTGTTGGCACTCGACTGTGCATTTCATGGACTGAGCCAATCTTGCATTTGTCATGAATGAATGAAACAATTTGGAAATCACAAAACAGAAAGTCTGGTTTTTGTTATACATGTACTTGTACACGTATTCAGATGATCACATCGTCATTTCACCGCAGGCTAGTCTGGTGGTAGAATTCTCATGTCATTTGGGACACTAATGGCCACACATTCAATGACTCATGGTTCTTTTCCATCATTCCAAATCAGTTGTAACGCATTCTTGCTAAGCACATGTAACCTGTCATCACAAAATGAGCTTAAAGTCAGATTTTTTAAAGAATTTAGATATTTATTTATGGATTATGCACAACAAGAGCTTTCCAATGGTACAACACGAACAACTTTCAAGGGTACTGAGTTCTGTAATGGAAATATGGACCACCAACTTAATTGAAGATATAACACTTAAGAAAATGGCGTTTAAAAGTCTTGCAGACAGTGAATTATTATTTCTTTCTAGAAACAAAACCAAGGATTCCCCAAAAAAGCCACAGGCACTGTAGCTCATGAGCCTGAAGAAGACTGTGAGAAGAAATTACAGTTTTAGAGGTGGGAGGAAAACCCCTGAAGAAAATTCCGGGGAAAACCCATGGAATCGGGTAGGGACCGAAAACCCAATCCACATATTGGCCCAGGCGGGATTCGAACCCTGGTCACAGCGGTGGAAGGCAAGGAAAGTATGGCTTCACCAACCTGACTCCCCAATGAACAGTCAACTAATAAAACAGGACATAGGTTTAAACTTGTTGGACGTAATAAAAACAGTGGAGAAAGCTAAAAGAGGACTTACAGATCAAGGTTCACCTGGAAACAAAAAAAATGACCTCCCCTTCAAATTTTGGATTTTCTCCACTGTACTGCAAAATGGCGATTTCTGAATTTCAGCTCATTTTGTGGCGACAGGCACACATGTATACGTGTACATTTGTACATGTACATGTACATGTACAGTACAGTGTACAGTACCGGGTATGTTCTGTGCATGGCAAACTTCTGTGCAGCAATCGTGGCAATGTGCTTAGCAGCTCCACATGATTGGCCAGTGTCTGCTTTTTTCAAGTGAATGGGAAGTCGCATTTTTTTTATAAATTTGCTGCAAATTTTGGATGAGGAAAGAGTAAAGGGCTGGCTTTGGTCGCACACATTATACAGGTTGGGAATTTACAATGTATAGTCATACACTGAAAGAGAGTATAGGCCTATTAAAAATCTCACACTAAACTTGAATGCATGTAAACGTATAAACTTGTACATGTACATGTACAACCTTTATGAATCTTTTGATAAATTACCCTTGTTGCTTCAGGTTCAACTTTTGACATCCGCGTACGTTTTCCGATGGGAATATTGTAGGCGCCTCTTGCGCATTACTCCTAATTATGTTGGGGATGGAATGTGGCCAGAGGGTTCCCCTCCGTTTGCTACGTCCCAAAATTGTTAAGTCAGCCACCGAGGAATAGCCGCGGTAATGTTTCTAATCACGAGGCAACCAAATTTTCGAACCGTTGAAATGACTCATGGATTGTGCTGGTGTTTATCACTCGTCCCCACAATCCTCAAGGCCCCTGTTACCCCTTAATCCATAGATCACATGATTCCACCTGTAGGTTTTTTTCTTTTGAGTTTTTTGGGTCTGGACGATCACCGTTCTTTTATAAAATCCCAATGCATTCCACGCCCTGTTTCTCTGTCTAAGAGTAAATCCCCAGATTTGTTCTTGAGTCACTGTTACTAGCAGGTTTGTTGCTGAAAGGACTTGCCGTCACTAGTTGCAGGAATGTTGAGGCGTATGCCTGTCATCATTTCGCACGCTGGGTTTCTGAACATGTGGGCTTTATCTCTGTGATGCTGTGTGCTGCATTGCTCATTGGACTTCAAATCAAAAATGGCTATTTGTTTTGCATTTTAAGGCCATTAGAGATAAGGTTCTGTCTGTTTGTTTGCATGTTCATGACGTAAGATATACAACTTTTGGAGGGTTTCCGTGACTCTTAGAGTTGTTTCTAACAACTTGTTTTGATACTGTGTGCTACGGTATGACGTGGACTTTTCTTGGTCAGATTTGAACGGGTCACCATCCACTTGCAAGTGCAGACAGCTCGAAACTGAAACCAACTTTTCACGCACCGGTACCTGGTACCGTAGGTGACAATACATGCCGGTGCAAGGTCTGCGTAAGAAATTTCAATAATAGTTCCAGCGCACTTTCAGAAGAGAAGAAAACAGCAATCCAGTGGAGTAGAACCTTTTGCCTGTCCTTTTGTGGTGCGGGACATTCTCAGCTTTTAGCTGTGACAGTCTTGCCCTACCACCAGAGACTGATTCAATTTTGTCCTACATGTGAAGGAAGAAAAATATTCTTGTTGAAAATCTTATGGACAGGAAACGAGTATTAGAGCTGCAAGGGGGGAAAGTCAACCTTCGATCGAAGCCAAGTGTCACTGCAAGTGCAGCCTGTCCTGGCAGCCTTACGAAACATTTGAAGGACCGGAACTGATCGGCGAAACTTAATTAAACGCGCTCACCTTCCAGACTACTACGCACCACGGTGCCAGATTTCCCATGTTTGTTCTCAGCCGACCGCCGATCAGTAACCGCCAACCTCTCCCCACGCCCGGTATGGCTTTCCTGCACCTGCCCCCATTCATTGAGAATGTAATTGCTCCCAACTCTGTCCCCACGCAGGCCCTGGCCTACTTTGAGCAGCTGAAGCAGTCGGATGAGGGCTGGAAGCTCTGCGCGGAGGCCGTCGTGCAGGGGATGTACGAGAGTGACCACATCAAGTTCTTCTGCTTCCAGGTCTTGGAGAACTTCCTCAAAACAAGGTCAGATTTTTATATTAAGTTGACAGAAGGTTGGCTTTTAGATTTTTCTGTCACTCTTACATTTCTTGACCTGGGAATTCTTATTCTAGCAATCAATGTTGAAGCTTGGTATACGTTTTACTTTGGCCGCTCTCACCTGTCACCAAATTCAATGCCAACTTCAATGCCTATTCAATGCTTAAACCAGATTCAGCATGTCCAGGTGAGAGTGGCCAAGTCAAATGTACACCGTTTCACTTAAAGGGAATATACAACATTTGCTTTTGCTGTAATTTTCAGAAATAAATAAATGTTTGAGGTTTTGGGTTTGTAGATGCTGGAAAAATCAAGAAAAACAATCATGTGCTTGTAGTCTGGTTCCCTGACCTAATTTAAGATGAAACGGAGCAAGTTAAAGATGTCAGGCAATGTATTGGGAGGGAGTCAGTCAAGCTGGCTGGTACCCATTCACAGGTGTGTCATCAATTGCAACAAAATGCGAACTATAACTAAATATGATAAATTGGGAGCAGTATTAAAAAAAAAAATCCAGTTTTTTCCAACGATGGTCGGCCAACCAGCATTGGAAATTGATACAAAAATACCACTTTTCTTGGAAATGTCAGCACACCAGGTGCCATAATTTTACAGGATGCAATAGACTGTCATTAGTCCAGTAAGGTTTTCGTGATAATTTGGTAATTTTTTTGTTTTTTTATGTTTTCAAATGTTGCACATTCCCTTTAATTGATTGTATTTCTGGATCTAGGGACCCAAATGGAATGGAGTAAAAAAAAGAGTGGATTAAGAAATAGTCAGGTTTTAATCTAATACATAATTTCATTGATGAAAAAATATAAATAAACAGTTTTAATTATTTGTTTTCTGAATGTTGCATGTTTTTGTGGCATACATGTACTCTGTATGTTCTGGGATGTACCGTTAAGTCCTCACAGCAATTGCTTGCTGTTGGGCCTTTTTTTTTCAAATTGCAAATAACATTTTGACTGCAAACCTTTGTGTGTACTTTTCCTTTATTTCAAATTTCAATCAAAAATGTCAAGAGGCCACTTAAAGGGAAATGTACATCATTGGCTTTTGCTGTTATTTTTAAAAATGAACTATTTGAGGGGTTAGTATAATAGATCAAATATTGTTTCACTGACATGTTTGAAGTTTTGTGTTCGAAAACGCTGGAAAAGCCAAGAAAAACAAAAACGTTCAAGTAGTCTGGTTCCCTGACTCCACTAAAGATGAAATGGATCAATTTATAGATGCCGGAAAATTGTTAGGTCAGGGAACCAGTCTAGCTGGCCTGCACCTGTTCATGAACATGTAACCAATAGCAAACAAAATTTTGACTGAACAAAATGGTAAATTTGGAGCAGTGGTTGAAAAATAGTTAGGTTTTTCCAACGGTGGTCGGCCGACCACCGTTGGAAATTTATACAAAAATACAATTTTCTTGAAAATGACTTCACACCAAGTGCCATAATTTTACAGGATGCTTTAGACTGTCATTAACCAACATCCTAGTGAGGTATTTCGTAAAAAACTTGGTAGTTTTATTTGTCGATGTTTGCAAATGTTGTACATTCCCTTTAATACACGCGTGTTTACTGTGTACTGATACATTGTACATGTGCATCCCTGTTCACAAATGTACCGTACATGTACATGTATGTTATGATGCTACCGTACTCTAAGTACCGATTAGATTTTCAACATAAAACTGTCTACATTGGCAACATCTCCCAGCATCAGAATGTCTCGCCTGTAGACTGGAGTCCCTGCTTTGACAAATTACAATGTTATTCCCTAAATCCACAAGTCCCGATGTACATTCTGTGAGATAATATCCGACGGCGCCATTTTTCGCCCATCAGTGAAGACAGGAAATGGGAGATTATGTGCCAATTTAATAGCCGGAAAGACGTTTATTACTGGGTAAACCCCTTTCTTTTTGGTCCCGAAGTGTAGACAGACCTACCGGTACCTGTAACAACAATTAAAAATTGTGTAATATCGCATCCGCATATTCTAATTGAAAAATGAAGGCTAAATGAATTACTGTGTTATGAAGAGAATGGTTTTAAATTATTTAACATTCACATGTCTCAAAGTCTAGTCCGTTTACAAAAATTGTTTTCAACCCCCCTTACGATATAATTTAATTGGAGGTTTACATGTTTATTACTAATGGGTTGAGTTTAAAGATTAGTGTTCGTAAATGGGTTTGATACATGTACCGGTACATGTAGTACCAGTATTTTAGGGGATGATGGTGCATGAATTTGGGTCCTCAGGGAAAGGCCGTAATACAGTGTACATAGTTAGATCATAGAATGGAGGGAAACAGCCTCTTGGCAAGAAGTTCCAAAGAGATAGGGCCTAGAGAACGTGGGAAAAAGCTAGTAGAGTAGCTCTTTGTTCTACATGTACATCTCGGCACAGCTAGAGTGTATGGGTGAGAGGAAGCAGAGAGCCTGGTTGCATGCTCAAACACCCTGACAGGAGAACGCCATGGTCAAGTGGTTACGGTGTTTGACTCATGTACGAAGGTACGTGGGTTCGAACCCGGCCAGGAACATGGTGTTTGTGCCCTTGGGCAAGACACTTAACTACAATTGCCTCTCTCCACCCTGGAGTATAAATGGGTACCTGTGAGGGTTGAGGACCGATTGAGCGCTGATATCGGCTGCCGCGTGGTCCCATGGCCTGATGAACGGGGTAATAATTGTAAAGCGCTTTGAGATTGTTGATACGATGGAAAGCGCTATATAAGCACAATTATTATTGTCATTATTAGGAGGAAGCCAGTCAAAGAAACTGGTCGAACACTTTCCATGGAAATATCTGTAGAACTGAGGTTGGTCACTGAGGGTGGCTACTGACCTCTGGTGGGAAAGGGGTTGTAATGTTGAGCCCAACTTCTCACCAACCAAATGGTCTCCCTCAACTTTTCCCTTTGTAACCGTTGAGGGGGTACTTGTGCACGGAGCGCATAGACCTACTGTTACACTTGAATGTGTGGTACATTATGTGACCTGCTCCACAAACAAGGGTATTATGTCGCAAAACAGTGAAATTGAGTTAAACATCGTTGGAAAGCTCATGTTTTTTTTTTTTATAATAGAGCTCCATAGTCCCTCCCGTTCTGGAGATATGACCTATTTACATATTGATTACTTTCTTTGAGTTCAAATTACTCAACTGAGAAAACAGGCCTTAAAACAGCTGGCTTTGTTGTAGAACAACAGAACGATGCGCACACAATGGTTGTTTTTTCCACTTTGTTCATCAAAATCAACATTTCTGTAAATGAAAACTGAAATTGCAGGTAATGAAGATGGCGTTGATGACAAAAAAAGAAAATCTTATTTTGACAACATTTTTACCCTCTCAATGTTGAGCAGGCCATCACACAATAATGCACAGCGTGACTTACCGGTACATACATGTAATACCCTTTTTTGTGGAGTTGGTCACATCTGTTCATGTGTGTTTTGTGTACATAAACTTCTACGGAGTTGTTATATGTACTTATTACCGAAAATAACCCTATATCACATTTACAGGTAACAATGCCAGTACTCATGGATCTTAAACCATTTTTTCCCACTGTTTTATTCAACTTTCTAAATGACACTGTATTAGATATCCCACTGCCATCCCGTCAGACCAGCAGATCTTGAAGCAGTCGCTGCTACAATGGCTACAGATGCAGGTACAGTATTAACCTTAACCCCTCGGCCCCTTTGGCGAGGAACCATCCTCAGTCCTGCAAAATCCTCCAGTTGCCACCGTGTACATAACAATTTGATACAGGCCCAATCCTCCAAAGTCATCCATTACTTCTTGAATTTGTTCAATGGAGGGGGTGGCCATTGCCTCAATCCTTCAACAGCATCTGATTCACGTTTACACACATTGGAGCAGTGCAGGTGATATTGTGGCAAATTTTTTCCTGGGAGTCGAATTCGAGCCCAGAGCCCCGGGAATAACGACAGCGTCTGAGGCGAGTGTACCTGGATACCCAAGTCCAACTTGTACCTTAGACCCAAGAAAGTGCTCAAGCAGTCTAAAGGCCCTATGGTGTGAGCTCATTTTGGGGAAATGTACTGCCGACTGGTTACTGATAGTCTGTGCTCCGAATTACTCTGAAATAAACTCTCAGGGACCGCAATCGGTTTTGATTCTAAAAGATTATGGCTGGTTTATTTACAAATCTGACACAACTGAAAACCTCTATAAAACAGAATACGACTGAAAAATAATTATCTAACTGGCAGTCTAACACTGGCTAGACCACCAATGCTTTGACCTCGCATGTAAAGTTTACATGCGAGGTCACTGGCCCCACGCCGCAAGACTCGGTGCAGTGGCCTCGGTACAACGGAATTTCGCCGAACAATAATGGGTTTCTTTGCCGAGCGGATTTTCTCTGTAACCTGACACTGCGACCCTTAATGTACGCACTCGATTCCTTATTACATGTATGTAAACCAAGTTTCTACCTCGCTGCTTTACAAGTCTCGCTAAACTCTCTTTAATTCTACGAAACAGTACAAACGCTGGTCTCTATCAGCGTTCCCTCTTGCCTGGGCACTGGGAAACTACGGCGACCAATCTGCTACAAATTCGTTACTGAAAGCGGAGTATTGTCAATTCCAACGTGACTCCGAAGACTATGGGTAAACGAGACACCAAAGCTGCAACTGCACGGCTTCGGACTGAAATACCACTCCGAACTTAAGAATTACTCACTTCAGTCCACGTCTCTAGACCACGGGCCTCTGACTGGACTTGAACTTGTGCAACTCTAGCAAATTTACTAATGCATGTTGCATTGTAAAAAAAGAATGCATAACTTTACTATGCATTTAAGTAAAAAGAATGACTAATACAATCTACTTATTGGAGTTAGCTGACTACCGGTACGTGTAGTTTGACAAATATTTAAATTTGGGCTAATATTCCTCAGGGAAGCTTTCAAATCACAAAATCTGGCATTTGACAGAGAATAAAAACACTCAATTTGCACAATTAAAGTTACATCACCTAGACATTTTTCATTATCTTCTTGAGACCACTGACATATATTCGAAAATGATGGAGTGACCGAATATTCCGATATTGGGCTCAGCCGTTGACATAGGCATACATGCATTAGTTCATGTACATGTAGTTTGACACAATGTCATAGGTCATCATGACAATCCACACGCTGGCCAGTATCAGACTTTTAATGGCTTTCCACAGTAATCTGCCATTTTTCATCTGTGACTATGAAGCTTCCAGACATGACAAAGCGGTCCCCCTGGGGCCATTTCACATGAAGTAGGTCAGAATGTAATGGGAACCAGACCGCTGGGGTCCCGTGGTTGTCATTTACTCATGGGTCCTCACAGGCTTTTTTCTTGAGGATACTAAGCTGGCAACATTGTCATGATTGCTTGTCTAGATTTTGTCTTGCATTTCTTCATTTCCCCCCAAAAATGTTTGACACATCCAAGTTGGAATTGAAATTGACAAGAATAACTGAAATCACATTAAACATAACTTTCCAAGCAATTTCAAGGGGTTCAAGGGGTTCAAGGGTTCATTTATTTTCCACAGTATCAAATCAATAAATGACATGAAATAATTACATTACAGAAAAGAATTACAAATAATACAACAAAAGTGATATTTTAGGGTCACTGCAGAGGGACCCATTGAGAAGCAGAGCTTTTAAGCATGGGCCCCAGACAGGCATGCTCATTGAGACCAATCCAAGAGAAGGGAATTAACTTACAATGAACACTATTGAATGGTCAGTCACACGAGGCTCAATGAGCATGCTGTATTTAAAGTAATTACATGTACGTAGAAAAGCAACATACCTAAACACAATACACATTGAGACGTAAACAACGGACAAACAAACAATACAATACAGATCATTTAAACTAGTCAGGCCAGCAAAGAGCAATACAATCATGGATATTCTACAATCTACATGTAATTTCATGTACATATTATATCTACTGGCATGAATTAATGATAAGTTTGAATTAAGATTGATTTAAATAGTCGTTTAAAAGTGGAGAGATTGGTAGAAGCAAGTTTCACCGTGTATTTATGTAGCATGCCTAGCAATACAACAGTTATTTATATGTGAAAAATGTAGGGTAAGGTAGCCTGGTTCCTGTCCTATAATCAAAATTGATAATGAAGGACCGTAAACCAGTCTACTCATGGGGCAAATCCTTTTGTGCACAAAAGCAACCTGAAGTACATTATTTTTTTTCAGAGAGTAGCACACGTCCAAAAAAGAAAACAAATTAGTAAAATAAACCATACGCTTTAAAAAAGTAATCTAAAAAATGAATGTGGCCTGACGTTCAGAGGCAAACAGTTTTGAAAAAAAATTGCATAAAAAAATATGAATTTGTTGACGAGCAGTGACATTTCACCTTGAAAATACTTAAAATACCAGCTAATTTTTTTGTCTTTTATAAGAAATTGCACAAATGATTTTTTTTTTGGCCACGGAAATATTTTATATATTTAAATTAAGCTGGAAAGATTGCAAAGCTTTCACATCATTTGATACAGGAGAGTTGAGTGTGACCTCAAAATAACTTAAAACAAAACCCAATAATTTCTGTGATGAAAACTAAACTTTATTAATTTGACATGCTGCAACTATATTTACATTGTTTTTACATTGCATGCCGCAGTTTCAAAGTAGATGCACATATATCTTATTTAGCTGTAAAAATTACAGGTTATGAATTGCTGATTTGCTAATTACTACAGATGTACATGTACAAGTTTATAAATTGGTACATGTTTTTTGAAATTCATCCAGGAACTTATAAAATCAACAGCTGGCCTTATAAAGATTAACACGGGCTGATTTTATTCATGTAATTTATAAATATACGGTCAGGTGTTATTTTTATGTGTATATATTTTATCGTAATACAGTCAACAAATTCCAATTGTCTTCAATTCATTATAATTATGTTGTGGCTTTTCGAGTGCTAGGGAGGCTTTGGGCGCTAGGGAGTCAGGGCGGTTTTCGGCAGTTGCCAGATTGCATAAAAATACATGCCCGCAATATGCCTGTGTCATGTCTTGTCAGTCCTACGGCTGGGCGTCGGAACCGGGTACCCGAGTACCCGAACATTGATGTCAGGAACCGGTTCCAGATTATGGGATCGGGTACCCGTAACCAACTGTACAAATTATTTAAATAATTCTCAGACAATAAGAAAAAAGTTCTTTAATGCCATTTATTCAGAATTTTCAAAATGAATACCAGGCCAAAAACATATTTCACGTTTATGACAAGTTCAATATCCCTGGGTCATAAAACTTGATACCCTCTATGGAGAAAGGAACAACTGCATGGGGTTCAGACAACTTAACATCAATCATTAACTGTGGTTGCCAATGGCAGTGCCCCACACATGACTTAGAATCAGACAAGTCACTGTCAGGTTTGTGGCTGGGTTGTCAGAAAGAAAAATGGCCTCCCAGGATATTCTGAGCCTGAAGGTACATGGCAGCAGTGCAGAGGAGATTATTTCACAAGAAGACCAAATATTACACAGTGTTTGACACTTTACCGGTACTTCTAACATACAGCTAATTGGAGATAAAGAGCATATCTTTGCCAAGTGTAAATTTCACATTGTTTACTTCAGTCAAATTTAAGAAATAAATCCCATAGTAAAAAAGCGAAACTTGAGAGTTGTTGAGGTTACATGAGATTGGTTAATTGTTTTGGGGTCCATTATACAATTCTACATGCAGTTCTAGTCATTCAGTGAAAAATTAACCAAAAACCATCACCAATCCTTCCAAATCCAACTGCATGTTTTGTTTGATTCTGTTGAAGTGTTTACTGCACTATAGTAAACTATCGGTCAGAGCATACATGTACTGACCGGAACATCAAGTTTATACATCTGGTTCTTTTCAGAACCATTCTCTTAGTTAGTAAATTTTTTTTAATGAAATAAAGAATGATTCAACACACATTTACTTGGCAAAATTGGCTTAAATTTGTCTAGATATTGTACATGTACAATGTAGCTACATTGTACATGGGACCAGACATTTTCTCAATACTCTGAAATATATAACAGTGACCCTACCCAACAAAATGCATCACAAGAGCCCCTTTTGAGAACAGGCTTTTGAGAAAAACAAAACATTTAAACCCGATGAAAATTCAAAAGGTACAGTCAACACTGTCTGTATACCCACATCATATGCGCATAGATTTTACATGTAAATCCAGAATTTTTTATTTGTTGTGTTACCCGTACTCCACAGAAGATTACCTAAAAGGAATTTGAAATGTAAGCTCGTGGAGTGCTGTGGTCCAATGGTTACGGTGTTCGACTCACGTGCCGTGGTACATGGGTTTGAACCCTGACAGGGAACAAGGTGCTTATGTTCTTGGGCAAGACACTTTACTACAATTGCCTCTGTCCACCCAGGAGTATAAATGGGTACCTGTGAGGGTAGAGACCAGAATGCGCTGATCTTGAGCTGCTGCAGAAACTGGTCTCATGGCCTGATGAACAGGGGTAATAATTGTGAAGCACTTTGAGACCTTCGGTATAAAGCGCTTTATAATCACTATATGTTACTGTGATTATTGCTTGTTCCCTGCCCCCCCCCCTCCCCTTCAGACCCTCTCAACCCGGGAGGAGAAGAGCTTCATCCGCAACAAGGTGGCCCAGCTCTACTCCCTTCTCTTCATCAATGACTTCCCCCATCGCTGGCTGGGGTTCTTCAGGGATTTGATTCAGCTCATGCACACCGGCCCGTCAGCCGTGGACATGTACCTGCGAATCTTGATTGCAATCGACGAAGACGTGGTGGACAGAGATCTGTTACAAACTCAGGAGGTACTGGCGGTATTTGAAATATATCCTGTAGAAATTCATTGTTTTGGCACATACAGGGTGAAAAAAAAACGAAACCCAAATGGCAGGACCAATTCCTGAATGAAGTTTTGCGTGTAGCACTTTTAAAATCTAGGATATGAATGCACAGTCAATATGCTTTTTATGCCCCGCGGCGAAGCCGAAGGGGCATACTGTTTCCGCCTTGTCCTTCCGTGGGTGGGTGGGTGTGTGGGTGAGCTTGTCTTACATACGCAGTGTGGACTTCCGAACAAAAGACGTCCACATAATGTAGGTAGCAGCGACGAAGTGTGGACTTGCCCACGTCCACACAGTGTTTCCCCATTTCTGGAAAACAGGTTTAGAGGAATTTTTGGGTTACGTTTATCTGTAGCAGAATGAAGAGAAACACTAAAGGGAATCATTGAAAAAAAATTGGGTTGTAAGAGTTTTCACAGTTTGAGAAAAATGAGTTTTTCCACTGGTGTTCCTTAACTACACGAAAAGAAAGGAAAGTCCACACTAGGTATGTGAAACAAGTCTGTGTGTGTGAGCGGGTGTGTGGGTGTGAGCTTGTCTTACATACGCAGTGTGGACTTCCGAACAAAAGACATCCACATAATGTAGGTACACATGTAGCAGCGACGAAGTGTGGACTTGCCCACGTCCACACAGTGTTTCCCCATTTCTGGAAAACAGGTTTAGAGGCATTTTTGGGTTAGGTTTATCTGTAGCAGAATGAAGAGAAACACTAAAGGGAATCATTGAAAAAAAATTGGGTTGTAAGAGTTTTCACAGTTTGAGAAAAATGAGTTTTTCCACTGGTGTTCCTTAACTACACGAAAAGAAAGGAAAGTCCACACTAGGTATGTGAAACAAGTCTGGGTGTGTGTGGGTGGGTGGGTGTGTGTGTCCGGACAAATCTTGTCAGCGCGATAACTTGAGAAATACTTAACATATGAACTTCAAATTTGGTTTGTGGATTGTCCTTGGTAATCCTAAGAAGCCTTTTGCATTTGGGGCCGAAAGGTCAAGGGTCAAGGTCACAGTGGCTGAAACAATAGAAATTTTGTCAGCGCGATAACTTGAGAAATACTTAACATATGAACTTCAAATTTGGTTTGTGGATTGTCCTTGGTAATCCTAAGAAGCCTTTTGCATTTGGGGCCGAAAGGTCAAGGGTCAAGGTCACAGTGGCTGAAACAATAGCAATTTTGTCAGCGCGATAACTTGAGAAATACTTTACATATGAACTTCAAATTTGGTTTGTGGATTGTCCTTGGCAATTCTAAGAAGCCTTTTGCATTTGGGGCCAAAAGGTCAAGGGTCAAGGTCACAGTGACTAAAACAAAAGAAATTTTGTCAGCGCGATAACTTGAGAAATACTTTACATATGAACTTCAAATTTGGTTTGTGTATTGTTCTTGGTAATCCTAAGAAGCCTATTGCATTTGGGGCCGAAAGGTCAAGGGTCAAGGTCACAGTGGCTGAAACAATAGAAATTTTGTCAGCGCGATAACTTGAGATATACTTTACATATGAACTTCAAATTTGGTTTGTGGATTGTCCTTGGCAATCCTAAGAAGCCTTTTGCATCTGGGGCCAAAAGGTTAAGGGTCAAGGTCACAGTGGCAAAAACAAAAGAAAGTTTGTCAGCGTGATAACTTGAGATATACTTTACATATGAACTTCAAATTTGGTTTGTGGATTGTCCTTGGCAATCCTAAGGAGCCTATCGCATTGGGGGTCGAAAGGTCAAGGGTCGAGGTCACAGTGGCTAAAACAAATGTATTTATTCTAAGATCATAGGGATTAGGGATTAATTCATATAAAACCTACAGAAGACACTAATGCTGTCAATGAACGTTCCATTTGACCAAGGTACATGTAAGTTGATGTTAGAGTGGTGTTATGTCATGGAAACAGTCACGGTTGCGGGGCATTTGTGTTTGTAAACACACCTGACTTGTTTTTTATTACCAGAATCATTCAGGTCACTCCGGTACTTTTCAAGTTAGGGAATTTTGAACGCAAACAATAAAGCTATTTATTGAAAAAAGAGTACCGGAGCACCGGCAGCTGAAAATCGCCATAGCGAACGATCACTATTGCGAACAATTTCTGTGGATCCCGCAATGTTTGTTATACATGTACATGTAGCGGTGTTCCACTCTATACCACTCGAAGTAATCAATATTTGTTTACTATTTTCCCTGTTTTTCTCCCCTCAGGACGCCCAGCGGAGCACAGTATTGAAGGACAGCATGAGGGAGCACTCACTGACAGACATGGTCAGCTCCTGGTACCAGATCCTGGTCAGTAGCTCACCTTGTGTAGTCATGTACCTAATTTTGACAAGCTGCTAATATACCATTATCATGTTGCAGCCATTTGATTTTTTTTCCCATTCAAATCAATATATCCAAAGCGAGGCTGGAAGGAAAAATAGTCTGGTTCATTTTTGCACAAAAACACTATCATTCAGCACTGTTATTGGATACAGGGAACATGACTGAAATTGTGGCAGCTTGATAAAGATCTATTGGCGTCATCTCATTGAATATCCGGGATTGGTTTCAGACAAGGTTATCTGCCCATTGAAAAGGCCCATTGAACATGTTGAATTGGGTATTAGTTAGTGTGGGTTTGCGATAACGCCATGTGGAAGAATCTCTTTTGAGATAATTGGCACTGCGTTCAAATGTCCTTCCCAGTGGTCTCCCAAACTTCTCTCAGGAACTGCCGATGGGAAACTTGTGCACATACCGGTACCCTAGGCCACAGATTAGTTAGCGCGTTAACTGAACAAGGAAACAGGCGTGCAACTTTTCCTTGGATCAGCTGATTTCCTCATTTTTTCACTTCATTCTGGTGCCCTTAAAAAATTGAAAACCACTTTACAAAGTCTGGTAAAGATTGGGGTTTCCTCAGTTTTTGTTACTTCTAAGTTGCATGCCTGAGTTTACTTAGCCTTTAGTCAAGTCCCACGCGCTTACCCGGACACGTGACGCACTCCGGATGCTGGCACGTAAAAGGACAAGCACGAGCAGCTAAGCCGCGTGGGCCTTTACCATCTCGTGGAGAACGCTTATGGTTTCTTTCAATTTATCTACCGATTTGGTGGAGAAATTGTTATGCATAATGTTTTGTTTTTAATAACGCGTATGGCACAATGGGGCATGCGCGCGCATGTCATCACCTCAAAAATGGCTTGTTCATGGTGATTGGTTCATATATATCGACATATATGCATGCATGATTCATATTACTTAAAAAATGAATAATGATTAGCTCCCATGATAGTAAAGGCACTCGCCACTCGTACTGGTCTTTTTTCGTGCCACAATCTGGGGCGCCACGCGTCCGGGTAGACACGCGTGCCTTAACTAAAAGTTAGAGTTTACTGAATGATTGACCAAACAGAAAATGTATGAGAACTCCAACCCGGAGCTGACCTGCCTGTGTCTGGAAGTCATCGGGGCCTACGTGTCCTGGATCGACATCAACCTGATCGCCAACGACAGGTTTGTCTCCCTGCTGCTACGCTACCTCTCCGTCGATGTCTTGCGGGAGAGTGCCTGTGACTGCTTCCACGAGATCATCAGCAAAGGAATGGATCCCGTGGCCAAGACCGAGCTGGTGGAATCCATCACTAAAGTGCTGCATGAGTCGGGGGTCATTCCGCCGTCGGACGTAAGTTCCTGTGTCTTTTATTGACCGTCTGTTTGGCACAGGGTTGGTGGGGTGGATGGGGCCATGATTTTGGTGGGCAGAGTGTCATTTGGACACTACACTCTAGTGTGTGATAATCTGTGTTGATTTTTTACCCTGTTTTGAATAGTTTGGACACCTTTGTTGTTGGGTTTTTTTTTGGGGGGGGGGGTTGGGGTTTCAGGCATTCTTTGTTGAAGTTGTACACTGGATTTTGAATTTGGACATACCGTTTTTGTATTTTGACACCTCGTTTTTAATTTAAACATCGAGCCTTGAATTGGGATAATCTGTTCTTTCGAATGTGGACAAACTGAGTTTGTATTTGGACACCTCATTTGTATTTGGACACCTCAGACAGCATATTTTCAATTGGGATGAACTGTTCTTTTAGTTTTGGACAAACTGTGTTTTTAAATTTGGACTCCTCATTTTCTTTAATTCTGACATCTTGTCTTGAATTGGGACAATGTGTTCTTAATTTGGCCAATTGGTTCAAATTTAAACAATCCACTGTGTATTCGAATGCTCTGAATGGGATTTCAAGGACAACCTTGGTTTCTTAACCAGTTAATGCCGGGGGACGTGTAAACACGATCTGGCAGTGTATATTCGCAGGGGCGGGTGATGGGTTAAATCGTCACGCTTTCCCCGAGTCTCTGGTAGTGGACGTGTATATATGTCAGTGGTTCCCCTGTGGTTTTGTACCGGTGCCTACCGTGTTTTGAACTTTAACTTGGCCATTGTACATGGCCTGTCATTGTTGCATACATGTATCGTTTCGTGGCGGAGCCTGGGAGTGTTGCAAAACATGAAGTTCAGTCCTTTTGATTTGAAAATCACAGGTGTGTGGAAAAAAGCACACCTGGATTTTTTTAGGTGTGTGATTTTCTAGGCGAGTGATTTTTCTAGGTGTGTGATTCTATGGTCCAAGCTGGGATATATTTCATAACATTCATCTTGGTTTAACATAAAGCCATTTTCTCTTCACTGATGTACTTTATTTTTCACAAATTATGAAGTAAAATTATGCTGTAAATGTATGCCAAGGTGTGCGGTACTGAGGGATTCAGGCGTGCGATTATTCGCACTTTTTGGGAAGCTTTTAGGCGTGTGGGTGTGATCGCACGCCTCAAAACAGAAGGACTGAAGTTACGTTTAGAAGTATAGTACAGATATTGTACAAATGACTCTCAAGAGTCAGTTTTGGTAGTGTTTGACTAAACTTAAAAAATTGGCTGATACATCTTGCTTTTTTTTCAAAACTGGTGTTTTTTAGGCCAAAAATAATCCCAGCTGCAAGTGGTTAATTGAGACATCCTGTATTAAAGTTTGACACCAAGTTTTGAATTTCGATGTTATGTTTCATCTGTCACTTGTACAGAAGAGAAAGTAACACATGAAGAGTTTATTCCAAAACGCAACATATCCATTTGACATATGGACGGTTATTAAACTTCAAAGAAATAAAAAACAATATACCTGTAAGGCCAAAAAAAAAAAAGTCTCCGGTTTCTGTTATGGAGCTTGCCCCAAAAGTGGTGCAGCGACGCGGCTTTTTTTTTTTTTTTACCTGTTTTTTTTTTTTTTTTGCTTCAAATGTCGGCTGATGACTGCAAATGGTGCCCGACTAAACTGAGTGCAAATATATGGGAGTCCAGAGAGGCCACATAAAGCTTATTCTCGATCATAACCCCATCTAAAAACACGTTAAAATTGTGCAGCAGCAGGATTCCAGTCAAACCAGTGAGTTTGGCGGTTTTGAGACATCATCTTGTATTGAAAAAAAAACTTTTTCGTTTTGCCGACGCGCATGGCTACGGCGACGCGCGCGCATACCAGAAACCGGAGACTTTTTTTTTGTGGCCTAACAGCCGTTAACTTACTTTTTAATGAAATACCGGTACGGTTACATTTTATGATCTTCTTATCAGGACGATGTGGATTTCTTAGCCAAGCTGTCCAAGCTGACCAATGGCATCGGAGTCAATCTCATTGCCTCCTGGGAAAAGTAAGTAGGAGGGGCTAATTTCGTGGCGTTGCTTTTAAACAGTTAGCAAAAACCATTTGTGCCAACTATAGATGAAAATGGTGTTGAGGACTTTTTCATGGTGTGGATGTGCAAACGGTTGCGTGTTCATGGAGATTATCCCTATCCCTCAATCCTCCAAAATCCTCCTTGTGGTTTTGGAGGATTTTGGATGATTAAAGATGTATGCAATCTATAATTTTGGAGGATTTTGGAGGATTGAGGCTGAATGGTGTTTGAAGATTATGGAGGATTGAGGCTGAATGCAGTTTGTGAGGCAGGGCTGTTGGAGGATTTTGAAGGATTGAGGCAGTGGATATCCTTTATTTAAACATGAGTGCACAATTTTGGAGGATTTTGGAAGATTGGGGATAGTTCCAAGCAAAAAAAGGGCCTTGGGGATTAGCGTTATTGTTACATGTACATGTACTTCGCTATTAACTGAAGCACATTTTGTGTTTAGCAGTGCCATGAATTTGTAGCTGCCATTTTTGTTCAATCAATGGTCAACTCATCGCATCAGTGCAACAAGGTCGCAACTCGATTCTGCAACAAAGTCGTATCTTGCGCCAATACGCTCCATACAACAAGGTCGTATCTCGGGTATCGCGATGTTCATTGACTCTGTGTGTACATCCGGGTTATTTTAAGCGAGATACGACCTTTTGAGATTGAAAACTTGCATTTCACGTACATGACTTCACACGCCATTTTTAGGAAATACCATCTTGTTGCACGGACACGACGAACATGTAAGGTGGCAACTTCGGCCTTGTTTTGGGAAAGTAGTTCATATTGCATATCCATCCACTTCAAACACATCGCATTCAAATTGCACTGAATTTGACTGGAACTTATGTCGATATTTCGTTCTGACGCAGGCTGCGTAAGACTCGAGACAGCGCCCTCACGGCCAAGACGCTGCAAGCCATCGAGAGCAAACTGCCCCTTCTCTTTGAGTTCCTGGGCCACGAAGACGATGATATCTCGCTGGCTGTGACGGGATTTGCCCACGACTACATCGGGGTTCTCAAGCAGGTTGGTTTGGCTTCTCGGGGCATTCTAGCTCGTTTAAGAGCCCAAAGGTGGCTTGATTTAAGAGCGCATGATAAATATATAAAGTTTCCTTGTTGTTACCAGCCAAAAAGACATTGGGTTTATATTGTTTTTGGTGGTTCCCTGTTTTGCTTAGCACATCGCCTGGGCAGTATTATCTGCAAACAGCTCAGCAGAATTAGGCCCTGGAGGTGTATGTACAGTACATAGGTCATTCTATAAACTTAGGGTCCAAAGTGTAACATTTTTACTATCCCTGTTACCTTGTTACTTTCTAAATTGCCATTCAGGTATTAGGAATGACTTCAAATGATTTCTTATTAGTTGGGTAGATTACTATTCATAATCACACTTCGAAGACGACTGCATTAAGGAGTGCACCAGAATTATGAAATTATAGATGTCAGAAGAAAAATACACCCCAAATTAATATAATGATGCATCCATCACATCTTATCATCATTCTTGTGCATTCAGCCACTGTCGACCAACTTAACCAAGTGTCGAAACATGGTTTAACCCTAACCCAATTTTAGATCTCTAAGCCTAGCCAGGAACAGTTACGCTACGTGGAGAACATGCTGTGTGTGGTCATCCGCAAGTTCAAGTATGAAGAGACGTATAACTTTGACAGCCAGGGAGAGGACGAGATTATGTTCATCGATTACCGACGACAGATGAAGATCCTCTTTGACAACCTGACACAACTCAACCAGGCCTTGGTGCTTCAGGTGGTGCACTCGTTCATCACAAACACACTGAGGTATGCAAATAGTCTTGGATTTGGATTTTATTTCCCCAATACAGCTGGTCCCTAGTAGGGGTGTGCATTTACGGGTAGTTCGGGAATCTGTTACCAGTTGTGATGTGATCAAGCTAAATGAGTCGTTTGTTGGAGTGCTGTGGCCTCGCGGTTAAGGGCACTGGATTCGTGGTCTGTGGGTAAAGCTGCGGGTTCTGGGTTCGAGTCCAGCCGGGGTCATGGTGCGTGTGCCCTTGGGCAAGGCACTTTGCCACTCATTGCTTCTCTCCACCCAGGAGTAAATGGGTACCTGTGAGGGCAGATATGGTTATTGTGATTGAATAAGCTTGCTTAAGCCTAACAGGCAGCATCGAGCTGTATACTCCCCAGGGAGCTGAGATGGTATTTGGAATGTTTAATTGGCCCAATGATCAGGGGTAATAATAATACTGTAAGCGCTGTGATATAGTTTACTAATAAGAGCGTTCTTAAATGCTGATTACTATTATTATTAATTATGAGTTTAAGATACAACCCAAAATAGGTGATTGGGGTGGAATTTCAAAATACACTTTTTTGTTCAATCGGAAGGCTACCGGTAGATATGTAGTGCATACTCCTCCTTCCTTACCATTGAGGGGGTACTTAGCGGATTGCTTACTTCACCGTGCAAACCTTCAAATCTTAGTCATCTGTCTGGAGTTTCTCTGCTGACAATAATATTCAGAATCATGAATTTTTCTCTGTCTAGCCACTGGAAATCAGTCAAGTTTACCGAGACAGAGCTAGCTGTGCGTCTCATGTACATGCTGGGAGAGGCTGTACCTGCCACCCAGGGAAACCACTTTGTAGGGGACCAGACTAGAGCTGAGATCATGAGAGATCTTATGAGATTGGTGAGTTTGGTAGATTGGGTACCATATACAGGTTGCTAAATGTGTTGGGGGACCATACTAGACCTGTTGATTAAAAAGAATTATGACTTTAATAGTTAGGGCACCACGCTGACTGCCCTAAATGTAGTGTTGATTTAGACAGATGCAGACAATGACAGACTCTCACCCCCTATCCCCCCCCCCCCCAAAAAAGGGGCGTGGCCCCTAACGTGGCCTAATGTGGCGTGGCCCCTAACGTGGCGTACTCAGATTTTTCTTCTGTAGTGCCTTGCTAGAGTAAAAGTTTGACCTCAAATTTTACATTAAGTGAAATGTCATCCAGCTCTGAACATTTCCGTTCATAAATCTTGAGTTTACCAACCTGTTATAAGGTTAACAGAGAAACTTTAGTTTGGCGGTCTTCTCTGAATTGTACATTTTGGCCCTGTTTCAGAAACTGAATTCCTACAATGTATTGTTAAGCATTACAAAAAGGCATAGCTCCATTAAAAGTGTCCATTTTTTTGCCACGGTAAACGCATTGAACCAAAAAAGAAGACTTTTTCACAACTCCTAAACCAGAGTTACAAGTATCATAAATGTAGATATTGACGGATAGATAACGGAAATTAGAATCTCTACAGAATTCAAATTTTGTTTATAAGCTTCATTTAAAATGTTAGTTAATATTAACATGTATCTTTCATTTGTTCTCTAGCTTGTCACTAGTCGTGTAGTGGAACATTCCCACTGGGCTGTAGGATTACAGGTAAGTCTCTTTTTTGGCGTATGCTTTTCATGGGATATTTTCAAAACAAACATTTTAAATTTCATAAGTGTGATAATGAGTACAACTTATTTCTTCAAAATTAACAAAACAAATAATTGGCTGCATGGTATGTGCAGGTTAATGGCTTCTGACTAACGCCCCTTGAACAAAGATATTGATGAATTAGGGAACCACCAACATGGGGCTGGATAGCTCAGTTGGTAGAGCACAGGAACGGTAATCTGGAGGTCGAAGGTTCAAGCCCCACTCCATGCAATTTCTTTGTTCAATTTTTCAAAAATTGTTACAATTCACCTAGTCAGTTTCCATTTGTGGTTCATTTGATAAAATTAATAATAATAATACAATAATCAACAAAAATGTAAAAGATACAAAAAGAAAATAAGTACAAATACCAAAAACAATGTTTTACAGTATTACAGCGTATGTAAATGCAGCCTACAAAGTACTGAATATTACAGTTATTCTGCGAGCTCGAGTGGAACACAGATTGATGTGGTGCGTCTGTGTCCCAGAAAACGCACTACACTCTCCGTGTTCCACGAGCAAGCGTGCGATAACGAATTTATCTTCAAGCAAACTTGACGGACAGTAAAGATGGAACTAGCACACATCTTGGAATAACGCAAAACGCAGGGTGCGATATTGACCGTGCGATACAATATAATATCACACTGTTGTTGCCTTGGATCGACCAATCAGGATCAAGAATGCTGAGTTTGCTTGAAGAAAATAGTTGATACTGACAAGGTGTTTTATTTACTTGGTTTGAAACTCCCAAAATTTGCTGATTGAAATTTTTTTTCCCTCTCTGTATGCACAGGTTTTTGAGACGATTGCCCGCTACGACAAATTCTTCAACTGCGAACCCCAGCACATCCCCAACATCCTGATGGCATTCCTAGGGGACAGGGGACTGAGGCATTGCCACCCGACCATCCGCAGTCGCACCGCGTATCTCTTCAGTCGCTTCATCAAGGCCCTGAAGCATCACCTGACTGGGTTCAGTGAGGACATCCTGAAGAGAATACAGGACCTGCTGGTCATTGCTCCTCCGGTAAGCAGTTACTCTTTGCTGGTCTTACAGGGTGAGTAATAAAAAAAACGAAAACCAAATGTCGGGACCATTGTTTTAGTGAAGCTCTGCATGTAGCACTTTCAAAATCTAGGATATGAAAGCCCAAATCATAACCTTTTTTTTCAGTACAATAATCATTCAAATCACTCATGTACTTTTTAAGTTATGGAGTTTTAAACACAATGACCGTTTTAAAGTTCTGTCCAATGATCACAAAAAAAAGGTGTACGTTCTTTCAGAAAAACGAAAAACAATTCACGTACATCCCTATGTGATTTGTTCTCGTTTTGCTGAAAGAACACTGAACTTTTTTGATCCGTTGACAGAACCTTAAAATGGAGGTTGTGTTTAATATTCCGTAACTTGAAAAGTACATGAGTGATTTGAATGATTCTTGAACTAAAAGAAAGCTTATGAATTGGACTTTCATATCCTAGATTTTGAAAGTGCTACATGCATATCTTCATTAAAACAACGGTCCTGACGTTTTGGTTTCGTTTTTTTACTCACCCTGCAGAGGGCAAACCTAATTATCCTCTTTTTACCAATCTCCCTGACTGACTTACTCAGTCACTCTCACTTGTGCATTTAACTTGCTTAATCAGACTTGTGTTCGAGTCACCAATCACCGAGTCCGAGTCACCTCTCCCTAGTCAGAGCCCCGAGTCATGCAGGTCAAGTCCGAGTCCGAGTCACAAAGCGTCTTGTCCACACCCAAGTCAAGAGTCGCCTTTAAGTACTATATATTGTAACTAAATTTTGAGGTACCGCTAAAACCTGACAGCATAAATGTTTTCATGGAAAGCATAACTGGTACCAAACACTTGTCAAGCTTGCATTTACGCAATATCAAGTGTGGACACTGGGGTACATGTTTCCATACGTTGATTTACCAAATCAAGATATCAGAAACAAGCCAGTCGCACATGCTGTGTATGTACAGTACTTAGATGCATTTCTTCTGCAGCGCACAGACTGTATCGCTTGCTCAGGAAAAGATTGTCTTCAAAATAATTTGTAATTATATTGTTGAAAAAAATAAGTAATTTGTAATAAGGTTGGTCGAGTCCCGCGTCACGAAGGTCAAGTCCAAGCCCGGGTCTAGTCCGAGTCCGAGTCCTCTTCATTTGTCATCGTGACTCGAGCCCAAGTGATGGAAAATAGGACACAAGTCGGACTCGTGTCCCAAACAATACACTCCAATGACTACCTAGACCCTTTCGACCATACTGGTTTAATACCTGTCTTGCCCAGTCTTGTGTTTCTGCAACAAAGTATTTTAAGATTCATAATGACTCAAATCAATAGCTTGATCTGTGGGACTCGAATCTCAATTTTTTGTGATATGATTCGACTTGTTTCAGAGGCTGTAATAATAATTGCAGTGATGTAAACAAACTTTACTTCCTAAAAAGGCTTCTCCAGAACCATAGTTCAGAAACAAAGGGTAACATTTGTTTGATAGAAGGGTAGTACTTGGATACACACAAACAAGGGCAAACATTCAAATCCTGAGATTTTTTTCTGCTGCTGTGGGCCATGCAATTTATTCTTTGTGATTGATTGCTCCAAGCTCACAAGTTTACACATATGTAACATTTAATACCTATAGAAACCTGCAGAACCCGAACACCTTAGCCGTTTTCGCACTCCAGGCAGTGTTTATAATAGTGTTTGAACCGGGGCTGACATTCTCACATTTGTGTTCTGTATTGTACATATCATAAAAACTTCAACACCTAGAGAAATTCACATGAAAGAGTTTAGATGGGTGTCGTTACTAAAACATGTACAATGCTATCATTTTTCCCCCAGGAGAATGGCCACCAGTTGCTACTGACCAGTGACGACCAATTGTTTATATATGAAGCAGCAGGAACAATCATCTCATCCAGCAGCTATGGCCCTGAGGTATGTATGGCATCTGCAAGCATTCAAAAATACGTAATAACTGTTCGTTTCTTTATGGATATAAAGTGGAACACCGCTTTAACGTGGGATCCACAGAAAGTGTTCATAATAACGATCGTTCGGTAAAGTGATTTTGAACCGCCGGCCCCCTTTTGACCAATTGTGAACTGGCATTCCCACGCCCTGCGGCCGCACGAGGAGTCATCATGAAACTTTAGCAGCGGGTGGTTTTCCCTTTTATTCCTTGGGGAAATAATAGCCATCTATCGCTGTTCAACATTCGAACACGTTGTAACTATGGGTCGTTTGATGTTCGCGAATTAAAAGTGGCCAAAAAAGCATTTAATATAACTGGTTTTGTTGTGAATCTGTTGACAATTTTCAACAACAATGATGTTCGGTACGCTTTGCACATTAAATTCGGGAGCCAAGGATGATGTTCGGTATAGCCGAATGTTCGGTATAGCGGTGTTCGGTGTGGCGACGTTCCACTATTTTCAGTGTCCACTACAGATCTGATAATTTAGGCATGCGTTGATCTTTCTGGTTGCTCGAAAAGCATGACTGACAGCAGAAATAACCTTACGCAAGGAATGACCTCTGAACTCTGTATGACATAACTGTGTGTTCGTGTAGGGAAATTCAGTACTTCAATGAATAAAGAGGGCGCTACAAGTATAACATATGTAGGATTAAAGCTACATGTGGGTCAAAACAATCTTATCCCTACCCTAAAACTGGGAAGATTGGGGGGAAACTGATGCGGACAAACTTCATATTTTTGAAGTAGATATGTTGAATGTAATGTGGAAATGTAATCTTATGAAATATTCTTCAGTTCTGGTCATCTTTTGTTTAATTATTAAAGAAATATCGAGACCCACAACACATTGGAGATTAATTTAATTTGCGTTCATTTTTTCCTCTCCATGCAGAAAAAGGAGTACCTTATGAAGAACCTTCTGGCACCGACCATTGACAAGTTCAACACCATGTTTGACAAGATGTGCATGGAGAAAGACGAACAGAAGAGGCAGAAGTATGCAGAGGTGGCCGCCCAATCCATTGCGTTTGCCAGGTATGCACACGTGGACTCGTCCTTCAGCAGCCAATTTCACAAAACAGTTGGCAACTTATGCAATGCGTAGGACTTTTACGCAACAAGTTTCTTGTGCAGAGCATTTAGTAAATTACAAGTCTTTTCACAAGTCCAGTTGCAAGTAACAAGGTGAACAATACCAAAGGAATGCCTTTGTTACAAATCATTTGAATAGCTTGTGACTTGAATGGAGACTGGAGGACTTGTGAGGATATGTGAGGACCTGACAGGGGAGTCAGGTTGGCGTAGCGGTACTTTCCTCGCCTTCCACCGCTGTGACCCGGGTTCGAATCCCGCCTTGGCCAATGTGTTGATTGGGTTTTCAGTCCCTGCCTAATTCTGTGGGTTTCCCCCAAAATATTCTTCTGGGCTTTTCCTCCCACCTCTAAAACTGTAACTTCTTCCTCTCCACATCACAGATGTCTTCAGGCTTGCAAGCTACAGTGCCAGTGGGCGGCTTTGTGAAATCATTGGTTTCATTACCAGAAATGATTAGTAATGATAATAATAACTTGTTATGGACTTGACTACACCAATGATTTCTTGTCACGTGGTGCGACCCCAAACTTGCATTTTTCACCATGTAAACTTTCAAATCTTGTCTGCCATTCATCTGTACACCTTTGTTAAGATCTCAAACTTAATCACTGCCCCCTACATTTCCGAAACCCAACCAGCCGCACCAGCAAGGCTTTCTACACCCAGCTGACCATGAAGCAGAGCGGCTGCGAGGGGTGCTTCATCGAGGCCCTGAGGGTCTTCCTACGGGCCCTGGACACCCCCTACCACCATCAGATCCTTCACTCGGTGGTCCGGCAGTACCTGCACCGCATGATCATCTGCCTGGAGGAGTCCCTGCTGCCCTACGTGCCCATGGCCGTCGAGCATCTACTCAAGAAGTCAGAGGCTCGGGACATTCATGAGTTCATTCCACTCATCAACCAGATCGCTAGCAAATTCAAGGTGAGTGTCTAAAGCCCCAGTCAAACATTTATGGTTTGGAGCTATGCTTAAAAATGTGTGATAAACCATGGGTGTAACGTATTCATCCTTAGTACATCCTTGGTTATCTGTCATCTTCCTTGGGTATTCGTGGAGGGGCTACGGAAGTTTGAAACTGTTCGAAACGTCATGAAAATCAATCTCTATTGTTATTTGTGGCTATTTGTACATATGCTTGGAGATTCGTAGCTCATTTGTGGTAGAAATCTCTACAAATTAGCTTCAAATTTCCTATGGATATGCCCGGATGTGCTAGGGTTCTGCTCAGGTTGTACTAAGAATATCCACGCTTTATCCTTGGCCCAATAGCAAATAACCATGGCATTAACGTCATTAATCTTAGTTCATATTCTTCAACAATCCGTCCATATTCTTGACAAACCGTGGTGTATTCGTAGAGAAATCGTAGGACAGTCATGGCTATCCATCCTGAAACCGTAGTGCATTCTTAAACCGTAGTGCATTCTTAACCGTAGTGCATTCTTAAACCGTAGTGCATTCTGCGATGTGTCAACGAATCTCGACAGTTCATCCTGATTGACGATAAACCGTGGATATTTGTAGCTCCAAACGGTTAATGTGTGACTGGGGCTTAACCCAGTAATCCCTGCCTATTACTCCCTGCAGTGCCAGAAAACACCCGAACACTGTACGGTTTTACAGATTCTTCTGTCTGTGAATACAATGTAATACAATGTAGTATAGGTGCTAATTGGTGAAATAAATTTTCTACATGTGTGCTGATCCAAACGGTCTTTCACTGATGAGGCAATGGCCTTTCGCAATACTTTATTGTAGACATGGTAGAGAATATGTATTTTGCGGAGAACACAGACCAGTTTGGACTATACATGTACCAGTAGTTTTGTCACTCGCTGTGAACATGCATGTCAAATGTGTGCACTAAAACAGTACTCATAGAGGGCAGCATGTAAATCTACCGGTATATGTAGTGCATTTTACATCAGAAATTGTGCAAAGTTGAATTTTGCAGAGTTTAATGGGTTAAAAAGTTTTATGTGCTTGACTTTTGGCACTAACTAAGTTCTATTTATAATTTTGGGTATTGCATATCTATTGATTGTATTTCGATGATGACAAAAAATAATCACATGCCATTATGATTGAAGATTGATTATCAGATAATGGACAATTTATACTGTTTTTTTATGGGTCGCTACTTTGTCTAAATCATGTGCAAAGGTTAAAAGTTTGACGCTTTCTTGGTGGTTTCCAATTTCCATATTTAATTTTTTTCCTGAAAAGATTGAATGGTAATTATGCCAGGATTAAAGGAATAGGGTACATGTACGTTTCATTTAGGGAAACAAAAGGTGTGACGATGTACCGTAGGAAGCACACAATAACCTCTCTCAGAGATAATTGATCCGTTTTACCAAAATGCCTTGCCGGATCTAATCAGAACGCTATAAATATGACAAACAAATTGCACACGGGATCCACATGTAGAAATAGATTTGGGGAAACAATTACAAAAACTAATGAGGGTTTTGCTGGCCCTGCATGCAGCCTATTCAACTGACAATCAGAATATTGTGAAATGCCACCATAATAAACACAGCTGTTACGAACATATGACTCTCCAAACATTAAATTATAGTGCAATGCAATACCAATTATAATAATGAACGACCACTACACGTATAACAAACAATTTTTTATGAACCCCATCATGTTTATCATAATGGTGTTGTGCAAAAATTGACTGGCTGTAGTTCGCTGTCTCAGCATTCTCAGTGGCAAATGACAGATTGTACAAAGTCTACATTATGATTTTAGGGGAAAAGTATTTGAACAACCGTAGTTTTCCCAAAATTCTTTGTTTATTTCATCTTCAAAGAATTGGTACATCCAAGTGACCCAACTGGACACGCATTTTTGTCCTCCCACCAGACAGTGTTGTAGGTCTCGAGACCGGTCTCGGTCTCGGTCTTGGTCCCCTTTGGTCTTGATATTTTGGCTGGTCTCGAGTCGAGACCAGCGAAAAAGTGAGGGGGGCGGATTCCGCCCCCGGCCCTTCTAGGGTTAAGTAAAGAATCAGTTTAGGGCAAATGTGACAGCAGTGTGATGCTAATAGACATGTCTCTCTTCACTTTCTAGTGAGTGAGGCATACATGTAGTCCAATAACCATTGCTCCTCTTCTTATTTCTCGTTTTTATTGTGGGATGATCTGTTGAAACAAGCACTTTATAGCCATCCTCATTGATTCCAAATACAACTGAGATTTAAATCTTATGAATCAGGACTGAAACATTATTGTTACCGTCAGATTTTGTGTTTTGAATATGGGGAACAATTCAACTCTTTTTCCCTAGAAATATTGGAGATTTTTTTTCTATTTTCCTTTTCAATTTTTCCTTTATTCGTGGAGGCGGGAAAACGTTTTTTTTTTCATTATATTTATTAATGGATATTCATCAATTCGTAGACCGTTAAATAGGTATAAGTGGTGGACAGCTGAATTTTGTGATCTCTTTATTAAAATAGACACGACTTGGGAATAGAGTATGCAAATTACGTGAAATGTTCAAAGTTACTACTCAATAACATGTTCTTTATCCCAATTATATTTTTTACAAAATGGACCGTGCCATTTTTTTTTATCATACGGTCACTTTCTTTTTGACTCGCCATGTATTCATCTTTTCATCTGTGATAAACACAAATTGAGCTACATTGTACTGCCATAGTCACACAAAAATAGAGTCTAATTGCCTGCCTCGTCTCCTTCCTAAATGTCAATTGCATTTGCATGAGTCGAGAAGAATTGTGTTCCATTAATCGCTATATGCTGTTTACGGCCATCACAATAAACGATTAATATATTGGCAATATGTCGTACTTGTTATTAATCACTAAAATATTCAAGTAAATCGCCCAGCAAAGTAGCCGATGCGGGCGATACGATGGCACGGTACAAAACACAGAGAGGCGTGCGCACTGAGCCATGAATCCTAAAAGTATATCTCGCCCACCACATTCAGTTTGTGACAGCGCCCTTCTATTGTGTCGGCCATATTCTCAAATAGGCTAATGACGATGATGACGGCGGGCAGATTAACAGAAGATAGATCAGGCAAATATGGTTCATCAATCTTCTATAGTATATGTAACGTTATTGACATTAAACAAAAATAAAGTGGCATTACATTTCAGCCTTAGCCAGGCCTTCTTCAGAGGTAAATGACAGAGGAACAAGAAACAAACATGTAGGGGACACACAAACATTGCAGGGTTGGAAGGAGAATCACAAAGAGGGATGGGGGGGGGGCAGACCAATCCATATCTGGCTACCATCTCTCAATTTTTTGGTCTACATGTACAAATCTATATTCCATGACTGAAATTTTAAAAAATAAATCAATATTTTCTTGCTCCAAATTTTTTTCGAATCAGGTTTACAAGGAGGTCCAATGTAAAATTAAAGTTGCATTTAAATATTTGTTAGTGGTCATTGCTGAAACCAAGGGGTGGCTGTGGAGTTTAGGGTCCGAGTTCCTATAACAGATGAAATATCCACCTTTAACTTTTTACTTTTGTCAAGTCTCAACATGTTCAAGTTTTGCAAAAACTAGTACAAATTGTCGTACTCCTAAGTTAGAGTTTCTTCATCAGATTTACACTTTATAGTAGTTAAACAATATTAAAAAAAAAAAAAAAATTAAAAAGTGGCAAAAATATATGGAGTTCATGAAATAAGGTTTTTCCCTTCTTTAAATTAGGTTGTTTTCAATTTGTTTAATCGATTGTGACAATAACAAATTCTGTTGCCATGTTGTAATTTATGGCATGAAGCAAACACGAAGAGCACTCGCATGACACAATTAAGCAGGTACAAGTGATTCCTAACTTTCAATCACTTCCTTCACATCCCCATGAACATCAACATCTCAAGGACAGACTGTTCAGCTGTAATTAGTGTCTTGTTGTTTATTTAGGTTATTTTTATTTATTATCCGCGGTCTCGGTCTCGGTCTCGGACCATTTCGGTCTCGGTCTCGGTCCGCCTTGAAGGGGCTGGTCTTGGTCTCGGTTTCGGTCTCGCAACTTCAGGTCTCGGTCTTGGTCTCGGTCTCGGACTATCCGGTCTCGACTACAACACTGCCACCAGATGCAAACACAGATTTTGTTCAAAGTCGTCCTTAGTTTCAGTCAAAATCAATCAAGTGACTGTTTTTAACAGTTAAGAGCTCCAAGCCTGCATAAAGCAGGATTGACTGGCTGTGACTGTTATGTAACTTGATACAGCTACCGTATGCTTTGACTGTAGGTGACTGATAAGCAAGCTGTGCCTACCACTTGTCTGCTTTTGTCTGTTGACTGAATTTGACTTAAGTCAGAGTGCTTGCTGAAATATGATCTGACTGTGTATTGGGCATGGCAGGGGAATAGGATTGGTTTTTTTTTTTACTGTTCAGACTTCAGGAGGGTTAATACATGTACATTGGTGGATGAGGAAAAGTAAAAATAATTCGAAGTCGGGAAATTAAATGTTTTAGAATGTTTTGGGGTCGTTTCTTTTGGATTATTTTTTTTTGGTGGGGGGGGGGAGCATATTTGGTTTGTATTTTGCTTGTTTTGAATATTTCCAAACTTGTGGTTGACTTGGTCGCAAGTCCCCGTATCCAGTTCTCAAGCCAAGTTCAGTCTTTTCAAATGTAGGCTACTGTGACAACAGCATTTTTTGGGCATTGTTCAATTTTTATTGGTCGGGGAGGGGTGGGGGTTGGGGTTGTTGTGTCCTCTATCTGCATTCCATTCTTCATGAATTGTTATTCCTGTGCAGAGAACCATAGTTCCCTTCATGCGCTCGGTCTTCATGCCGATAGTCACTACCATCTTCAGCGTCCTGGGCCAGCCTGCCGACGAGCTAGACATCCAGGCCAAGCAGGATAAAGACCTACTGAAGAGGAGCTACTTCCAGTTCCTGCAGACGCTGGTTGCCAACGATGTCAGTGAGGTCATCTCTAGCCAAGGTGAGCTAATCTAAACATGGTCTCAACATGGCGGACTATTATGGACAGCTATTAAAAGTGTGATACGGGCCAGAGCGTAGATTGTCAGATTGACCTGTGACAAAGGTGTCAACCTACGGTAATTCAAATAAATATGTCTGTTCATGTGCCAATAGGGTGCTGTGTTAAGCGTGACACGCGAGTGTGCAGGAGAAGAACACGTAGGCCAATCAAACAGTAGGTGAGGTGATGCATCCACATAGTGACCAATAAGATAGTAGCATAAGGTCAGTCGGCTGTCCTCTTATACATGTACATGTACCAGCATGACAAGGCATGCCACTTTTTCTTGGAGCCGCTGATTTCCTCGTTTTTATCTTCACATGAATGCCATTGCAAATTGAAAACTACTGTACAAAGTCTTTTGTGGTTTGGAGTTTCCACGTTTTACTTCATGTACCGGTACATGTAGAACGTCCCTCCTCTGCACCGCACTGTCCCTTTCACACTAAGAAAAACTTGTAAATTAACCATACAGTTTGCAGCATCATGCTGTATGCTCCCCGGGAGCTTATATTGTCTTTGGAATGTTTCATTGGCCCAATGAGCAGGGTAATAATGATGTAATGATGAGCAACAAAGATGGTTGATACGTGCGCTTTATAAGAAATATACATGTATTAATATTACTACTGGTACATGCATTCATTGGAACCAGACTACCGGTACAAGAACATGATTGGTTTTCTTGGTTTTTCCAGCATTTACCGTCCACCCCAAAACGTGAAACAAGTTAATTTAACAATATTTGCCAAAACATACTAACCAGTGTTGTTGTGGGACTCGAGTCACATTTTTCGTGACTTGGACTCGGCTCGAGTCACATTGGAAAATGACTCGGACTCGGACTCAGACTCAACCATTATGACTCGGACTTGAGCTTGGTGACTCGTGACTCGAGTCACGTATTTTCATCAAAAGAAAAAATATAACGTTACGTATACATGTTCAACGATCAAAGCATTATTTTTACTGTAGACAAAACACGGCGCCCCTGAAAATCGTATCCAGGGGCCACGCATGCCCGCCCGCCTAGCGCCTGCACGATGAGCACCAGGGCGTGGTGTCGTGCCAGAAAGTGTCCGGTATTAAAAGGAAAACACATTTTCGATCTAAACAACTTGTACACACAAGGTACACTATATACACTGTGATTTACTTAAAAGACAGAAAGGATGATTGAAAAATAATTACTTTTTTTTTATTAGTTTGGTGAACAACTATTAAGAACAAGTGACTCGAGACTCAGACTCGAGGCATGTGACTCGAGACTCGGACTCGAGGCTTATGACTCGAGACTTGGACTCGAGGCTTGTAACTTGAGACTCGGACTCGACACTGGTGACTCGACTAAAGCACTGATACTAATCCTCCTAATCCATTTATTTCTGAAAATTGCAGCAAAAGCAAATGTTGTACATTTTCTTTAAATGCCATTTTCTCAAAGGCTGTTTTCTGGTATTGAAAATCAGTAACCTGAAGTGTTATGCATGTACAATCTAATATTGGGAAAACTCTTTTTTCAGCAAATTCAGATATATACAGGTACCTGGTATCTCTTCTTTTTTTTGTATAGTCTGACATTTGTTATGCTCAATTTGTCATGTTTGTGGTGACAGGTCACGTACTCTTGTTGATAAAAGAGTATAGATTATTTACAAGTATTATTTATTAAACAGGAGATTAGCCACCACCCACATACATTATATGCCGACTTCCTGTTTACCATCATTTAGAATTGGTAGACAACTGACGTACATGTAAATCGACCTCCTCTTGTATGTTATTGATAGAAAAGTACCAATCGAAAAAAAAGAACCCTCAACTTCCTATACTGCCAGAAAGGTCAATAATTATGGACACCTGAGGTGACTCTTTTTAATTAATCATCAGCAGAACCCAGGCCATCTGTTCAAAATTGCATTTCCGGTTTTAAATTAAAAACCAACATTTAACACCTGCACAGACTATTTTCTGTATACGTGTGCATGTTTGTGGTGTAAATTGAGGACACACATGTACATGTACATGTATGTGAAGCATCATGGAGAAATTGAGAACATGAGTGGAATCGAGAACGACCTCGATTAGAAAATGTGTGCAAACCCAATGAGAGGTTTGGCAAAAAAGTTTGAGTATAAACAAAGGAAAGAGGAACAGTAGAAAATCCTCGATTTACACCATTATAAACAAACATGTGCATACATGTATGTTTTCTTTTTTGGTGTTGGGGTTTATTTAGGGGGTTTCGTTTTGCTTTTGTTTGTCTTTTATTTAAGTTAATACATGTACATCACAGCTACAAGCTGAAGTATATGAAGAGTTTATTTTCAAAACACGACATATTCATTTGAAAAAGGTGATAAATTGGGACGGTTATGAAACTTTACAGAATAAAACAACACAACAGCTGTTTTCGCTTTATTGTATTCTTAAGTTTTGTTTTAAATGTTTATTAGCCGTTTAAATGGATTACGGGCAGCCAGGAGAGAGCAGAATTCTAAAAGGGAACAAAATGGCGTACATGTATATCGCTTTTTGGCAATAAACTCTTCATATGATGTATTTCACAGAGAAAATGACAAGAATCAGTCTTACTTATTCATTTATTTATTTATTTTTCATTTCAGATGCTGAGAACTTCAAGCAGGTGCTGCTGACTATCATCCAGGGGGCTGTCGAATCTCAAGACCCAATAGTACGTTTTTCTTTTTTTAAATTTTACTCAACAATTTTTGATATTAATGGGACCAAGATAGGAATTTTACAGTGGAGCGGTGTAATTTTGCATTCTTCTGAAATGTTTGAAAACTGCGAGACATCTATTTTTTTGTTAAATGTTTTATAAAGTGCACTTTTTCAATCATTTAAAATGTTCCATGCTTTTCACCCCAACTGAGGGCGCTGTTGCTGTGATGCCAATTCGGGCACCCACTCTTCGGTTGTAGGGGTTTGAAGTTCAAATTGGGAACCCAAAAAGTTGGTTTTTGTAGACATTTGTGCATAAAGTTTGCTCATAAAATGCTACCATACAATGTTGCACATTTGTACTGAAACTGAAACAACAATGGACCACCAAAATAGAAAATTATCCTCAGCAAAAATCCCAATTCTAAATGTAGCACTTTTTTGGAGCTACACGTAAAGCAGCTGTGATACTGGAGTTCCTGCCTTGACCAAGATGAATGACATCACAGTTTAGCTCATGAATATATAACATTTTTCATCAGCATAATCAAAAGAGCACCAAAAAAAACATGAAAGGGCAAAATGAATATCACCGCCCTACATATGTGCTGTAAAGCAAAAAAGGGCGTGTACACACATACTTGTTCCATAGTTGTGGGGACTACACACGAGTTGTCCCATGGTACTATGGGGACCAAAGACGCTGTGGGGACAGCAGAAAGTCCCTATAACTGAGGACTATCACATCAAATGCTCAGTTTAAAATGAACCTTATTTCATTTTGTGTTCGAACTATCGAACATTCGGATCAATAAACCTTCTATAGATGGAACCTTCAGACTATCGGGTGGACCCTGTAAAATTGGCTGCCGGTGGATGTGGGTTGACTGACTCAGTGGAGTCCCTACACAAACAGTACATGTTGTTGGCGGTTTGGAAAGCTCTATTTAGAGGACTAAAAAACAATCACATCGATTTCCTCTCTGGTTTGTGTCAGTTCATTTTTTAAAAATGTATTATTACTATTTTCTCTATCCTGCAAAATTTATCAAACCTCTGTCTGGATTTTAAAGAATCTAGAGGATTTGAGGGATATAATAACAGGACAAATCTGTGCCTCACTTCCCCCATAAGCCAAGCTTATTAATGTTTTTTTCATCGCCATGGCAACAACATTATGATTACACTTCCCTTTCCTCTCCAGTTCGTGACAGTCCTTTTATTTTCTTTCTTTTTTTAATTCCATCATGTGTATTTTAGTTGTTGGGGGTTGGTTTTGCCGCCTTATTCTATTTTTTTTTTTTTTTTTTTAACTATTTCATCATGCGTATTTTGGTTGCTGGGCGAACCCGGGTATGCAAGTGTCCTCAATTCTGCTGATTTTCTCGCCATAAATACCATTACAAATTGAAAAACACTGTACAAAGTCTTGTGTGCTATTGAATGTCCTTGTTTTTTTTCCCCTAAATTTCCAGTTGCGTGCCTGGTGATTTGGTTTGTTTTGTTAATTTTTTTGAATTGTTGTTATCCCATGATGCATAGTTTTGTCATATAGCATGTATAGTCCAGCGGATATGTGACAAAATATCGATGAATTGTGCACTTTTGCATAAAAGCGTGAAACTTGGCACAAGGGGGGGTTTAATTATTATGCCCACTTTGGAAAACATTGTGCCCATATTTCATGAACGAATAAAACGTCCCATATTCATAAGAAAAAAAATTCCAGATGTGGAGCCATCTCGAACACACCCTTTTAGGGGCGTGGCAACCATATAGGAAAAAAAAAAGGGGGGCAGGGTTTTCATTATGCCCACCCTGGAAATATTGTTCCCACACTCAGAGAGAAATGGAACTTTCCACAAACATTGACATTCATGAAAAACAAATTCCAGATGTGGAGCCATCTCGAACACACCCTTTTAGGATCGTGGCAACCATATAAGGAAATAAAGGGGGGCTGCCATTGTGTGCTGTGTATTTGTAATTATGAAATCACTCTGGAATTTAGATGTGCATGATAATATAGGTGCAAGTACACACATTGAACAATACAACACGGGTTAGCCTACCGGTACTTACCCATGCTCTTTGGGGTAAGTCATTGTATTACCAAATAATATAGGTTATGGGCCAATCAATATTATAAGGAATCAACAACAAAATATAATAATTGCAATTGTGGGCACAGTGAGTAGGCCCCTCACACCTCTAAAAGGATGAGTTTGCTGTGGCTCTACATAAGAACTTTCTTTTATAGGGGCATCATGACTACCCCCCCCCCCCCCCATTTTACTATGGCTGCCAAGCCCCTAAAGGGGTGTGTTTACGATGGCTTCATGTGTGACTTTTTTTTTCTCTTGAATATTAATATCTGTGGGAATTAGCTTTATTCGTTTATGAGATGTGGGCACATTTTTTTCCCATGTTGGGCATAATGAGAACCCCGCCCCCCTTTTTTTCAATATGGCTGCCACGCCCCTAAAAGGGTGTGGTCGCGATGGCTCCACATCTGGAATTGTTTTTCTCACGAATGTCAATGTCTGTGGAAAGTTCCATTTCTCCATGAATGTGGGAACAATATTTCCAGGGTGGGCATAATGAAAACCCTTCCCCCCCTTTATTTCCTATATGGTTGCCACGCCCCCAAAAGGGTGTGTTCGAGATGGCTCCACATCTGGAATTTTTTTTCTCATGAATATAAACGTCTGTGGGACGTTTTATTCGTTCATGAAATATGGGCACAATGTTTTCAAAAGTGGGCATAATAATTACCCCCCCCCTTTTCTTTTAATGGCTGCCACGCCCCTAAAAGGTACTTTTGTGGTGGCTCCGAATCTGGAAAACACTAATAATCTATATAATTATGTCTTTGTGAAGTTTCCTGCTTTTGTAACAAGTGGGAAAAACCATTTTTACTGCGGGCATGACAAGTCCCGCCCCCCTTTTTTTAATTGGATGCCATGCCCCTAAAAGGTTAAATTTGCGATGGCTTCACATCTAAAACATTTTCTCGCATGAATATAAACATCTGTGCCAAGTTTCACGCTTTTATGCAAAAGTGCACAATTTTTTCACATATCCGCTGGACTAATAGGGCGTTTGTCTGGATTGATTACTCTACAGTGCTTTGGCACACATACGTACACGTGTAAACCAAACAAACCTATCATTCATTAAATGAATTTTCTGGTTTGGTTCCTGTTGTGAGGCTTTGATAAAATAAGCCATGCATTCTTATAGTATTTTTCTGCCAGTATCTATTCAGTTATTCTTTACCAGCAGAGTATGATGACGAAACTGCAGATGGGGATTTTTTAATTTCGTTTTACACATGATGTCAGATGAACCAAAAAGGCAATGGACATCATTTGCAGAAAAAAAAGTATTGGTGATTTTAGGTAGTCCGAGTAACTACATGTACATGTAGGACTCTGGCCACGAATCTCCATTTTAAAATTTGGACATGGTTGGGCGATAGAGTTCTAGGATCATACCTCTATCGCGAGTACCGGTACCATTAATCAAATTCCAATTGTTTCATCATACCCCAATCAACATCGTCAGATTTCACCCCAAAAACAGTCCTCAAACTGCCTTATGTGCCCCTGTTGGCTTCAGTGGGAATTGAAAATACAGTACTAATGGTGGTGGTTAGGTTCACAAACCTTAGGGAAATAAAGAGAAATTTCACCTTCACTTGGGAAACCGATCCTTGTCGTGCTGGAGGCCGCCATCTTGAATTCAAGATGGCGACCTCCGGGCATGGGGTCCGCTCATAAGTCCGATGCCTCATACATGTACGTCCGACGCCTCATAAGTCCGACAAGTACCTTTATATGAAATTTCAAGAATTTTTCAATGATGTCACTACAATGTATATAAGCGCAACAGAATCTCTCCATGTTGTGAGTGACTGCACCAGTTGCCATTCAGCAGTTTTGTCTTCATTTTGCAGCTGTAATTTCATTTCAGTGGCAAATTACAACTTTGTAACCTCTGTAATCTTAAAATGTGCTTGGATAAAACTGGAAGTTTGAAAATCCCGGAAAACGACCAGCCAGCCGATCCCATTAGCTCGGTGGTCGAGTGGTAAGTCGTCTGCACTAGAAAGCAGGAGGTCGTGGGTTCGAGTCCCACCCGAGTAAGCAAACCTGTATCAATTTGTGTCTTGCTTAATTAACTTTTTAGGGTTAAATTATCAGATCTGTTTATCTGACAAGAGTGTCTCAGGATACGCTTTTAGTATGCACATTGTGGTTTATGAGATACTCTAGGAAAGAAAAAAACATGCGAGCTAGTGAAAATGTCAGCTGGCTAGTTAACAGTCTGTTTCAGTAGCCCAGCTGGTTATATAGTCAGAAAGAAAAGTATGTCGAACCCTGACACGTACATGTATGCACATTCCAATCATGGACTTTGAACAGTAAAGGACATATTGTTCAGGATTGACCGAAAGTCAACCTTTGGGATGTGCACAAAACCTATGGGAGGTATTCCTAAAAAGTTTGAAGTATAAACAGAAGAGGGACAATATAGTGGTCAAGGATTGAAGGTGTTCACAGAGTTGGGTGTTTTTGTTTTTTTTCCTTGCAAAATAATCATCAAAGGATTGTCAAAGGTTTTAGCTTTTGTACATCGATGTGTAGGCCTACATGTACATTGTACATGTAGATAGCTTTAGGCTGATGATTTATTTTGTGTGAACATTGAAACGGCATTCAGAAAGAACAAATTGAGGAAGGAAACACGAAGAAAACGGAAGAAAAGTCAATGGTCTTGAATCTCATGTATGCCTTTTTATGGTTATCTACAATGTACAATGTATTTAAACTTTGAAGCTGTTGAATAGTTTATGTGAAAGCAGCCAGCAAATGTTAATGGTACACATTATTACCGGTATCTCCACCGCATCCTGTCTTTTATTGTTGAGATATATTTTATTGATTAACTGCAGTATTTGACAACTCGGTGATTGTGGCCTACCAGCCAAAAAAAATTACAGCTTTATCAAATACTAAAGATGTTGTCACCAAAAAAAACCCTCCGGCTTCAGACAACCTTTCAAAAGATTACACATGGTTTTTCCTGGTAAATAATTGCTCTTGTTGAGCAATAAAGATTCGTCTTTTCAATCGTTTGAAAAGACTTTTGTTGATGCAAAGCTTAAACTCTCAAATATCTGAAGAGCATTGAAGACCAGGAGCCAGAGTTTCCTGGATTTAATAATAATATTGTGTTTTGCCCTTTAATTCACCAACTTATTTTATAAACAGTGTACATGTATACTCGGTGCCCCCGAGTGGTTGTGAGGACAAAAGCAAACTCTGGTGTGACTGCAAGTTTCACGGAGCTATCAAGACGAAATTTTTCAATTTATGGAGTTGGAGAAAATTCAGATATCATTCTTTAGTGGTAAACATTAAAACAAAACAAAATTGGGGGTGGGGGTGGGTGGGATGGGCTGGTCAACTACTCAACTATACTCAACCAAAAAAGAAAGTCCCCCCTTAATACTTTTTTGCCTAACTCATAAAAAAAATTGGGCACATCTGGCTCAAATTACAGGTACGACTGATCAGTGCAGAAATTCCCTAGCAATCCATCCATACTTTTTTTTTGGCCCAAAACAGTGATAATGTGTACAAAATTATGCAGTTTATGACAAATGGTACCGAAACAAAGATGCAGTGTGAAACACAACTTGCATGTTTACAAAAGTACAACTGTTTTCGTTATCATTTTTCATAAATTGCATAAATTTGTACACATTATCACTGTTTTGGGCCAAGTAAAGAGTATGGCTGGATTGCTAAGGAATTTCTGTACTGATTGAGCGAGAGGTTCTCAGCAGTTTTTGAGTTAGACAAAAAAGTATTGGAAGGGGGGTCTTTCTTTTTGGTTAAGTGTACTTTAAGAGATTGTTTTCTTCAGTTGTAAGAAATAATTTAAAAAGTTGAATGAAGAAATTGACATGCAACCTCCGGACTACCTCGGTCGTTGTACCAGCTGAGCTATTTCCAAGTTTTGTAGCAAGGCTGCTAGCTCATGGCATAATCCTTGGCTACACAGCATATGGGTTTAAAGCCTCTGACTAGCTATGCCCACTGATCTCTATAAAGACTGGATAGCGGATATCCATACAACATTCACACAGTAGACTTTGCATATTGACCAATTCGCCCCCGGCCTCACGAAGATGGCCATGTATAATACGAACGTTCCATGCCAACCTCGTTCTCATGGGTACGAGATCTTGCTGCGCCATGTTGTTTCCCATCATGCATGTCATGCCTTGCACGATCTCAACCCCTGGAATTGTATAATTTAAATGTGTCAAAATATGGCACATTATAATTAGGCTGCAGTTTATCCGTTTTATGTGCCGACGCCATCTTTCAAATGTAAAAAAATTGTGATTTTGAAGAATTAATCATTTCAAACAAAAGGTTTGGATGTTGCGTTATTTAGCAAAGATTTGTACTAAATGTACGTACCCCTTTCATCCCTTTACAACCGAAGATACAGGGTTTTTTTTTAGCAAAAAATTAGGCCGCCATAATCCATATCATACAGGCATCGCGAGTTTTGAATAACAAATAATTTTTGTACGTTACGTGTCATGCAAAGCACGCGGGCGCATTATGGGCGCGCCCGGCGAGCAATCTTCGAAATGCGTGCGCAGTACATTCTAAATTGCCAGTCAGCATCTTTTACGTGTACATCACGGCCAGGGGTTAGTGAAAGAACGCGCACGCGCCCATGGAGTCGAGGCTGGTTTTTCGCGTATACAGCGCACGTTGTATATTTTGGTCACGTACACATAATGATGTTCTAAAAAGAACACATTTCCGTAGTGATTATTATTTCCAAAATGCCGAAAAAGTGAACTGCGGCATTAAAAAAAAGTAAAACCACGACATTAGAAAAATTGTAAACCTTGGTCAGTGGTGGTGGTAAAAATAAAAGTCAAGTGAACCGCGAAATTACAAAAGAAATCATGCTGTCTATAAAAGACGGCAACTTGTCCTTTGTAGATCACCAGCCGGTCTCACCGGTCTCACAAATATGGCGTCAAATTCATTCATTGTGCGGCTCTTTATCCGCTGTCCAGTCTTTATATAGAGATCAGTGGCTATACCGCCCCTAAGCTTGAACAAAGACATCGACAAATTGGGAAACTGGCAACATACATGTACTGGGAAGTGCTGGATAGCTCAGTTGGTAGAGCACCGGCCAGCCATCCAGAGGTCGCAGGTACAAACTCCTCTCCAGTCAGTTTATTTGTTTAACATTTCAAGTCTTATAATGCACCTTAGTCAGTTTCCTGGCAAATTTTTAAGAATGTTGAATTTTTCTTCAGTGTTCAGCAGCTCTTTGACATTGGGATGTGTAGTTTTCTTTCTTGCAAATTGTCTTTGAACGAATGCCAGGCATTCGTTTATCAGGGGATAATTTGTCTATGCAACGCATGCCTATTAATGCCCATTAGTAGTTACACTGCCAATTCCATTTAAGAACCCAGTGTGTGCATACACATAAGACATTCTCCATTTCAAACATTCCTCACAGAGTATTAATGTTGAATTCCGAACCCATTCAGAGAATTCAGATTTCCAGTTTTTTAGGCCGATATTCCATAAACAGTATCTTATGGGATGTTATCAAGTAATTGTACATGTAACAAACAGATCTTGCATTTTCACATGGTGGAATCAATTTTGCTGGTCCAAGAGAGCCAGCCTACAGTCCACTACCGGTAGCTGTGTACCTCACTCAATGACAGAGTCACCGACTGTCATTTTACTAAAAATGACTAAATGTAAACGTGTAGACCCTTTTGACCAAATTTGTTACTAGACTTAATACCTACATATATTGTACATGTTCCGGTAGTCTTGTCCTTTATTTAATTTTTTTTGTCTACAGTTTTGTTATTTCTCAATTTGTGGTCTCTTCGGGACTAAACAGAAATACCACTTCCATGACTTGTATTTTAAAAAAAGGAATGTGTGGGTTGAGGGTTGGGTTTGTGGGCATGGCAAGGACTTATGGTCACTTTAGAACTGAGTTCAAAGATTCACATTGACATTGCCAGTGAGCTCACCCGCTCTGACTCATGTCTGTTCTCCTCGGCATGGTGTCCAGACATGGTTGACTACAGTTTCTTAACCATTAACCTCAAAATGTCAATTACCCCCCTCTCCATATTCTGAGTCATTTTGTTTGCCATACAAAGTTAAAGTGTAAGTTCCTGACAAATGAATGAGTACCGGTACACACACTGTTATTGGTATAAACCTCAAACATTTATATTAATAATATCAGGATTTTATTGGCAAGCAGTTGTTTTTTTATGTATGTGTCAGAAATTTCCTGGACTAACGAAAACATCTTAGCAATAACATAAGTTTATTTGATAAAAGTGAATGTATTAATTGTATTGTGTTTTTGTTTTACAGAACAAAATAAATGTACATTTAATGGAATAAGTTGGAAAGTGACATAATCATTTCTGCACAAATATCTGTCAAAAAAAAATTAATGAATTAAACAGAAATATGAATGGAGTACTTTTTCAATAACAAGTAAGTTGGTCTTGTGCTGTACAGGTACTTAAGATTTTTTTTTTTTTTTATTCACTTGAAAGCTCATAGCTTTATTACATGGTGGCAGAAAATAGGCCATTTAATACAAATTAATTTTTAATATTAGTTTCTCAAGATTAAATCGTTGTCTCAGTTGTTTGCTGTACTGGAGATTCCTTGAGGCGGTAATTCACTAGAAATCCAGTAACTTTAATATATGATGCCAGAATATTTGGCATTCAATATGAACATTTGTTTTCCATATGAATTTTAACAAGTTTTTCTGTTGTCACTTTCTTGTCTTTGAAGGTCCAGAAGACAGCCTTTGCCATCTTGAGGAAGCTGGTGGATAAATGGGCCGGCAAAGATGGCCTGCCAGGGTTCCGAGACTTCATCTATAAATACATCGTCCCAGCGTGCTTCATGGCACCCCTCAAGGCAACATTCAACCTCTCGGATGGACAGACAGTTTTGGTGAGACGCTCTTTTCTTTTTGAGTCCTGAAAGGCTAGATCTGTCTGCGCATGTGACCTGAAACTCTAATGTTTTTATTTGGAGTCTATGTTAAAGGACATTATGGCCTGGATTGCACCCAATTGGGCTACAACACGCATGTTAAACAAAATGATATTAAATATCATTTAAAGAGCTAAAATTAGAAGAATATTTATCGTCCACACAACCATCCTATAAAAACTAGGCATTTTTGTGTTATTCTTGCAAGAGCCATGCAAGATATTTTTACCTCCAAAAAATTGAGCTGTTCAGTGCCAGTTTTGATTTCAGTTGCACAGTGGATTCTGTGCACGTGTTAGAAACAACATCGGTGCTGTGTGTAATTAATGTGACACACACAATGCGTATTGTACATTAAATAAAAACAACAGGAATTACGTACATGTGTACTCCATCGCATCTGATGTAAACAACCTTTTTTACCGCATCTTTTCTCGTGAGCGTAACAGTAAGACAGGTTACTTTCCTTTCCACTGGACCTTTGAAATATTTATAAAACAGTCAAAAACACGAATTCTTTTTTTTTTTAGGATTTCAGGTCATAACGCCCCTTTAATGGTGCCACCCGTAAAGGCTGCTCATTTCTTATTTTAGTGCAAATTTTGGCTGTCCCAGAAGGCCAGCCTAGTGAACTCTTTGTACCTCTGTCTGATCCATTGACTGACTCAATGACTGACTTAAACTGACCGACTCACTGGTAAGCCGGGCATTGCTCTTGAATAGGATCACCTTGTAACGCAATGCCAATGATTGGCCTTGGCTTTAGTCTGGCCCGATTGTGTCGCACAGATGCATGAAAAGACTTCCAATGAATATCGCCATTCTGAATCCATGGAATAGAATATAGTGCACTCTGGGACCAGTTTTAGTTGGTTTGATTTAATTATTGTCTTGTTTGCTATGATTGCTATTTTTTAGTTTGGTTTATTATTTATTATTTTTTGAAATGAAACAAAGGGATCCTCAAATGTGCCAATGGCACCATTCCACATAAAGCTGATGAAAGCTGTTTAGATTAGAAGACAGTGAAGAAATAATCTGTTTTTGAATGCAACTGATTTGCTGAAAAACTCGAGGAAACAGGCAGGTTCTGAAAGGTCATGGAAGTGGAATGTACTGTTGATAACCTTTTACATGTTTTTGTTTTCTCTCGTCCGGTGAAAGTGCAATACATCACTTGTGAAATAACACATGATTGCTCTTCAAAACTAGTCCCTGAATGAGAAAACTAACCACAGGTGTTTTCCATGTCTGACATGAGTACATACATTGATTATTTCTAAGCAAGGGGAATTCCTCTAGCATGAAATGTGTTGAGGCATGGTCTTCATCTTGAAGGTTAATTGGATTTTGTTCGTACATGTATTGTATTGATTTTCTCAGCAATTGTTGCGTAGATTTTTGTTCGGAAATGACTGGAGAAAGTTTGCAGCTTTGTTAAGTTGAGATATTTGAATTCATTAAACAATTAATGTGACCAACCATTATTGTCTCTCTTTGGTATCTTTGAGTTACATGTACGTGTGCATCACAATCACAAGACATATTGGCTGGTAACCTGCTGTTGCTAAGCAAACATTTGTTCTGTGCCTTAAAATTTATGTTCTGAGCTACACCTACTCAATGAAATTGCCCCATTTTGTGCCGACTTCTGGTAGATTTTGCAGTATGCTTGAAATGCACCTCTATTTGTGTTATTTCTATACACTCCTCTGCAAATGGTGCATGTGTTGTGAACCTGTTCAGTATTTTGTTTACGGCCCCTTGACTCTGAGCATTGACCTGGGGGGGGGGGGGGGGAATCTTGCATAATTCGGGATTCCCCCATATGTCGAAATGGGGCCAAGGCCCATACAAACATGCATGCCTGCTTTCTCACCAGGGGCCTTTTTCCTAATCTGTGAAATTGATTATACCGGTACCTGTATGCCAATTATAGCTAGTGGAAAAATACTGACTCGAAATTTCAGCATGTGAAGGGGATAGACCAACTACATGTATTTGAAACCATGTCTGAACGTTTTTCATAGCATTTTGGATATTTGGTGCAGTCACTGGTTTTTTCATTTGAAATTGGGGCCAAATGTTTTCATTCATTCATTTTCTGCCAATCGTAAAATAAGAATGAGGTGAGAATCAGTCATAAGCATCATACATGTGTACATAAAGTATGTAAACCACTTGTTTTTTTGGCTACCTGAAATTTTGGTAGCATATTTTCCTAAGACATATCTGTTTTAAGCATAGTCTGCATGCTTTACATGTAGTAGTAGACTCCTACCATTTCGCGCATACATGACTCAGAGTACCAGCGTCCCGTGGATGACCTCAGAAAAATCAAAAGATGTTCTCGTATCATACGTGCCACTCGATAATTTTGAGTCTTTTACGTGAGGCTGGAACGTGTTGGTGTTATTGAAGCCACATTCACGGGTCAAATGCAAGTACATGTATTTCTCTTGGGTGTACATGACAATTTTGCGGGTAATTGTTTAGCCTTGGCGGAGGTTTACGCTCTCTGAGTACTTTCTAGTTGATAATGAAATGTGAACTCACAATGTGAATTGCAATTTGGTCTCATGGTTTATTCCCATTATGAGCCTGTTGTGCAACTTGTACGACTCCGAAAACTAGAATACACACAGGAAAACCAATTTGTAATGCAATCCAGCCTTACTATTGTTGACGAGTTTCCAGTTACTTGTGTGATACAGCATGGTATAGAACTGTGCTGTTTTTAATCCTTTGGTTTTTCGGGTAAACACGTTACCACTAAATCAAATTGTGACCATTGGGAAGTACCTTGACCAGCTTGTTATTGTGTTTCCCATTTCCTTTGGGAATGCCATGAGCTATAACAGCCTTTGTACATGTATAATGGTCACACACACTTGTAAACTTTCATTTCCAGTTTTGGTTTTAGTACATGTAGTTGCGCAACCTAATACCAACAACCATGCCAATAAACAACGTGCAGTATCGGGACACAACTTACACATTTTACGACTTCATGTACATTTGCACATGTAGTAAAGTAAAGTCTATCTCAAGCCAACCTGGCCCATGAGCCCAAAGTCTATTATCGGTTTCCTTGGGATGAAATAACTGAGAATATTTCTTTTCCACCTGGATGGGATGCTTGTCCATCGCAGGTTACTCCCCAGCTAATGCTGGTACCTATCAATACTCCTGGGTGGAGAGAGCCAAGTGGGGTTGAAGTGGCCTGCCCAAGGACACAACATACATGTATGGCCAGCAGCTGGATTCCAACCCCTGATACTCTGATCATTAGTCATGAACCCTAACCACAAGGCCACACTCCCCCTGTCGCCTACATGTAATGTGACGTTTCCCAAATGCGCCATTAGTCATGGTGTCTTTTTGTTGTAATTACATTTGAAGTATAATTTAACAGTTACATCTCATGCAGGTTACTAAAGATGGCAGAACTTCCACTTCTCATATGGATGAATTTAAAAATACTGTCTTCAGATCACAACTTGAAAAGAAATCCTAGTATGTAAATCCCCCCCCCCCCTCATTTCTAATGCATTAAGATGTGCATTGAGAAAAGCAGGCCCCACTACGAAACCTTTAAACATATAAAACCTTAAAGTAAAACCACCAACCTGAGAAATTAAAAACCTATATTAATGAGGAGAGCCACTGTGAGGCCTGGACAAGTTTTCCTTGGTTGGTTGAGATCCTTGTTGGCATGGAACGTTAGCATAAAGATTGTCATAACCTATCTAAAAGTTTAACCAAGAATTTGCATTAAAATTTGCACTTGGTTGGGGACTTCAGTTGGTGATGAGGTACATGTACGTTGGGTGCTATAACTTGTAAAATGGAACTCAGAAGTTTTTCCGGTACATGTATATTTGAAGTTCCGGATTGTGAAGCTGTGCACCTCCAACCAGACCATTATCTGACCTGTTTACTTCTGAAAAGATGCAGAAGTTAAAGGGAATATACAACATTTGCAAACATCGTAAAATAAAACAACCAAGTTTTAACGAAATATCTTACTAGGATGTTGGTAAATGACAGTCTAAAGCATCCTGTAAAATTATGGCACCTGGTGTGAAGTCATTTTCAAGAAAATGGTATTTTTGTATACATTTCCAACGGTGGTTAGCCGACCACCGTTTGAAAAACCTAACTATTTTTCAACTTCTGCTCCAACTTTACACTTTTTTCAGTCCAAATTTTGTTTGCTATTGGTTACATGTTCATGAACGGGTGGAGGCCAGCTAGACTGGTTCCCTTACCTTACAATTTTCCGGCATCTGTACATTGATCCATTTTATCTTTAGTGGAGTCAAGGAACCAGACTACTTGAACATTTTTGTTTTTCTTGGTTTTTCAAACATGTCAGTGTAACAATATTTGATCTATTATACTAACCCCTCAAATAGTTCATTTCTGAAAATTACAGCACAAGCTAATGATGTACATTCCCTTTAAGCTCAAAGCAGGTTATTTGTCTCTTTGTGTTTGTCAGAAAAGATAAATGATGTGCACTAGCTTGTAGCAGTGAAGTAGCCTGCAAGTGCGTGTGCAGACATTGTTCATGTTCATGGTATCAAGCAATGTTCAAAAAAACATTACCATATTTGGCTTTCCAACGCATTTTCGATCAACATGAGGAGATGACGTATGATAGCATACATTTCGGGACTAGCAAGTATTGCGCAATGCCATGCTGGGGATTTTTTTTTCTTCAGTGTAACGGTTTTTGCCTTATTATGTGGGCTGATTGATTTCCCCTGTATTTTTTTTTACAATGTTTTATGACCAAAGTTTGGTTTTGTATAATGAACTTAGGTTTTGGTTGAGTTTGTTTTTGATCCCTGGAGCTTGGGTCCTTGGATGGCAAGGTATATATTAACATGATTAGTAGTGCATTTACGTACATGTGCATTCAACATGAGTTTAAGCTTTAACTCACTACAGAGAAGATGAATGGGGAGTTATTATTTTCTGGGGTATCATTGGCTATTTTGAGGATTTTGATGAATTAACAAAGAACACAAATTAATGAATAAATGCATTGCTTTATCCACTTGCTTTTGGTATAATTCCTTATTCAATCTTGGCGTAAATTGCAGCATTGTGTTGAAGACACTGTTTATTCTGATCCACTTCTTGTTAAGATTTCTATCCTTACTAAATGTATGTTGTCTCACCACTAGTTTGGGATTTCCTCAAATCATCCAGGACATTGCCCCTAAATATTTTAACAGGTTACAGATACCAAAAGAGATATTTAAGAGTAATTTCTGTTGTATTTTTTTATTGGTCATGAATGTAACCGAGGATTACTGAACAAATGGTACATCATGATACATGTACATACATCAAACTACTCATCATTTTTAAGGAAACAGTGTAAAGGCAAAATGTACAGAATTGTATGTTGAGTCTCCTCTCACGTTGAAAAGCTCTGTTACCATACATTACAAAGATCAAAATACACTTTATATAATGCCAAAAAAGACCAACAAGCTTTTTTCATTTGCCATCCACAGGCACTGAACGAAGACGCAGCCGTGCTGAAGTCAGTACTAGCAAAGGAGGGATCTCAGTTGATCAGCTTCCTGCAGCAGGATTACTTCCCTTCCTTGCCTCTAGGCCCAGAGCCTGCTCAGGTCAGTCCTGTACCTATGTACCAAACTCCAACAAACTTTCCTTTTAATCCCATAGAAGGTTCCCAGTCAATCAGCTTCTTGTTGAAGGATTATTATTTTTCTTCCTACTTAAAGGCCTAGTGCTCAAGTAAGTCCAGTACCTGTACCAAAGTCAGACCTGAAACAAAGTCCTGTACCAAGGTCATCTTTTCCCTTTAATCACACAGAAAGCTCCTGTAGCAGGGTTACATACCTTTCTTACATCGAGTTCCAGAGCCTGCTCAGGACAGTCCTGTACCTATATACCGAATCCCAACCAACTTTCCTTTTAATCCCATGGAAGGTGCCCAGTCAATCAGCTTCCTGTTGAAGGAATTATTCCTCTCCCTTTCTTTAAGTACTTTAAAGTCTAGTGCTCAGGTAAGTTCTGTACCTGTACCAAAGTCAGCCCTGAACCAAAGTCCTGTACCGATGTCAAACTTTCCCTTTAATCACACATAAAGCTCGGGTAGTGGGTTTACATCCCTTTCTGACCTCTAGGCCCAGAGCCTGCTCAGGACAGTCCTGTACCTATGTTCCAAACTCCATTTAATCCTATAGAAGGTCCCCAGTCAATCAGCTTCCAGTTGAAGGATTATTCCTCTCCCTACTTTAAGGCTTAGTGCTCATGTACATAAGTCCTGTACCTTTACCAAAGTCAAACCAAAGACAAACTTTCCTTTTAATCCCACGGAAAGTTCCCAGTCATTTAGCTTCCTGCAACAGGACCTTTTCCCCTTCACTTCTTATACTCCCAGAACCTGTTCAGGTCAGTCCTAAACTGTACAACAAACTTTCCTTTCAACATAGAAGGCTCCTAGTTGATCAGCTTCCTGCAGCAGGGTTACATCCTTTCCTTGCCTCTAGACACAGAGCTTTCTTAGGTCAGTCCTGTACCTACATATATGTACAAAGCTCCAATGAACTTTCCTTTTAATCGCACGTAAGGTTCCCAATCGATCAGCCTCCTGTAGAATGTTTGTGACCCTCCCTAGGCCTAGAGCCTGTTCAGTTGAATCATGAACCTACCAAAATTTGACAAGCTTTCCTTTAAACCCTACAAAAGCTCCCAGTCAATCAGATTCCTGCAGCAGATTATTCCCTTCCGATCTACTTCTACACCCAGAATCTGCTACTGTCAGTCCTAACTTTTCTTTTAATCCCATGGAAGGCTCCTGTAGGCCCAGAGCCTGCTCAGGTCAGTGCTGTACCATCCAAATTACACCCAACTTTCCTCTCGCTCCCAAGTAAGGCTCCTAGTTGATCAGGTACTTGCCATACCTCTAGGCATAGACTGCAGAACCTGCTCAGGTGAGTCCTGTACCGTACCTACCAAACTATAACACAAATTTATTCTGTATCCTAGTCATGGTTGATCGGCTTTCTGCAGCAGGATCACATCCCCTTACTCACAATGTGGCCAATCTCTGCAATAAATCCAAAAGGAAAAATCTCAGTTGATCAACTTCCTGCATCAAGATGACTTCCCCTCCCTCACCTCTTGGCCTAGTGCCTGTCCACATGAGTCATACACACATATTTTCTTTTAACCTAAAGTAAGGATCTGAGATGCATACTGCATTCTGAACATTTCTCTTCCTGAAAGACTGCATCGCGACCATTTGTCTTCCTGAAGATAGGCCCAGATCCAGCTCAGGTGAACCCCCATTTCACAAACAAACCCAGATTTTTTTTGTTATTTTAACCCAAGGGGTGATCTCAGCTGATCAGCTTCCTTAAGTAGAACGACTCCCTTCCTAACCTCCAAGTCTAAAGCCTGCTCATCATGTGAGTCATGCATCTCCCAAACTAAAGTTTTCACCCAGGTGAGGTCGCTCCCCCAACAACCATGAAAAAATCAGTCTACTTTTTCTGTTGATTCACTTAAAGAATCTTGGTAGATCAGCTTCCTGCAGTAAAAATACTCCCCTTTCATACCTTTAGACCCTTTGCCTGTTCAGATAGATCCCTGAATTGAACCATCCTGACAAACTCGTCCTTTAATCTCAAGGAGGGATCGCTTTTTATAAGCTCTCTGTAACAGGATGAATTCCCTTCCTAGTCACAAGGTCTACAAACTGCTATACCAAACTCCAAGAAACCTTCCTTTTTCAATCCCAGTCTCAGTTTAAAAGCATCATGGAGCAGGATTTACTTCCCTTGCTCACCTGTCCAGGTGAGCAACCAAACTCCCGGACAAACTCAGAAAAAAATATATTTAAAATCCCAATGAGGGATCTCAGTTGATAAACTTCCTGCAGCAGAATGCCAATAGAGCCTACCCAGGTGAGTCTGGTACATCCTAAGCCTAACTAAGACTTCCGTTTTAATCTCAAGAAGGGAGTCTGGTTGATCAGCATCCTGTAGAAGGATAACTTCCCTTCCTTACTCCTAGTCCCAGGGCCTGCCAAGGTGAGTCCCTCCCCCAGCTTGTTGACGAAATCATGCAACTTTTCTGGTAGATTCCAAGATTTATAACTTGGTCTTTTGCCCGTAGTATCCAGGTTTTCTTCAAGGTTCCGTACTGGGTCCAACACTTTTCTTGGTCACATCAATGATCTGCCTGACCGTATCTCTTCCAAGATAGCCATCTATGCAGATGACACTACATTGTATCATGCATATCCTGGTCGCTAATCTGCTCCGTCTTGTGCTCAAGCCAGTAATGATCTCAATCAAGATCTAATGAATGTTACTAACTTGGGTAATACCGGGTACAAGCTTGTCACCTTCAACCAAAAGAAAACTATATGTCGTTCATGTCCAGATGAGGATCACCTCATTGTATATTTTTTTTTCACCTTGCTACACCTCAGTAGGGAGTTCCTGACATACAAGGACTTAACATCACCAGTAAACCCTCCTGAGACAAGTATATTTGTGCTATCCCTAAAAAGACCTCCTCGGGCCTACAATGAAGGTTGCTTGTACCGTGCATGGCAATAACTACCTACTTCTGCATTTCTGTACTTTTATAACTCCAATCTTTGTCCTGTGACGGACTACTGGTGACATATTTGGGCAGGTGTTCCAGCTTGTCATCTGCCCTCTGGCTGCTTAATAGACACTGAGCATGCCCATGGTATGCCCCCAACTTTGCAAACTCTGACAAGCTACCTTTCAATCCCAAGGAGAGATCTCGGTTAATCAGTTTCCTGCAGTTGTGCTAAATCCTTCATTCTTAGGTCTAGAGCCTATCCTTGTGATTCTTCCTTCTCCAAGAAAAACCTTCAACAAACTTTCATAAACCCTGTCCTTCACCCTCAGCCCACAAAATACCTGTGTTTTGTTTAAATTCAGAACTTCACAGCCTAGCCAACATTCCTTGCAAAAAAGTTTAGGGGAGAAACACAGTAGTTGGACTTTAAACATTGGCCAGCTACTACATTCCCCCCCCCCCCCCAAAAAAAAAAAAATATTATACTGTAAGGTGAAGGTGGTTCTATTAAAGGTAAATACAACATTTGCAAACATCAAAAAATAAAACTACCAAATCATTTTGAAATACCTTGCTGGACTGTTAGTGAATGACAGTGTATAGCATCCTGTAAAATCATGGCACCTGGTATACTGTCATTTTCAAGAAAATGGTTCAAGACTGGTTCCCTGACCTTACAATTCCCCAATGTATGTAAACTGCTGTTTCTTCTTATATGGAGTCAGGGAACCAGACTACAGGAAAATGGTTGTTTTTCTTGGTTTTTATAGCATTTTCGAACCCAAAACCTCAAAAAAGTCAGTGTAACTATATTTGCTATATATTTCCAACCCCCCAATTCCATCCATTTCTGAAAATCACAGCAAAAGCAAATGATGTATATTCCCTTTAAAGTGAGTGGCTAATTTGTCTGGCCCAAGTAGTTGTATCCAACTTCACCCTCTGAGGTTTAATGGCCTAACTAAGTTGTAGTAGAGAAAATGTCATCATTGCACCATGTTCGATTGAATGCTGTGCAAGTTTCATCGAGTCTAGTCTTTGATCGTTCGAATTTGTATTTGATCAAGTAGTCGAACACTCCATAATTGACATTGAGCAAATAGAAATTAATATACAATATATCTTTTTTGGAGGCAGCTGACTACATGTAGCTTATACATGTATAGTCAGATTTCTAATATGTAAAATGGGTCTAAATTTATCATGGAAGCTGTCAAATTATGCTTCTAAAGTAACTATCCACACAAATCTAGCATTTGACAATCAATAAAACCGTGCAACTTTAATGAAATCGCATCAGGGGCCTTTTTGTCTCTTCTAGGGACTGCTCACATTTTTGAATATTTTATTTGGATAAATGGATTTTAGTTGAATGATCGAATATTCGGATTTTGGTATATTCGGCACAGCCCTTAGGGTGGTGACTGCTAATGGTGCATAGAAATAGCATGGTGCCCTCCCTACCAAACCTATATACGATATATACCTGTTTATTTTCTGCTCAAAAAAACCCCAAACTTTGAATCAGTTTCAGGACAGGTTTACAGTTGACAGGCTTCTGACACCACTTACAGAACGTATGATTGGCCAGACACTTGAGGCTTCCTTTGCACTTGTCTTTATTCATAAAGAAAGGTTTCCTGTCAAAACACTTTTTTTTCCAGAACTTTTTGATTGATGTTTCTTTTTTAATGGAATTGTTTTTATGTTATAAAACCAGAAATCGCAACGTCTTGTCTATAAACTTGTAGACACTTACAACAACTTAAGTAGTCATGTAAATCCATTTGAAATGAACCTGCCGACCCTATTTCACATTCCATACCCATGACTTCGTTCATTCGAGTTTAAATATCCAACATTATCTTAGTTACATGTACTAACAAAAAGTTGTTTTGCCCGGAACACATCACACACCCTTCTTATTAATACAGAGTTTGGGACTTTCCAAATGTTATGTATAGTACGTAAATCATTACTGGAGACCTTTAATCCCTTGAATCAACTCTTTCCAGGAGACCTAACACTGTGAAGGTCCAACTGGGTTTTCCAACTCAAAGTCCACTATGTAGTGTTTTGAAAAGTAATAAGTAACAACGCAGGAATTTCTTAAGGAATTTACAATACTAGTTTTAAGTATCTGGCTTTTCCCTTCGCTGATGTAATATTTTAAATACACTGCATGCGGTTCCTTAAAAATAGTTTGTGACAAAAATCCCTATTAAGAAAAATACCTCAGGGTATTAAGTCAAAACAACTTGTTAATAATTTACATCACCCTATAGCAAAAAAAAAAAACCTTAAAAAGTTATGCACAATACAATTTACGTGTTAAGTCAAATATTTTCTGCAACTCCAGACCACACCTCATTCAAAGGATATTAATGCGAGAGCGTCTTGCATTTCCTGTTCTAAATCTTAGACGTTCTTTCTATGAAGTAGCATATTAAAAAAAAACCTGTTTTTTTTCTTTGGGGGTTGCAGTTATCGTGAATGTCTGTCAGTATCCGGCGATACCATTTTCAGTTCATCTGTTTTCAAGGAATATTATTTCTTCACGAAGATTACTCCTGGAAAATCAGGTTTTTTTCTCGATTGAGTGTAAACTGTGTGCCACTATTTTGTCCATTCAAAATTAAATGTAGTAAGCCCACCAAATATAGCTGTTTTGTAGTCCCTTGACAGTCATATTGATGGAGACCGATTTGAAAACCAGTTACCTCTGAAGTGCTCCGAAGAATGCAAAAGAATAGCATATTGCAAATGTAGGGATTTCAACTTGTGTAATTGTCTAAGATAAGAATGAATATCTAAACCTGCAGCAGAGGAAAATGAATGAACCTTAAATTTATCTGTTGCACTTTTGTGGTTGATTCTTATGCTTCGGAATAGTTGTATTATCCAAGTTTGCGAGATTACTTTGAAAGGCTACCCTCCATTTACATACAATGCCATGTAATTGAACCAATGGGAAATCCCTCTTAAAATCAGTACATGTGTAGTTTTGGTTGATCATTGACAAGTTTAGTGTACAATGTATGTCAGAAAATCTAAAACCACCATTCTAAACATAGAAAATATGCATCACGCCCTAGCGATTCTGACCGAAGAATATTTGAGGTCTGGGATAAACATTACGTTCACTTCTGTTTCGCTTTCTCTCTCTTTCATTTGCAACATTTTAAAAAGTTAGTTCCTCTCAATTGTTTATTTCTTCTTTACATGTACATGAACATCCATTCATCCTTTCTTGAGCACCCCAGGAAATGAAGTATTTCCAAAAATAGTACTTAAGATTAAATTCTGAAAGACTTACTAAAAACTTCTGAAAGACTTACTATACAGACTAAATGTTTACCTAGATATTACTATTATTATTTAATAACCACAACACAGGGTTGTCATTTGTGTATCTAGTGACGTAATTTTGGAAGTCTATAATTTGGGAAGTCTTTAATATATTATATTACAACACGGAAAGCGGAACTTTGTATCCATGCAAACAAAGGAACACACGAGACAGAAACTTAAACTGACTTTGTCTTCTTGATCTTTCAGCCGTAAAAGGGTTATTTCCTTTTCCGAGTGGAATTACCCTTGAGCTGAGGGAAAGGATGTTGCAATACTTATTTACAACATTTTGTTGTTATTTCGTCTGGTTTTAAAGATGTATTGTCTTGTTTTCATCCAAATAATGTTAACCAACGAATGTTCAACTTGTACTTTTTATTTTAACGAACCATGTTCCGCTTTTTAACTCAGGCTGGAGCTTCTACAATTCACTTTGGTGTCGGTCGGTCTGTCGCCAAAAAAATATATATATATTTTACAAAAATTGAGCAATTGCTATGCCGTCGTCAGTACATACATTCTACAAATTATTTGTAACGATTCGTAAAGTCGTTTATGTAAATGGAGGCAAGAAATGATCAACAGTGTTATAGTCACGTGGTGTTTGTGTAGCGATTGGACGGTATCCAGAAGGATAACTGTCGAAAAGTTTGACGTTTCATATTTGCCATCGGCTTCGCATTTTTCGACAAAGCTTATTGTGCATTGGCACTTGTTTCTATTTTGGGGCATCTGCATAGCCTTTTGAGAGAAAGTTGTTTACTTTGGTTTGCTTTTCCAGACAGACAGATCCGCCCTGCAAGTAGACTTGTTCCGAATGCCCACATACTTAATATGCTGTAAGGAGGCAGGACCCAGTCTACACTTCGCTAACTGAAATATGTTAGGGTCGCAAATAATTTGTAATGTTTATCCCATTACTAAAAGTGAGCCATTTTGTTTTCAATAGTTGTGTCATCCAAAAGTGCCAGAAAATTAGCAATATAAAACCAAATTTTTTTTTAGGAGGAACTCCAAAAGACGATTTTATCATCATCTTTGTATTATTTGACATACCTTGGGTTCGCTTGCTTTCTTTCTCAGCTTAACTTTTAGATTTTTGGCTCAATACTGCTTATTATTATAATAATTAATATATTTTTTTTCTTTTCATTTAGGCCTTCTGCCGTGCATTGCAAGAGATGGAGCTGAAGATGTTTAGAAATTACTCCAAAGTAAGTATGAAAAGTGTTTGGTTTCTGTCCTGCTATCGATTTATTTTGACCAGTAGTAATGCAAACAAATATTGGAACAATCATCAATCTCTATGGCAACCTGTTTGTAAATTTGTGATTGATATCTTTTTACATACTTTTTTTTTACCACCCAGGTTTTCTTTGAATCGGCCAGAAAATCGTGACAACAGGATGTGCAGAATTTCGTGTAGACATAACACCTGGTTTAGGATGTTCTTTGCAAGGAATAGCTTGTTCAAATTACATACTATTTACCACTTTCCCCGTTAATTCTTTATGGCGTAATCATGAATCACAGCAAAAAGAAAAATTGAAATATTCATTGTTCATTTCTTTCGCAGGTTATTTGGGGGAAACTACTCGAATAAAATGATCCCAATATTGTACATAGTCCAGCCTAATTTGTATTATAACTGTAAATTGTGTATTTGTCTCTACTCTAAAAGGTTTTATTAAAGCAAAATAGTAAATATGTCCATTCATTTGCTGCCAACGGCCTTTTTTGGAGGGTGTTATAATTTTATTTCTTAGAAATGGGATGTTCATACTTTTCTTGCAGGAGGGGATGCTTTTGCTGAATTCAATTATTTAATTCAAATTTATTTAGGCCAAGAGGTTATTTTTAGCACAAGAAAAAAATTAGCGACAAGAAGCCATTTACAGATATCAGTGATCGCTCAAAAGCTATTTTCGTAACTAGATTATCAGTTACCTCTCTTATAAGAGGACATTATAAAAATATTTATTTGAAGGAAAGCAAGGACCCGAGGGTCTTCAAATGACTACGTCACCTATGTCTGGTGCCGAAAAAAAATGAATCTTGTTCGAATCAATTTTTGTTTTCCCTTTTTTTTTTATTCTTTTTATTCTTCACAATTTTTTATTGCAAGCTTTGTGATACGTTTTAAGTATATTTACATTATGTACAATGTTTGTATGTAATTTAGGCGGTCCTCATTTTTTAGTTCTACCAATTATTTGATGAGCTAGGACCGAATAAAACAATTTCTTCTCTTTTTCTTAACCCTAAAGGAGCCGGGTTATTTTGACCATCGCAGGGGGGGAATAAACCCACGGTCGGAATGTTATGCTTTTGGTATTAAAAGATGTGCAAGACTCAAGGCTTAAAAGTCAGGAAAGCTCGGGTCTTTTAAGGTTAAACAGAACACTCGAGGTATTTTTTTTTTACATTTTAATTAACTTAATTCTGAAAAGAAAAACTTCGCCAGCTAAAGACTTGAGGCGGTTATTTGACGACGCCGAATGCTTTTTGTAAAATAAAAATTGTTTAAGACACATTACGTTACTATTGTAATAACTCTCTGCATTGGTTTACTCATGAATTTTTCCTACTTACTGTTTAATTTTTCCTTTTTTACCTGATGCCCATGTACCTTGGTGTATTAATGTATGTGATACATGTCACCCTAATTATTTTTATTAGTGAATAATTTCATTTTGCTTCGAAAGTTATTCAAACTTTGCCCCAAATATGCAATCGTTCATGCAATCATTCAAAGCGTTCATGCAATCGTTCAGATGGTTTATATTCAACTAAAATACAGTACATGCTTATTGTGCGAACCTGGTGCAGTATTCATTTTCTGCCGCCATTTATATGTGTAAATGTTAATGTCCAATTATTAAAAGATCCGTATCAATCCGACGATTACATAATTATGATTTACAAAACCATTGAAACTTGAATACAATTACATGTATCCTTTTGGGGGGGGGGATGTAACATGAAATTTTAGTTTCTTCTAGTAATTTTTGAGACGAGATATTAAAGAGCAGACATGACCCTGAAATAAAACGTTTTGTACGATGTATCCCTTGGTGAGTACCTGTATCGTTTGAGAGACGGAGATTGTACCTTTGATTCACAACCCCCCCCCCCCCCCCCCGCTCCAATCCAAAAAGGAATTTCCTTCTCTTATTTCTTAATTTTACAAAGATTTAGGGAGCGGAATAAAAGCCATAATATATATACCGCAACTAGTTCACCAGGCGTCAGCTTCGACAACCGCTTTTTAGAATAGCTGCCATGTTTGGAACAGCTGACATCAATCTCAATAATAAACAGTGGAAAGGCCCAGTGCAGTGTAGTGGTATAGTCCTACGTGTACATAATTGTGCCATTACTAAACCGCTACCGCATTACACATGCAAATTTGGTATTCCCGGTTGCCCTGACGAAATCTAGTGATTGCGAAATCAGGGATTCCCTTTGTATAGCAGTGATGCAATGGGCCGTGGGATGGGGAACTCCCTACATGTACACATACGTCATAGCTGTATACACAACATGCATATCCGCATATGCGGCGCGTGTGTCGAGTAAGTTTCGTGTATTCTTACAGAAAATGGTTCATTCTATAGATAAAACATGGATACTCGTTATGTTTGAATGGTTGGCACTACTACGTTGAGCATTGTGGAGAATTATACATCGAGGCAATTAATTTTCACTGTTACTGTGGTAGGCTACATTGTATGCCAATTCTTCGACCCTGATGATTTTTGTGCTCGTGGTTGTTTTTGAAACTACCACTAATAATCCACGTCGGTTTACCTCACGCTAACCTGATGGTCCGATAGCTACCACAACTGCGTTGACCATGGAGTCGAAACGTCGACCTATAGACCTGAACTTGGCACAAAGTATGGGTCAGATTGGCACTGTCGACATCATGTTGGATCTTGGCCAGCCTGGGTGATGATGATCGCAGGGTGAGCACGATTTGATTTTCACATCATCTTTATCCTTATCATGCAACTCGAAGTATAATTATGTTCGGGGGTTCCATTGTCGTCAAGCTTAAACAAAATGTGTATTTTGCCAGCCAAGAAAAAGGGTGTAATAAAACATCGACCATGTAATGCCACTTATCAATGCACCTGAAACTGGATAATGAAGAAGAACACCGTCGCAAGGCACCCGTGCATGGGACTGCGGTAACATGTGTGCGCGCGCATGCTGTGAATTGTGCCGTGATTGGCTGGAATTCCCACGATCCGTGCAATCCTGGGATTGGGCCTCCCCCAATGGCTATAGGAGGTACTCGGTCGAATGGTCGGTCGTGTTAACTGCAGGGAATGCGTTTTCTATATGTTATTCAACATTTGATTGTACCAACGTCAAGCTACCTAAATTTTCGTTCATGGAGAATGCTGAAGTTGCTGAAGGGTAAGTCTGCCATTTTTCCTTTTTATTTGTTTTGCAAAAGGCGATTCTAAAACTACGTCACTGAAAAACTGTGTTGTAAATTCCAACATATAGGCCTAAACTCCGAACTCGAAATAATACGATTTCAAAAGGGCATTGTTTCATTCAGTTCGAAAAGTGTTTCGGTGATTAGTCAACCAGGTTGGCAACTCCAATATGAGGGCGCGGACCGTTTTTTTTGTATTAACTTATTCAGCTCCCAGTCCCAGACCTACGTTGTTGAAATGCAATGGTTCTTGAGTCTGGACTGCTGATAGTAAAACGTAGCTTGCTAACTAGCAGCCCATGAAAACTGGTGTGCAAATGGATAAGTATTTTCATCAGACGACGTCAGCCCAACCCCACAATAGTCCGTTTCATCATGGAGCACTTCGTCGTTTAATTTAAACTGAGTATCAAGTGTTAGCGATTCGCCATCATTAAACCAAGAATGCTACTAGCTAATTCCATCTAGGAGGTGGATTAGTCGGATTTGTCATTTATTCATTTCTTTTCAAGGAGTTAATACCGTGAACTGATCCCTCTGGGTTTTTTTCCGTTTTTTGTGACAGCACTTTTTTATACGCATGTATGAACTGAAAGAGAATTCGTTCCCAACCGAGCAAAAGTTGATCTAAGATCAGACATTTACGTTTGCTGAGCCACATAACATTGTGTGACGTCTGATATATCTGAGCATGCAAATTTGTTATAATACTCCCCTGCACGCCTGCCAATCGGAGCCACCTATTAGAAATGTTAACGTCATTTAGAGCAGAACTTCGGCCAAAGCTGTCGATTGGTCATGAATAGCTGCCCGGGTTACCGTAGACACGATAGGTGCCCGCTGAATGATCAGAATCTCGACGCATACACTCTTGTTTTACTATACTTTCGAGGACAACGCTTTGTGTTTCCCTATGTCCCTGTAATATAACACTTTCCCATAGACTAAGCACACGGAGTTACTACAGAGGACCGTTTTCCCAAAAGTAAAAGGTTTCTTTCTTTACTGTTTTAATTCCAACTCTAAATTTATTTGCAGAAGCGTTATTTGCTATCTGATTCGTGGCTCTGGTTGATTTTATATTTTAACGTCCGAAATTGAATTACGTTGTATTCCCGTCCCATTTTCGTCACTGTAAAATGTTCATGACCCAAAAACATTAATTGAACATGCTCAGTGGAAGTGCTGGATCAGGAGCGAAAACGGTTCACGGTCAAAATACAATGTATACACTGTTTTTGTTTCTTCTTCTTTCTTTTTTAGAAAACAAATAATTTCAGATAGGCCTAATTACCAATGCAACACGTGCCGTGCTAGCGCATCTAAACCCATCGGGTTTACGTTAAATCATTTGCCATATGGAACAAAATGCGTGAATGTCGCGGATGATAATTCTGCATACTACATGTATACTAAAAAGTAATTTGCCAGGCAAACGTAAAGCAGGGGCGGATCCAGCTTGTGTTCGATGGGGGAGGGGGTTACTAAGTGGGGTGTTGTGACGGAATAGGCATTAGGTAGCATGAATTTTCTATAAGGGGAATTATTAAAGGTTTCATTTAATGCTTTTTTGTTCGCAACATTGTTAAAAAAAATATGTTAAATAGGGTGCATAACATAATGTATTAAAGTTTCAGGTCATCACTGGATGTCATACATTAAATAAGAGAACAGAAAAAAACCTTTTGGTCTCGTTCTATTCCGTTGGGAGCGCCTCCTATAGTCCTATTCAAAACTTGTGCTTCATATTTTTAATAGCGCCCTCTCGTGTACAATCCTTTAGAACATGTGCCATGTGACCGACGGGCAACCAATGGGCAACCATAGAGCTATATTAAATTAAAATTCAATCCATCTATTTTGATTGTGTTCTACAAACACACGCATAAATTCAAAATGTCTGCACCCAGAGCAGCTTCAAAGCTTCTCCGTTCGCAAGAATGAAGAGTTAGCGCTCTTGTAATCATGTGACCACACCATCCAATGGCACATATGGTCTTTATTCAGCACTCGGGAAACAACTCTCATTCAGTCGGCTAATGTATGTGACGTCGAGTTCACACTGAAATGGGCAATCTTTGTAGAAATATCGTAAAATTAAAAGAAAAAGTGTGTTCGCGGGCACTTTTTTTGTACACAATCTTCCATGGTTGCCATTTTTTGAACAAGAAATGTTTTTAATTGAAATCACTGGGTTCGTATCTGGGTAATAGCCAATAATTGTTCCAATGCCTTTTAAAAAGAAACGTCTAAAGCACGGAACCATACATGCCATAACAAAACTTTTCAGCGAGCCGCTATTAATCAAATGTAATCTTCCAAATGCAACTTTTTCATGATCCTATAATAATGCAAAAGAAGTGATTTTTTACAATTATTCTAGAGCATGTTAAGGTTTCAAGGTTGAAGGTTTATTTATTTCCACAACATTAACAAATTATTAACAATGTCAATTATTTCATATTCACTTGTCGGTGTATAAGAAATCTTTAAAA